CATAGTTTTCTAGGGCTCCAGACACTTTGACCTCATCTCCTGGCTAAGGTGTGCCTGAGGTACCCCGTGAGTCACGCTCACTGGGCTGGGGTATCCCGCAGCTGGAGTAGGGGAATGCCAAGTTGGAGCAATTCTCCAGTAGAAGGTAAAAAGTTCTGAAGGGCATTTCCTGTGTTCTGGCCTCTTGTTTCCTTTTCCCATGGGGCTAGAAATGGTTAATCTACCTAAACTGGCAGAAGAAACTTTTGCTTCTTGTAAAGTTTGGTTCCTGGAGGCAGATTTTTTTTTGTTTTGTTTTAATCCAGCAAGTGTCAGATAATTGGAAGGGTGGAGTAAGGCAGTAAACCACGACACACCTTTGTCAGGACTTGTTTGGAAGCTAAGCGCTGAAAGAAACAAGGGAAGGGGGGTGGGAAGAGAAGGAGAAGTGAACATTTTTGGAAGATCACTCAGCTTTAACACACCTTGGCTGGATCTGGATAAAAAAAAAAAAGTAGGCACTGCAAATTTCTAGAAGAAAGCATCAGAGGAAGAAAGTGAGAGAAAAGGCATTCGTTGAAGGTGTTTTCAGTTCCTTCAGAATCGCAAGCCAGGTGAGTAACGGGAAGACTGACCTGTCTCCTTTTTTCTGAAACTTTGATTTTAGGTTTGCCACTTCTAAATTAAATCTTTATTGGGGGAAAATGAATAAGATGAAGCTCTTTAGTCCCCAGAGATATGGTTGAAGTGATTAGTTGGCATAACTGATGACTTTAGTGTCTGCACTTTGCGTAAGACATGTCTTTTGAAAAGAATAACAAGAAAAGTCCGTGGATGTGACAGAGAAGCCGAGATTTAGTGGCACGATTTTTCTGTGTTATTGTCTCTGGCAAAGTTGTTTTATTTAGAATATGATACAAACGTGTTAATTCCTTGTCTCTCAAGCTCAATTTCCTCTCTGGCTGTCTCCCTCTTCCCACTGGAGAGCAGAGAATGGCTCAGGGGTGAGGTTCAAGTGTAGGAGCGAAGCTGGCAGGTTCCAGTGAAGCTGTGAGGCTGGGTAGACATTGCTGTTTATCACGCTGTAAAACCTCTACTGCCCATATTCTAAAGTAAAGTGAAATCTCTGAATGGTCTCATTGATCCAAGAATTTTCTTGGAGTCAAACTTGGAGGAAGGAGTGGGGGAAGGAGAGAGAGACAGACAGAGAGACAGAGACAGAGAGAGGGGGAGAGGGAGAGAGGAAGAGGGACAGGGAGAGGGAGAGGGACAGGGAGAAACATTTTCCTGTGTTTATACTCTCACTGACCAGCTTGGCCCCTTTCTCTTCACCCTTCCCTCACACACAGACACACACAGACACGCACAGACAGACAGACACACACATACACACACACACCCCTTTGGGTAAGACTTACTGGACTACAGTAACTTCTAACTGAGAAATATTCACTTCCCAGTTAATGTTTTAAGTGGAGGCACATCTCTGACACCTCATTACTCTGGAGAAACAGTTCATCAGGAAGACTAACAAACTGGAGTTTGTTAGGTCTTTAAATGTGGTGAAATTCTTACAAGGTCTTTGTTGAAGGAATGGAAGTATTTTTCAGTAAGCTCTTGTGTGTTCTTTCCTAGAGCAGAGACACAGATCCAAGGCAGAGCTCACCTAAAGCATGTAGGCTGATGGCACCCACAAGGAATCAGGGGTCTGCCTCGCTCTTAGGTCCTTCATTCCCCCATGCCCACTCTCTGCATGAGCCTGGTCAGTGTGCATGGATCTATTAAAGTCCCTTACTCACATGTACAGAAATACCTTCTATTTTGCTGCAATGAATCCAACCCAAGAGATAACCTCATTCTTCCTTTAGGACTGACCATATAGTCTGCATTGGCGTTGTTAGATTCATTTGATGTTATTAATGGCAGCAGCCTTGATCCCAAACAAGCTGACAAAGTCACAAAGCTGGTGTCCTACCTTGCCTGCTGTGGGCATAAAAATCAAGGGTAGCCAGATGTAGTAAGTGGCAACTCATATCTAAGTGTTGGCGAGACAAAATCTCGACAACTGCAAGCCAAGGACACTGGTTTTCCTGGCAATTTACCTGCTTGATTGTTACATGAAGTCAGAGCAATAAACAGTGGGTTCTCACACTTCCATAATGTTGTTTTGTTTTAAAATTTAAAGTGTGCAGACTTTGTAGTGGTAGGTGTTATAAAAATACTTGTAATTTCTTCAATAGTATAGGAATGCTTCATCCTAAAACTAAAATAAGAAAAATACCAATTTTTTATTGCCTTCTTGTATCAAGAACAAAGTGTATCTTATGTCATTAGAAGACATAATCAATGTGATAGCTTGCTATCACATGGTGTGTGTTTAGGAAGCATCCTGATCTGGGTAGATTTACATAGAGGCAATCTCATTTAAAGGAAGTAGAAAGGAAGAAAACTTCATTAAAGTAGGACGATGACTTAAATTGGGTCTTCTTGCCTAAGGAAATTTCAACATTGTTGAAAGGACATTAGCTATGCAATAACTACCAAGTAGTCTCTGAGAACTTTGGTGTGGATAGTCCATCAGTGAACTATGGGTCTGTTCACTCATGTAGAAACTAAAAGACTTGATCTTAAGCAGAGAAAATTGTATTTATTAGAGCTTGGACAATGTAGGAGGCAAAGAGAAGAGGGGATTGTAGAAAGGACATAAAGGATCAAATATCTAGTCTGATAAGAATTAAGTCCCAGTGGTTGATAGCACAGTGTGGTCACTATAGTTTACAACTTATGGTGTATTTTATAAAAAAAAAAAAAAAAAAAAAAAAAAAACTACAAGAGTTTGTGTGCTCCAAACACCAAAATATGATCAATGTTTAAAGATACAGAAATACTATTTACATTGATTAGACTATAGCATGTGTTCATATATTAAATTATCCTACCATATCCCATAAATAGGTACAGCTAATTATATGTCTATGAAAAAAATAATTTAATAAAAGAACCATAGATACAAATAAGCATCATTATGGAATTGGGAACTTGAATGAACCACTCATCCTGACTGTTAGAGAAGAGCCCCAATGTCTAGGAAGTTTAAAATTATGCTACTTGACAGAGCTTCCATTAAGTGGTAGACGAGAGCTCAGGTGAGAATCGCCAAGAAGGGCAGGCCTGGGCACGAACATGGCCTGTTCTTTCCCTGATGTTATACTTTAAGACCCTACCAGTACTGCCAATGTTTTCAACAGAAGGGCTGTGGGAAGGCCTGCTGTGGGCCCCACGGGATCCTAGCCCAGCTTTGTGCCTCCAACCACCAGCCTTCATTAAACAGAAAGTCCCTTCTTATAGCTATAGTTTAAAGGAATCTTTCTCCCAACACAGGCCTGCCACCTCCAATTGTCAGTCTGACAGAGAATTTTGCACAGAGCTGCAGGCTAAGAGAGAGGAATGCCCAGGGCCTTGTTGGGCCAGGCACAGCTACGGGCTACCTTCAACTGAGGATCTTCCAAGCCCTTAAAGTAGGGGAGGAGGGAATGGGGCATTTGGTTTCTCAGCTGGCTGGGTTTTTTGTTTGCTTGTTTGTTTGGTGCTTTCGGAAAGTTAGAGAAAACCTTAGCTTTCTGCTATAGAAATTGAAATTCTGTCACTGGAATTTAGGGAATAGATGAAAAGCCTAGAAATGCCTATTATTTTTCTGGATTCAGGGGGAAAAAAAGCAGAATTTGCTAGATTAGCTATCCAGAGACTGAGCTCTTACTGAGCCAAGCTATCATCCATCTTCCTTAACTGTGACCAGTAGAATAAACCCAGCCAATTGTAGCTGTAAATTTTGCTGAAAGATCAAAAATAAGCAACAATTTGTGAATAGTAAAAGTTTTTGAAGATTATTGCAAATAGTCCTTTTTAGAATAATATTTCCTATCAACTCAGCTGTCATTCTAGATAGCTGTTTATCTCCCTCTTGGCAGCCACCAACACATGTCTCCAGGTCCTTAAGGAATGACTATGTGGAGGAAAAAAATTAAAAATAAATAAATAAAATAGAAGGTAGAAAGGGGCTTCAGAGCTCCAGAAGGCACATAATGCTAAACTAAGGCTTTCAAAGAATGTCCAGCTGCATGTAGATTCTCATGGTGTGGTCATATAGGTTATAGCTACGCTGCAGGCATAGTCAAAGGCCATGTTTGGCCTCTAATGAGGCTGGACTTCCTTATTAAGGTATTTCTGGAGACCTTCCTCTTAGCTTCAGGAAATATGCCTGTGAAGACATTCTATGACATCTCAGAGCCAGCTAGAAATTTTTCCATAGTACCTCATTCCCTGCCTAGAGCTACATTTAAGTAACACCAATGATGAGCAAGAAGTTGGCACCTTCAACCAGGCCCTAGAGCTCACTGTGCCAGTCTTGATTAATTCCACTGGGTAGCTGACAGCTGATCTCATATGGCCTTGGTCCCCAGCAAGGAAGTCACCCAGGGATATGCTAAGACTTTCATGAACCTTAAATAGTTTTGCCCTTGTGGGTCCCTTCTTCTATGAAGAAGAAGAAGAAATGAAAAGAAAAAGAAACTTCTGAAAAGTGTATTTTACAACTGCATTGGCATCAAAAAGAATATTGACGCAGGCTGGCTTATGTTTATCCCCCCCCCCAACATATTGGTCAAGGGGTAGCGGGGAGAGGAAAGTTGGTTGAATGTGACCATAATACTCAATGTACATATGTGAAAATGGAGCCACGTAAGTCAAGGGGATAGGCGAGGTTAGGAAAGATGAGCATGATGAAAGGGAGAGATTGACCAAGATCCACTGTACTCATATGACTTGAAATCCCTTGTCCAACTACTTTTAAATAACTTTAAACAAAAGAAAGAAAATTCCACTCGCTGGAAAGTGTAGCATTCCATGCAAATATGACAATCAAAGTAATGTTGACTCAAATCCATCAAGCACCATTCTTACAGCCACATGAATGCTTTCTATCTGTTTCATCTATAACACGGAACACTGTAGAGCATGTCAAAATGAACTACTCAATAGAACCAAGTGCTTTAATGGACGGACATCCTCCAGTTACTTATGACCTTGGCAAAGAATGGAGGCTTTATCAGCACACACAGGTCAAGGCATTGTGGCTGCTGGGTAAGACCTTGGATGCTCAACAGGCTGATATTAGATCCTAGGACAAAGGAGTAGAATCCAAGCAGGGCTGTTGAAGTCTGTCCCTTGCAATTGATGGCAAAAACAAATGGAAATTGCTTTTGTACAACATACACACAAGAAAGAATTATGCTTTGAGTTCTAGAGTTGAGAGTTTGGGGTTTCAGCTTGAACAGTAAGAACCTAAACTTGCTAAAATAAACAGTAAGAGGCATGGCCTTTCATGATTTCTGCCATTTTCCCACAGGTGGCTATGGGATGGACGTAACCAAGAAAAACAAACGAGATGGCACCGAAGTCACTGAAAGAAGTAAGAGCATATCAATTTTTAAAATTTATAATGCTTTTGGGACTGGGAAGGTGGCTCAGTGGTACAGTGCTTGCCTTGCATGCATGAGGCCCTGGGTTCGATTCCTCAGTACCACATAAGTAGAAAAAGCCAGAAGTGGTGCTGTGGCTCAAGTGGTAGAATGCTAGCCTTGAGCTGAAGAGCTGAGGGACAGCACCCAGGCCCAGAGTTCAGGCCCCACAACCAACAAAAAAAGAAAAGAAAAGAAAAAATTTATAATGCTCACATTATAAAAGTAAATAAAAACTTTGGAAATAAAAATAATTCATTTGTAAATCCACTACAACCACTATACCATTCTTATAGTATGTTCTTAAGTGGATTTTATTCCTTTCTATAATCTAGCACTTGTTGATTTCATTCCTTCTATAAGCTGGTACCTTTTTTTAAAAAAGCACATTTACAATCAAAATATGTCCTGCACTTTATTCTAGGATGAAAAACATTCTTTCTGGGGCTGAGGGTGTGGTTTATCAGTATAGAACTTGCCTAGTATATAAGCTTGATCCCTGAACAAGGAAAGGAGAAAAAGAGGAAGGGGGGAAGAGGAGGGAGAAAAGGAGGAAGGAAGATAGAAAGAGAAGGAAGAAGGAAGAAAGGAAGGAAGAAGGAAGGAAGGAAGGAAGGAAGGAAGGAAGGAAGGAAGGAAGGAAGGAAGGAAGGAAGAAAAGAAATGTATAGTTTTTATAACTCGCACTTTTAATGGTTTTAATATTTTGTTGAACAAATTCACCAGTTTATTTAATCATTTCCTTGTCTAGGTACATAAAGCAACAAATATAACCTAAAATTATAAAAATACCTCAGTTACTGCAGAAACTAGGTTTGAAACAACACTAGGGTCCTAGTCAAACTCTACACTAAAAATCAAAAACAGATATATTTTGTGAAACTGCCCCAATGATAAATTCAGAGACATTTAAACTTTTCCCTTAGCAATTCTAAATTAGGGAACATTTTCACTTATTCTGTGACTTTCCTGTATTCCCAATTTAAAAAAAAAAATCTAGCTTCATAGACTTGAAACTTTAGGTCAAGAAATAATTTATTTTTATGTGTCAAAGAATCCCAAAGGTCTCTACAATGAGAGGTTTAGTGAACGCTCCAGGACTATTATTCAAATGAAGCTGCCACTTTTCTCTGTAAAACTATTCCCTTTGAAGTATTGAATTCTGTTTCTACTACATTCATAACTCCGTGTTCCTGCCAGGATAACGGAATTAATCAGGAAGAAGGACAGGGGGAAGGAGATGGTGTGCTGGAGAGGGACCAATAGCAGGATTCAAGTAGCACAAAAAAGACCCTCCATCTCCTCCCACTCTTTCCTCCATTCATCACCTCCACCCTCATTCCACATGACACACATACACACATACCTAAAAGAGATGTTTGCCTTTAAAGACCAGCAAGCCTAGCCAGACAAGCCTAACAGCAAAGGAAGTAGTGATGGCCATGGGTAGACACAATTTGGCCCTGTGCTATGGTTTAGAGAACATCCACTCTTCATGCTGCTGCAGGAGAAAGACTACCCTGGGAGACACAAGCCCTTGCTTTTAACAGGTTTCCTAAAACACCTGAGGCCGTTATAATCTCCCTATATTCACTACCACTCAGATCTACAGAAACTCAGTGGGGGAGTCAGGGTCTGACTCTTCAAGTCTGTCTTTGAAGTTCATCTATCACCTATATCAACTACCTCCAAAAGTCACTAACTCAGACCTCCCTCTCCTGCTTTTCTACACTTAGGACTAGCCCTAGAGATTCCAGGATGAATTGTAATGTTCTTGCAACACCTCCCACTTCATCAGGAAGTCCACAGGGAAATCAGTCAGGGTATTGGCCCAAGATAGCCTGGGGGGATGGGGGAGATAGAGGTCTTTGGGAAGGAATAGGATAGAGACAGTATCATTTAAGACAAAAGGGCCTGGCTGCCCCTCTTTCAAAGTCAAACCCCAGCCTAAAGTGCAGCTGTCATCAAAAGACAGCAAATCAGCAGATAACTTCCTTTGGTTCCAGAAAAAAAAAAAAAAGAACTTCTTTTCTATGTTCCTTGAGGCCCCTTGTTATTGCTCATATTGTCATGTACAATGGATCAGATTCCAATTATGCACAGTGGTTCAGATCCCTTTTCAGCACAGGTATATGAAGATCTTTATTGACCCTACCTGATTGTGCTTAGCCAATGACAGACACCAGGCCTTGTCAAACACAGAGATGTCAGTGCATTCCCTAAGAAGTCCCCTTTTCTTTTTCTTTTCTAGTTATCACTGAAACAGTAACTACAAGACTTACATCCTTACCACCAAGTAAGTGGCTTACTTCTTCCTAGGGCATGTGTGAAGGTCCCATGTCATAACCTTGAATGTGGGCGCTCACTCTCCTGCTGAGCAAGAGAAACTACCTATCTCCTTTTGGGCTCTACAGATGTGCTTGTAATAGTCACTAAAATATTAGGAATCCTATCCACCTTGAGTCTGGAATAGCTTGATGCATGTCAAGCTCCCATTTCTAGGAATTCTTCTACTAGAGACTAAACCCTAAAGTAACCCTGTGCCTCTAGAATGGGAAGAACTCACCCAGTCAAGGCAAAGCTGATGCAGTCATAGTTGACTGATGGGCCCCAAAGCTGCCATTTGTCCCCTCCAACATTTCCAGTGACTGCCATGTCAGGGCTTTGGTCAGTATTTGAAAAGAGCAAGCCCAACCATGATCTGAGCTCAATGAGCCTGGCATCACGCAGCCATCTTGTCTAATACTTCCATTTTCCTAGTGAGTTACTTGCTGTGTTCCCCCAGAAGGCTCTCCTGTCAGACTGAGTGACTGACTATCCACTCCAGGCCTGGATATGGCCTAGCTGGAATATGGCAGCTCATACCTCCCTAATCGGGAGGGTCCGAGTAGGAGACAGGGAAGGTGTCCATCAGGCAAGGGATGAGGGGAACTACTGACTGACTCCAGCTTAAATTTGTAACCTGATTTTTTTGGTTCTGGCAGAAGGAGGGACCAGCAATGGTTATGCTAAAACAGGCTCACTTGGTGGAGGGAGCCGGCTGGAGAAACAAAGCCTGACTCATGGCAGCAGTGGCTACATCAACTCTAGTAAGTGCCAACGATGGTGAGGGGGATTGGGAAAGAAGGCCTGGGAGAGAGTCACTGAGAAAGACCCACTAAAGAGACTGTGAGACCCAGTCCTCAGTCCGCTCATGACACAGACTGTCGTGCATTCCAAATGCCCTGCAGTTATCTGACCTAAGGAGGATGCAACTTTCAAGTTGTCACCATTGGAACCCTACTTCAATTGACCCAGTTTTCAAATCTCAGTAACTATTATCAATTCAGGGGAAAGTGGCTCTTTTCCCACTGAATCATTCTCTTTAATCCAACTTGTTTTAGGGTATTCACACTTAGGGTTTTCAGTTTGACTTAACTAAAGAAAAAGAGAGAGAGAGAAAGGAAGGAAGGAAGAGGAGATGGAGGAGGAGGAAGAGGAGGAGGAGGAAGAAAAGGAGGAGAAGGAGGAGGAAGAGGAAGAAGAGGAGGAGGAGGAGGAGGAGGAGATTAACAATCAGATTCCTGTGCTGAGAGAATCTGGTGACATGTAATCTGTCCTCTAATGGTCACTGAGCAAGCAGTCAGCATAAGCTTTTTATTCCCCATACAGGAAAACAGAACAGAACAAGGCAAAGGAAATAAAGCAAACAAATAAAGAACAAGGGTACACATAAAATCCTTAAAGCTCAAGACACAAGAAGGACCAGGTGGAGCTGAACACCAGTGGTTCACACCTGTAATCCTAACTACCCAAGAGATGGAGATCTAAGGATCTCAATTCAAAGACAGTGCTGGCAAAAAGTCCATGAGAGGAAATAACACTGTTGCTCAAAGTGGTTGTGTGCTAGCCTTGAGCAAAGAGCTCATGGACAGCGCTCAAGCTCCAAGTGAGTTCAAGCCCCACTACTGACCAAAAAAAAAAAAAAAAAAAGTCCATAAGACTCTTGTCTCCAGTGCAAAATACCAGAAGTGGGGCTGTGGCTCAAGTGGTAGCCTTGATTGAAAAAGCCAAGGGAACATGAAGACCTGAGTTCAAGCCCCAGTACCAGCACACACACACACACACACACACACACACACACACACACACACACACCCCAAAGCACTAAAAAAGGGGCCAGGTTGAAAAGAGAAGCACCTGCCCTTTGTTTTGAGAGCCATTCCATTGTAGATTATTTTCTAGCCCGTCCAAGCAGGTCTACCATTAAACATGTGGTCTATATACACAATGGAATTCTATGCTTCCATCAGAAAGAATGACATTGCCCCATTTTTAGGAAATGGAAAGACTTGGAAAAAATTATTTTAAGTGAAGGAAGCCAGGCCCAAAGAAACATAGGTCCCATGGTTTCCCTTATTTGCAATAACTAGTATATATCTGAGTCAAGCAGAAAAGGTCAAATAAGATGATGTTAAGCAAAATGAACCCCAAGATAAGGACACAAGTGGTTTTTTTCTTTCTTGCTATTGTTTCCAACGTATTTATAAGGTACCACGTGATTTTTTGTTGCTTTGTATGTCCTTCCTCATGGCTATATTTGATGTTGGTATAATTTGGGGAGCAGAAGGGAAAAACAAATTGTTTAAATAGGGATACAGGTTGACCCACTGCAACAATGAGATATACAAGACGCTATGTCAAAAAACAAACAAACTTTACAATTTAGGCCGGGCGGGGGGGGGGGGGGGGGGGGGGGGGGGAGGAATGTAGTTGTGGAGGTGGGAGGGAAGGGATGGGAGGGGAAAAACAAAGGAGGAGGCAACAATGCTTGATAAGAAATGTATTCATTACCTTGCTCATGTGATTGTAGCCCCTCTGTACAGTGTTTTCACAATAAAAAAAACTTATTTAAAAAAAAAATCAGAGCCTCAGAAAGCCCTGCAGAATGTTTGCTATTCCTGTGCCCTTGAGGGACATCTTTGCCTTCAAGTACAGGTTGAAGAAAGGCCTTGACGTCAGTTATGCCCTTCAGTTTCTGAGTAGTCACCTTTCATCTGGGCTCTCCTAAGAGCTAGATCTTGGTACTCCTGCTGATCACACCTCCCTAGCTGTGAGCAGCCCAAGTGTACTTGGTAATACATCTGGATGTCAATGCCATGAGATTCATATCTGTTGAAGTGTTACAAGGATCTATATTTTTTTCCCCCGCGTGTAGGTGGAAGCATACGAGGTAACACCTCCACATCCAGCTACAGAAGAGCTCATTCACCGGCCTCCACTCTGCCCAACTCACCGGGTTCAACCTTTGAAAGGAAGACTCATGGTGCCCGCCATGGAATGTATGAAGGTATCCATAGCAAAGAACCATTCTCTTCCCCACAGAACTTCACAGATCCTCTGCAGATTTGCACATTGGCCACCAGTTTCACCTGTGTCTACATTCTTCCCCTCCTCTTCACCACCCTACCCTACCAGCTATTGCTCCTTCCTTATTCCTTCTATGGACACATCACTGGAAGATTTCATTCACTTACCCATGTAGTCATTTTTTCTATTTGATTGTGTGTGTGTGTGAGTGTGTGTGTGTGTGTGTGTGTGTGTGTGTGTGTGTGTGTGTGTGTATACTAGGACTTGAACTCAGGTTCTGGGCACTGTCTCTTAGGTTATTTTTTTTTTTCACTCAAGGCTAGCAATCTTCCACTTGAGCCAAAGCCCCACTCCTGGCCTTTTGCTTATTAATTGGAAATAAGGATATAAGATTCTCATGGTCTTTCTTGCCCAGGCTGCCTCGCTGGCTCTGAACTGCAGTTCTCAGATCTCAGCTCCTGAGTAGCTAGAAACACAGACATGAACCACCGACACCCAGCTCAGCTTGATTTTTATCATGTGCTTAACACTGCATGCAATGGCTTGATGGACATTTAAGTGAGCCAGACATGGATCTTGTCCTCGAGGACCTTGTTATCTCATAAATTGAGATGATGGATAAAAAGCTGTAATGTGGAGCAGAAGGCAATGACCATCCTCAACTGAGGAAATCAGGGAAGGCTTTGGAGGAGGCGGCATCTGAGCTGTGCCATCCTCATGTTTGTGATTTTGACATCCAGAAACAGAGAGAATCCAGGCTAGGGAAGCAGCAGCATATGCCAAGACAGGCAGGAGAGATCATGGCTTGCATCGTAAGAGGCAGTGATGGAAAAACCAGCTTCTGTGCTAGGATAAGACTTTTTTTTTTTTACTTTATTTGGCACACAATGGCAAGCCACAGAGCTTTTTCAGCCACAGCCATATTTGGGACCAGGACTTGAACTCTGGAAGTCATGAACAGTGAATCTTGTCTACCATGGTCAAAGGACCTGGGTTGGGACAAAAGGGATAGGAAGAGGAGTGAGAAGTATGAGAGATGGAATTGATGGGGTGGGTGACTGACTAAATGTAAGGGAAACAGGAAGTAGTCATTCTGTAGAGGTTTCCCACACAAGCTACACTGTGGCAGTGCCAACAATTAAACCAGGGAGCCCCAGATGTGGACCCCACTAAGATACTACATTCTGCTAAGAGCACAGCTCCATCCCTACTGAAACACTTGTAGCTGTGGAGGTTCAGAAAGTACCCAGCACCTCTCCCTGGTCCCCACCCCCACCACATACACACTCCCCAGAAAGCACTAGAGCTCATTTGTACTGTGTTTCCTTCTCTCCCCAGGGAGTTCCAGTGGCAACTCATCCCCAGAGTATCCTCGGAAGGAATATGGTATGTCCTCTCCTTATTTTCTAGTGAAATGCTTATATGAGACACTACAAATGAGACACTGGTGGCTCACGCCTGTAATCATAGCTGAGATCCGAGGATGGAGGTACAAAGCCAGCCTCTGTGAGACTCTTAACAGAAGTGGAGCTGTGTCTTAAAGTGATAGCGCGCTAGTCTTGAGCACGAAAGCTGAAGGACAGCACCCAGGCCCTGAGTTCAAGCCCCACAACCAACTAAAAAAAAAAGAAAAAAGAAAGTCATGGTCAGGGAACGTCATGAACTAAAGGGATTTTTCTATAAGGAGTCTGAACTCTGATGACCTCTTTTTTCCCCTCATTTCATCCTGAGGCCCCCAAGGGACTGTCAGTCACATTAACTTGCTGTCATAAACATTTGCTCCCCATACATTAAAATGGCAAGTTGTTTGAACAGGGTTCATGCTTGGACAGATGTAACCCTAAGGCCAAGCACTAATTACAGGGTTTCCTCCTTCCATGAGATGCAGAGACCTGCCAGCAAAGACAAGCAGCAGTTACAACACGCCAGCACACAGCAGCCTAGCCCCTTCATCGTAGCTCACCTCCAAGGGCCACATCATGGCCCAGTGACACCCCAGGCTGAGCCTCTACTCGGCCCTAAGTCTCCAGTCCATGTTCTTGGAACTTCACTGTGCACATGAATTGGTGTGACCGGTTATTTCTCTAGTGATTATTATTTTCTTTATTTGCTCACAGTCAGAAAACCAAAGGCAGATTCTCATAAACAAAAGAAACGGGACATGTGGCAGCCTTTGGATCCATCTGACCATGTTGCCATCCAGTCTGAAGGGTCATACTCCCAAATGGGTTGCTGCAGCTAACAACTCTCATTTAGTTAATCTCGCACCCTAAATGCACCGAAAAATTCCACAACATCCTCTGCCTTTTGGCCTTCAGTCATTATTTATTTAGTTATTAATAAGTTTTTTTATTGTGAAAATACCGTACAGAGGGGTTACAATTACATGAGCAAGGTAATGAATGCATTTCTTATCAAGCATTGTTGCCTCCTCCTTTGTTTCCCCTTCCCATCCCTTCCCATCTCCTCTCCCATCCCCTCCTCTTGTTCCCCCCCACACAATTGTAAAGTTCATTTTTCAACATAAAGTCTTGTACATCTCATTGTTGCAATGGGTCCACCTGCATCCCTATTTAAACAATTTGTTTTTTCCTTTCCCCTCCACAAATTATACCAACATCAAATACAGTGAAAACAGGGGTTACACCGTGGGGGAGGGACATACAAAGCAACAAAAAAATCATCTTATAAATATGTTAGAAACAATTGCAAGAAAGAAAAAACATTTGAGTCCTTATCTTGGGGTTCATTTCGCCTAACATCAACTTATCTGACCATTTCTGCGTATCTCAGACATATACTAGTTATTGAAAATAAGGGAAACCTTGGGACCTATGCTTCTTTGGGCCTGGCTTACTTCACTTAATATAATTTTTCCAAGTCTTTCCATTTCTTAACAAATGGGGCAATGTCATTCTTTCTGATGGAGGCATAGAATTCTATTGTGTATATATACCATATTTTCTTGATCCATTCATCTACTGAGGGGCAAATGGGTTGGTGCTGTACTAAAAGGCCTAATATCTGGATTTAATACTATGAAAAAAAACCCTTGACTATATCTACTTCCATATCAAAAATACTCAGCCTATTTCACATATATATATATATATGCCTAAGATTACATTTCTCTGTTTTCTCAGCATCTTCTACAACAAGAGGGCGGAGCCAAACACGAGGTGAGTACCACTGGACTGAGTTCAGTTCAATTCATTCAACTAATTCCCTGAGCATTATTAACCCATGCCAATGAGACAGGAAGTGGGATGTGTTTTCTGCTCCAAGGAGCATAGAGTACCATAAGAGTCTTGAGCCAGCTCTATTAGCATGGGAAGGTGGGCTTCTGATAATGACCTAACAGCCACTGGAGGCAGGAATCAAAACACATGGTGAAAATCTGAGGGGATCATCAGGCAGCTGTGGATGATGTGAAAATGCAGGTACCACATCTAATTTCATTTCTGGTCTCCTGGCTAATTCTAACAAGATGCGCTTTCCTTATCTTCATACGTCAGGAGGTGAGCAAAATCCCATCTTGTCTAAATTTATTCTGGGGTAGAGTTTTATAATCTCTTTGTCTAGGCTGGGAGAGAAGAAAGGCCATGGGAACTGGTGCCCTAGGGAAATTCTAGGGAGTCCTGGGAAGCCACATGACACTATGCAGTCCAGGCTGGCCTCAAACTTGTGATCTTCTTGGCTCAGCCTCTCAAATGCTGGAATTTCAGGCATGTGGCACCATGCCTGGAGTTCTCTCACCCACACCTGAATCACCCCAGAGGCAAGAAAAATGCCTGGTTCTAGCTACTGTGAAGTGGATGGTGAGAAAGGGCATGGTTGTTACTGAAGGCAATGGACTTCCTTGCTCAGCCAGGGGCTTCTTTAGGTGTCAGGTGTGTGGGAATAGTGTACTTGGTGGGCAAAGTGGGAGAGGATGACCCTTATTTAGCAGTTCTCTCCTTGAGGCCCCTAGGTGTCAGGGTCCCAGGACTCAGAAATCTCAAAGAAACCTAGGATTTGCCCAGTGCTCAAGGCTGAATGCCAGGGTCTATGGTCCAGGTTCTTCACCCACAGCCTCTCCATCTCTTCCTTTATACAGAGAGCGAAATCCGAGCTCGACTTCAGAGTGCATCACCATCTACCAGATGTAAGTGGTCACTGTCTTGCTGCAGCAGAAAAGATCCAAATCATTTTGAAAATCAATCACATATGAATGCATCTTAATGTTTAGGAGTTAGGAACTAGTGGTACATGTGCATGGGTGTACATGTGTGTACTCACACGTTTGCATTGTATTCATGTCTATGCTATGTGTGTGGTTGTGCATGTATTTATGCCTTGCTATGTGTATGCACATGTATGTATATGCAATTGTATGTCTGTACATGTGTATGCATTATGGTATGTACATACATGTGTGCATGCCTTGCTATGTGTGCATATGTGCATGCTTGTAACGTTTGTGCTCACACCCTGCTATGAATGTTTGTGATTTCCATGTACATGTACATATGTGTGCACATGTGCATGTGGGATGTGTGTACATATATGCACATGTGCATGTGTACACGTTTGTGTGTGCATGCACACACACATGATCATCATCTGTAATGGCCTTCAGTGGGTTGGCCGCAGGCTAAGTGCTTGGGCAAAGTTTCTGAGTAAGTCATAGTCCCTGCTGCTTAGTAGTTCAGAGGTCAGCTGGGAGAGTGCACCAGCAACCACCACAGCTCACGGTGGTGGGGAAGCATGGAGCAGCAGCTATACCTCAAGCCAGAAAGATAGGGACAGGCTCGTGGGACCAGAGAGGTCTCCCGGGGTTAGATGTCACTTGAGGGAAGATGGAAGAGGGGATCAGAGTTAGACTGCAAGTATGGAGTCAGTTGGAGGTGGTGGAGGCACAGTTCAGGGTGGAGAACGATGGGAGAGTTCCTATGAGAGAAGAGTCAAGAGTACAGGATTCCTCTGAGCATATAACTTAATACCGATCAAAATGGACTCCAGGAAATGGAAACAACTGGTCTTTTTTTCTTTATTGCTGTTTTTGTTTTCGTCTTATTTGTTCATTTATCTATCTTTATGGGTGCAACTGGGCACAGAAATGGAGGGACAAAGGGTGAACAAATGCAGCAATGGTACTCGCTAGAGACTATGTTGATAATGAACTATGTAACTTGTGGGTAGGGATGGAAGGGAAAAACTGGGAGAGAGCGAGGGAAGGGGTGACATTGTTCAAAAAGAAATGTCCTCTTCAGCTAACTTATGTGACTCTAACCTCTCTGTACATCACCTTTATAAAATAAAAAAGAATACAGACTTAGGGTTTGAACTTCATCTTCCAGGTCAGAGAGTGCCCAGTCTCTGTGCATTAAATGTGTTAGACAACTCTTGCCTTTGTTAAAAGTTATTTAGCACCATCTTGAAATGAACTTACCTTTTAGAGTAGGAGCTACATACAAGGAGTAGGAGAAGGAAGATCTGGGCTGGTGGCTAGGGAGGATGTAGAGACAGGAGCTTGATCACAGAAGTTGGCATCTGGGTCATGGGAATCTGACTCTAGGCCTGATATTTTCGTACTCAAGTCCTTCCCTGTCTGGGGTGTTAAGCCCAAAGGCTATGCATTGTCTTGCACGATGTGTTTGCCTCTCCTTTCTCTGCTTTGTTCTACCAGTTCACCTTGCTACAGATGGTACCAGCCAGATGGACTTGAAATTAAATCACATATGAGTAAGGCATAATGTTTAGGAATTATGGCCACAAATCCCTTTGGCCCTTCCAGGCATACAAATTTGGGACCTGACATTCATGACAGCCTGTGTAGGAGATGAGACTATTATTAATCCTTTTGTTTCAAAGGACCTGGTTCTCCAACAGCCTGGTCCCAGATGGCAGTGTCTTCTAGCCTTCCACTCATCCCTGGGGTGTCTGATGAGGTCTAATTAGGAAAGCATACTCAAGGACTTTGAGCTCCCTGTGTTAATATCACCAAGTGTCAGGTTGGGAAGTGCTATAGTTAAATGGCAGATATCATAAAGCGTACCAAATATGCCCTGGTGTGTGAAGCAGCTGTTATCTTTCCTGGGAGGTAGAGTGCCATCCCTGTGCCTCCCAGTGAGGTCAGACTAGGGAAGGGCTCCTGGGGCTGGGTGGACAGTCTGGCTTTTCTTCTACAGGGACAGAATTGGACGATGTTAAGCGTTTGCTCAAAGGGAGCCGGTCAGCAAGTGCTAGTCCCACTCGGAACACCTCCAACACCCTCCCCATCCCCAAGAAGGGCACTGTGGAGACCAAGACGGTGACAGCAAGCTCCCAGTCAGGTAAGCCCAACAGCCCCAGGCTGCCCTGGAGGTTGGGAATGCAGGGCAGACGCCTCCTGGCTGGGAAATTCAGTGGTACCCTAGAGTCCTTTCATACTGTGCCAGAAACTTAACAAAGCGCTAAGCACCCACTCCTTCCTCAGAGTAAATATGTGGGCTGTGTGCCTTTCACCTGCCTGGTCAACCATTTTGGAAGCACCTAACAGGCCAGCTCTAAATCCTAGAGCTTCTCCTCCAGCAGGTTCTCCAAGTAAAAAGTGTTGGGGAATGGCTTCACATTTCCACTCTCTAATGAGTATAAATATATCCTCATAGCAAGAAGAAAGCATTTAGAAAAAGGCACTGGACAAGAGGGGCCTGGTCGACATCCTCTTGGACAGGAGGGTCTCCAGGGAGAAAACAGGGCTGTGAGCTGAAGTGGTAGAGCACTAGCCTTAATCAAGACAATATGTTGGAAATATGTTGGGGATGGGAAGAAGAGGGGGAGGGAAAGTAGGAGAAAAACGAGGGAAGGGGTAACAAGTTTGACAAGAAATGTACTTGTTACCTTACTTATGTAACTGTAACCCCTCTGTACATCACTTTGACAATAAAACAAAATCTAAAATAATAATAATAATAAACTTAGGGACAGTGCCAGGCCCTGAGTTCAAACCCTAGGACCATCACCAAAACAAAACAAAAAAATGAGGGAGCTTCCTTCTACAGGGGGCAGGAAGACAAAGTAGTAGACCCGAAGACAAAGTAGTAGACCCTTAGACAGGGAAAAGAAGCCAAGTCTGCTGTGATATGAAGCTTTCCTCTTATTAACTCCTGGGGAGCAGGGTAAAAAAAACTAGAAGATAGTGAAAAGGGGTGGAAGATCCTGCAAAAGGCAAGCCTCAGGGCATATTATCACTGTGTAGCCTCTCACATAATGATTGGACAGAACTGGCATCAGACTTGAAGAAGCATGAAGAGCCCTCTCCAGGACACAGTGCCCTGTGGGTCTGGTTAGCACATAAGAATGTTTATCGAGGGTTTAAGCAGGAAAGGCTACTCTGCTATTGCAGGGCACTTTCCTCCCCAGAGCTCTCCCTTCATGTACAGCTTGCCTTTGCCATAGTGCCTAGAAGTCTGATAAGACACTGGATTGGGGAGGTCTCGTTTGCTGTTTCAGAGCTAGCTGCTCCTGAGCATCTTTCAGGATGGAGGGACTGGAAAAGGGTACAGAGGAAGGCCACCTGTAGGAACTGCCCACTTGGAGATGGGGAGAGAGTTTAGAAAGAAATTACTAGAGCCCAGGAAAAATTAATCTACTGAGAATTGGCAAGAGTCTCTATCTAAGAGGTCAGGTCTTGACTTTGGTCAAAAGTGGGATGGTGCTGGGCGCTGGTGGCTCACCCCTGTAATCCTAGCTACTCAGGAGGCTGAGATCTGAGGATCATGGTTCAAAGCCAGCCCAGACAGGAAAGTCTGAGAGACTCTGATCTTCAATAAACTACCTAAAAGCCAGAATTGGAGCTATGGTTCAAGTGGTAGAGTGCTAGCTTTGAGCAAAAAGCAGCTCAGGATCAGCACCAAGGCCCTGATTTCAAACCCCAGGACAGGCACACACACACACACACACACACACACACACACACACATACACACACATACACAATGTGGGCTGGCTAATTGCCTCAGGCTTCCCTGGACTGAGGAGTTCCTGGGATACACAATCTCCAGTGGAAAGTCCCTAGAAGCCCAAGCAGCTAAGTTTTCCTAGCAGGGAAGTGTGGATTGGTTCCCTTACTGAGATGTTTGTGTTTCTATTCACAGTGTCCGGTACATACGATGCCACGATCCTGGATACCAACCTTCCCTCCCATATGTGGTCCTCCACCTTGCCAGCTGGGTGCTCCATGGGAACCTATCACAACAATGTGACAACCCAGAGCTCCTCCCTCCTCAACACCAACGCCTACTCAGCAGGATCTGGTAGGTGCTAGACTACACACTCTTCTCATCCACATAATGAACTTATCCTGCCACTGCTCTGTGGCTGAAAGACTCCTGGGGTATTTGCCATCCCCAGAGCTCCCTAGAGAGGTGTGCTACAGTCAAGTGACCCAAGGGATTCCCATTGGAACTTCAGTTCAATCCAGAAGCTGCTGCTTCTGGCAGATCCCCCGTAGAAAGGTATACACAGCACAGGGTATCAGAAGAAATACAATGGAAAAGAAGAAACAGAAACTACAAACAGATCCACTCTGTGTGAAATGACTTTGAACCTTCAGCAAGTCAACTAACCTTATGTCTATATAAGAGGGCTGTGGATGGGCACCAATGGCTCATGCCTATAATCCCAGCTATTCTGAAGGCTGAGATCTAAGGATCACAGTTCAAAGCCAGCCTGAGAAGAAAAGTCAATAAGACTCTAATTAACCACCAAAAAGCCAGAAATGGAACTGTGACTCAAGTGGTAGAATACTAGCCTTGAGCACAAAAGCTCAGGGACAGCGCCCCAGGCCCTGAGTTCAAACCCCAGGATTGGTACAAAAAAAAAGTTGTAAAAAGATACAATAAAAGGGGGCCACTAACAAGAGAGTTTTTGGCTGGAGTTACTGTCAATTCCAGGTCTAATCAACCCAAGATCACCAGATCCATGCTTCAAAGCAAGAGAACTGGACATGAAGTTTTTCCTAAAAACAAAAATGTAACAAAATATAAAAACTCAATCCTGGCATGCCTTCTGGTTCATCTATGGTATCTGGGTCTCTGCCCCTGGTCTGAGCTGGACATGCCTCTCACCTGTCTTCCTCCCATTCCCCCTGCAGTCTTTGGAGTTCCAAATAATATGACGTCCTGTTCTCCCACCCTGCAGCCGGGACTCAGCACCTGTTCCTCAGGTCAGTGTTGCCATCTTGAATGGCCTTTTCCAGTCTGGCTACTGAAAAATGCAAGAAGGTTCTTTCCTGGCAAGGAAATAAAATGCTTCTAAGAAAACATGCTCTCTGCCTAGAGCTTTCCTTTCTGGAAGGATCTTCCTCCGCACACTCTGCATGGCTGTCATTTTGAAGGCCAGTGGGCACCAAACCTGCAGACAATCACAGAACTCATGACCCCAAAAGGAAGGCCTAAGGGGAGAGGGCCTGACCTCACACAGACAAACTTACTCTGTGGTGGTCCCATTGGAGAAATAGGAGACTAGTGAGTCACAGATTAGAACATTTTCAGGATGAACAGTGTTGCTAATTTAGAAGGATCTTGTAAATATAGTGTTCTTACAAAGATTTCATAAATGTAATTGTTCACTGGAGTAAATTATTCAGGGGTAAATAATGCCATTGCCTAGCTTCCAATGCAAACACATGACTGTTTAAAAAAATATGTGTTCACTGTGTCACGTATATTGTTTTAGTCCATGTTTATGTTGTCAGCCACAACAGGTATACATGTGCATATGCTTGCATTTGAAAGCATTGAGCCTTAAACTCAAGACTTGAGCCATGCCTCTAAACCCCCTTGTTTTTCATTTTTTGTTTTTAAAGAATCTGCCTTCCCCTTGTGACGTTATGACTAGTAAATATAATGACACATGAGCCTTCTTTACTCACTTGGCTCCTGTAACTGCAAGGACGATCACATTGACCAGAGACCCGGAAGGCCCAGCCTTCATGTTTGATTTCTTCTACCTTTGCTAGGTTGTTTTTGCAAAGTCCTTGCTGAGCCAAGCCCTAAGGGAAGATGGGCTGCCACTGGAAACATAATCTTATACCCCAAACGCTAGATAGGATGAAGCTGTGACGAGGAAGGAATGGCCTTCTGGACATTGTTCACAGCGAGACCAGAGGTCAGGTCAGGGAGTGAAGTGAGTTTTATATGTCTGAGTGCAGAGAAGAGTTGAAGGAATACTAGGAGTCTATCAAGCTGGTTCCTATTCCCATAGTTCCCACACTATCTTCCAGACCCTGGGTTAACTACTACTGCAATTAAGTAGTGTGGACACAACTACTCAACAAGTGAAACTGTTAGTAAAGTGGGGCCTGAGTAGGAAGCAATTAACCTGCTACCAGACACTGGTGGCTCATGCCTATAATCCTAGATGCTCAGGAGGCTGAGATCTGAGGATCATGATTCATAGCTAGCCTGGGCAGGAAAGTCCATAAGACTCTTATTGCCAATTGACCACCAGAAAACCAGAAATGGCACTATGGTTCAAAGTGGTAGAGCACTAGCCTTGAGCAGAAAAGCTCAGGGACAGAGGCCGAGCCCTGAGTTTAAGCCTCACAACCAACAAAATAAATACGAATTTTAAAAAGAAAAAAAAATTACCTTGTCATTAAGAATGTGGGAACCACCAAGCGCTGGTGGCTCACACTGTAATCCTGGCTACTCAGGAGACTGAGATCTGAGGATCACAGTTCAAAGCCAGCCCGGGCAGGAAAGGCTGTGAATCTCTTATCTCCAATAAACCACCAGAAAAAAAACCAGAAGTGTGTTGTAGCTCAAGTGGTAGAATGCTAGCCTTGAGCTGAAGAAATGAGGGACAGCGCTCAGGCCCAGAGTTCAAGCCCCATGAATGTGGGAACCAAGGAAGTCTGGGAGGCTGTTACCTGCAAGGGTGTTCATCACGAAAATGGTGTGGAGGCTCCAGCCTGAAGCTAGGGACATCTTCACACATCCTGTTCTCATCTGCTTTCAATCTCTCTTTCAGTGTTTGGCATGCAAAACAATCTGGGCCCCAGCTCATCTGCCCTGTCCCAGGGCACAGCCACCACTTCCACAGGTTGGTCGTCTATGGCCCCTACTGCTGGGGAAGTGATACCTCTGAGGCTGCAATTTACAATATCCCATTTCAACAACTGAATTTGAAGGACCAATCAGGGCTGGGAATGTGGCTTAGTGGTAGAGTGCTTGCCTAGCATGCATGAAGTCCTGGGTTTGATTCCACATAAAGAGAAAAAGCCAGAGGTGGCACTGTGGTAGAGTGCTAGCCTTGAGCAAAAGAAGCTCAGAAACAGTGCCTAGGCTGAGTTCAAGCCCCAGGACTGGCACACACACACACACACACACACACACACACACCAAGAAGAAGAAGGATCAATAAAACTTTCCCATCAATGAAACAGCCCCTTCCCCCAACCTAGAGATGCCAACTGTAATCACTTGCTGGCTCCAACATGAGTTATCACACAAAGAAGCCTGTACTGTCATGGCATCTCCATCTTATCCCAAATATGTCCCTGGGCCTCTCATGACCCAACTGATCTCTTAGATTACAATTCACAACTTCAAATGACTGAGCTGGCAAACTTGGGGTAGAAGAAGTGGCTGGAATAAGCCTCATCTCTCACTTTCAACTTATCTGCTGTCTAGTTGGACTAGAAAGTCTAACCACACACACACACACACACACACACACACACACACACACACATGACAATGAGCAAATGTGTAAGACAATGGGAATTCAGGGATACACTGGGCCAAGTAGGACTACAAGGGGAAAAGAGAGGTCCAAGAAGACTTCTTGGAGGAAGTAGCCTTTAGAACAGTCTCAGAGGGACGAGGAGGATTCTACCCAAGGCTGTCCTAGGTTGGTTCCAGCTGCTGCTTCTCCACTGGGAAAGCTGCCTCCTCACTGAGGCTTCTCTAGCTGTTCCTCGCCACAGGAGCCACCTCCCATGATGGCCAAACCCACAGCAGTTCCTCTCTTTGCAGCCTATGGTGTGAAGAAAAACATGCCCCAGGGCCCTGCTGTTGCAAGCACCGGCATGTCCACCTCAACAGGTGAGTGCGTGGTGACATCAGGCTGGCACACAGGGAGAATTGCCATGCTGTGATCCATGGTGCACTAGAGGGGGAAAGAACCCATGTGTGCTCGGAGATTACTGTGGATGCTTCCTTTGTGCCTAGAGATGAGCAGCCCATAGACTTACTTTGGCCTTCCTGGTCCCAGCTCTGCCCTCACCATTAACATGGGCTCATATCATGCAGTGAACCATTTATTCTATGGCTCTAATCCTGGCGTGTTTCCTTCCAGTCAGCGGTTCACTCACGTTGGCTTTTGTTGTTGTTGTTTAAATTTACTGAACAGCTGTTTTTGTATGAGACACACACTGCTCCAAGTACTGCGAGCGGCAGAGAATGAGACAGGAGAGATTCTTCCCCTTACCAGTCCCCAATGCCAGTGGAACATGCAGATGACAAACATAAGACCAAATATACGAGACAGTCACAGGAAATGACATCAATTTTAGGAAGCCATGAGTGATGTTTTAGACATGGGCATTTGCTTATGGGGACTGAGTACTTCAGATGAAATGGTCAGGAAAAACCCACCTAGGGAAATAAAATAAATAAAGAAGTAAACAAAATAAGTAAAGAAGTAACTGCTTGAGAAGGGGGATTTGGGCCCATTTGATAAAGATCCTGTGTCTCCAGGTAGGGAAACAATCCAACAGACCCTCACCTTGCACTTCCATCACCAACTCAACCTCCTGATGGCCAGGCCCAGCATCGCAGGAGAGATATTCTTGGTCCCAAGATCTTTCATCAAACACTGAGAGCAGGAGAACCCTCATTCACTCTCACTAATCTTTCTTTGCTTCCTCCTTCTGCTGCTCAGATCTCTTCCTTTCCCTTCTCCTGGCACCTTTTCCTTCCTCTCATCATGACTTTTCTCCCCAGCCGGTACCACCAGTGTCCACAGTGATGACCTTTTACACAAGGACTGTAAGTTTCTGATCTTGGAGAAAGACAACGTGCCAGCCAAGAAGGACATGGAGCTGTTGATCATGACCAAGGACAGCGGGAAAGTCTTTACCGCCTCCCCGGCCAGCATTGCTGCAAGTACGTCAGGCTGTGTGACTCAGGCTTCAGAAGGAAGGCAAAGAGCCAAATAGTATAGTAGAACAGATGTCCTGGCAAGGTGGTTTGAACTGATTTAATCATGTAACCACAGCTTTCCCATTCTAATGGAAAAATGACTGTCCAAATAGTGTTTCAGGGTCTGCCTTGAATACAGATAAGCCAGAAAAACTCCAGCAAGATCTCCCAGAAGGGTCTTTGGTCAATCAGAGCCTCACTGTTTAACCCCAACAAAGCTGGGCTGTTTGCTGATCTCCCCAAGCAGTTATGGGGTAGAGTCAGGTTGGGAAGAGAATATACCAGATTATCATGGATTTTGTGTATAGCTTCTTTTTCAGAAGACACCTTGAAAAAAGAAAAGCAGGCTGCCTACACAGCCGATACTTGCCTGAAGGCAGACACTAATGGTAAGAACAACCGTGACCCTTATCTACCTTGTCTTCAACGAAGCCACATCGCATTTTGTCTTCTAAGACATTGCTAGGCAGACTGGGTTCTGTGGACCTGGGCACTGGCCTTACTTGGAAAGCATGTTAGAAATGCAGAATCTAAACACACACACACACACACACACACACACACACACACACCCCTGCTGAGTAGAAAGCTGTGTGTGTGTGTGTGTAAGAGAGAGAGAGTGCATGTGTGTGCACACACATGCCAGTCCTGGAGCTTGAACTTAGGGCCTAGGCACTGTCCCTGAGCTTTTGTGCTCAAGGCTAGTGCTCTACCACTGGAGCCTCAGCTCCACTTCCGGCTTTTGAGTGGTTAATTGGAGATAAGTCTCATGGACTTTCCTGCCCAGGCTGGCTTCTAACGTCCATCCTCAGATCTCATCCTCCTGAGTAGCTACAATTATAGGCATGAGCCACTGTGCCCAGCTGAAAGCTGCATCTTAGAAAGTTCCCTCAGGCAATACTTGGATGCACAATATTGATAGAAGCCTTGTTTTCAAGTGTCTACAGCTATATATTTTTTTCACCCTACCAATTCTACAGAGATTTCTGAAACTAATAGAAACTGCTTTCCAAAGCACTCACTAGCTTTTTTTTTCTCTTTCTTACACAACTATCCAGAATCTTTTGTAATTACATGTCTTTACAAGGCCCTGTAGAATCTCTTATTTGCTGGCGGTAGGAAGAAGGAGAAAGTGAAGTCATGGGACATTTTTAAGTAAATGCAAATTGAATCGGTTATCATCCTGACAAGTACATGGGAACTTGGCTCGAAATCATATTTAAGGGATGGGGTTAGGTTTGAAATCAAAAGATATTTTTTCAGAATCTGATGACAAATTTCTAGAAAATTCCACTAGTCTTCAACTAGTGTCAGAGTCTCATAAATAACCCTCTTCCAATGCTACCCTAGCCCCATTAACAGCTGGCCACACTGTGTCCTCACCAATGCACTTACTGCAAATGCCAGATCTGTGAGGATTGAGTTATTGGATGTCTCTATACACACTGCCATTCTGCAAGGAGCTTCGGGGCAAAGTTACTTGAGGCCCTACCTGAATCAGTGTGAGAGGCTGGCTTCTTAGCTCTTCCCATCTAAATGCTCAGGGCCAAACTCGTGTTTGTGCTTTCAGGAGACCTGAAGACGGTGTCAGCAAAAGGCAAGGCCACCTCAGCAGGTGAGTGAGAACGGGGAAGATGTGCAGTGATGGATCTGAGGTTGTAGTTAATAGACTGATGTTGACCCCTGGCCTGGAGCAAGTGCCCACAGGAGCAACCCAGCTCTGGCTCCCTAACAGCCCAGAATGGACTGTTTCTGCATTGTGGAAAGGTTGAGGGCCAGAGGTAGCCACAGAAGGAGGTAGCCCAGCGAACAGTGCTTCACAGAGCCCACTGTGGGCTCTGAGGTCCAAGGCCGTCAAGGCAGAAACAACACAACAGGGTTTCTGTGGGTCTCTACAGAACCTTCCACACGGCCCAAGATGACACTGAACCATGTGTGTTTCCCCTTGTGCACTTCTGCCCCTTCCTCCCTGACTTGTAGTAACAGCACCCTAAGTCTCTTTGTTGTTGTCGTTTTATTGTTTTGTTTTTGTTTTGGGTGAAGGGTGTTTTGGTTTTTGGTTTTGGTTTTGCAGAACTGAGGACCAAACTTTGGGTCTCGCACTGCTAGGCCAGTGCAATTCCACTGAGCTAAATCCCTAACCCCTTTTCACTCTGTTTTAGAGAACGGCAAACCCTTTCTTTCTGAACCCATGCTTTGTATTTATGGGATACCCCTTACATTCTAGGCACTGTGGGGACTACAGACGAGGTGCTTTATCAAGTGAGGTTCTATCGGTGTTCTACCATTTAACCTATACCTCCTATTCCAGCTTTTTGTTAGTTAGAGATTAGCAGTCCCTTGGATTTGCCAGCTTGGGCTGGTTTTGAATCATAGTCCTCTGATCTCAGCCTCCTGAGTAGTAGATAGGATGACAGACATGAGCCACAAGTGCCCAGCCTTATTCAACAACCACTTGATGAAATAGGTCGTCTCTCAACCCCATTATATATACACAGAAAACAGTAAGGTTAGTTGACCTTGTCAGAGTCACGCAGCTGAAGCCCAGGACTGTCAGACTTCTACCACTCAGCAGGCCATAGGAATGTTCCTGTAGAGCTGGAAATCCCTGCTCCAAGTCATTCAGGCCCACAGGAAGTGACCAAAAGCCAGAGAACTTGGAAGAAAAAAGGCAGGGACCTTCTGTCTCACCTTTCCTGTTTCTTCCACAGAAATCCACGGCTATGACCATGGCGGCGGTGGTGGCGGAGGTGGCGGCGGGGGAGCATGGGGGGGCGCCCCGGCCTGGTGCCCCTGTGGTAATTGCTGTACCTGGTGGAAATGGCTGCTGGGCCTGCTGCTCACCTGGCTGCTGCTCCTGGGGTTGCTGTTTGGCCTCATTGCTCTGGGTAGGTAACACAGATGGCCCTGCCCACTGCTTCTCCACAGGGACAGACAGACAGACAGTCAGGGCCAAGGTCTCTGAGTTCACTAGTACAAGGCCTGGAAGCTGCGCCCCAGGAGGACCCTGGCCGAGGTCACACTGCTACCACTGGGGTGCTAGCATCCTAAGGCAGCTCCTGATGCTGTATCACACTCCCACAGCTGTGTGAACTTGGCTACACTTGACCAGAAAGCCAAGTCTTCTCATCACCTTGCTGCTTTTCCCTTTTCCTAAAACCTGTGTTGCCTTCCCCGCCATCTCTTACTGCAGAAGGAGCGAGGGAAAGCTGTGTCACCTTGCTAAAATGATGCGCCTAATGCGCAGGCAGGTTTCTTTAAGGCTCCAGAGTGTGTTAAGAAGCTAATCCTACTGGGCACTGATGTTTCATGCCTGTAATCCTAGCTACTCAAGAGGCTCAGATTTGAGGACCGTGATTCAAAGCCAACCCAGTCAGGAAAGTTATGAGACTTATCTTCAACTAGCCAGCAAAATGCCAGAAATGACTGTATGACTCAAGTTGTAGAGCCTAGTCTTGAACACAATCACTCAGAGACAGCACCTAGGCCCTGAGTTCAAGCCCCAGGACCAACACAAACAAATAAAGAAGAAGAAGAAACCACACAATGGCCACACAGATAGTCCCTGCATTAGTATTCCAGCAAGATGTGCCCAGAGGCATGAAGAAGACCCCAGACCCAGAACCCCATGGCAGGCTTTCCACAAGGAGTGTCTGCAAGGTTCAGGATCTTGCTGACTGCTCGCATCTGTCTGTTGTAGCTGAAGAGGTGAGGAAGCTGAAGGCTCGCGTGGATGAGCTGGAGAAGATCAGAAATAACGTGCTGTATTTTGAGGAAAAGGTAGAAAGAAGCAGCAAGGACCGCCTCCAGGGTGTGGCACCTGGCATCGGAGTGGGTGACAGCAAAGCGGGGCTCGATGGCCTCAACCAAGAGGCACTGTGGTTATTCGTGCGGAACAAGCTAATGACGGAACAGGAAAATGGTAAGCTTGCCCACAGCCACCTGGCTTCGTGTGCCTCTCCTCCCATCTTCTCTTTCCTGAGAGGCAGGAGAACCAGGACGGGAATCCCATTTCACTGCTAGAGAAGCTGAGTCCTGAAGGGACGAATTGCTCAGGATCATAGAACAGCCCAATGTAGAATCTGATTCCTGGTGCTAGCTCCTGTGTCTCCCTGCCATCTGTGACCAACTCCTTTGTGTGTAAGGTTCATGCAAATTGTGACACTGACTCAGGATTTACTTTCTCCTGTAGGAAACCTCCGAGGAAGTCCTGGCCCTAAAGGTATTGTGATCATCTAAGTCCTTCCCTGGTCTCTGTCCTGAGGCTGGAAGTGAGGGTTCTAGGCACACTGGAAAACTTGTTCGTTCTCTCTCTTTCTCTCTCTCTCTCTCTCATGTTCTTTCTTTCCTTCTTTCTTTATCTCTTTCTGTTCTTTCTCTTTTTCTTCCTCCCTCTCTCCCTCCCTTCCTTCTTTCCTTCTTTCCTTCCTTCCTCTCTCTCTCTGTCTCTCTTTCTCTTTCTTTCTTTCTCTCTCTCCCTTCCTTCCTTCCTTCCTTTCTTTTTTTTTCTTTCTTTCTTTCTTTTCTTCCTTCCTTTCCATATGGCAGAAGGAGAAGGTGAACAACCTTATTGTCTACTGAGGAGCTGAGAATTGCTTTAGAGATTCTTAGCAGAAGGGACCCCGTGGCACGCCTGCGTACCCCGAGGGGACCCAGTGAGCTTGTCATATGGGCCACATGTCCTCACGTGGCTCTGGGTTCTCACCCAGTTTTCTTACCTCACAGTTTTCTTATCTTTCTGGTTTTAGGTGACATGGGGAGTCAAGGCCCGAAAGGTAAATATTCTGTAGACATTTGGCCTGCAATGTTGGGAAGGGCTGATGTTTGAAGCAAGCAGCCAGGGTCAGAAAACATACCTCACACTGAGCAAAGCACTCAGAGGGAAACCAAGGAGGTCTTCCATCCCATTGGCCCTCACTGGACAAGGACAGCTTTCTCTGATTCATCTGACTGGGGTGGGCAAGCTTCCATGTGTGGAGGAATTGCTGGAGGATTCTGGGCCCAGTCCCAAGCCTCTGATTCAGCAGGTGTGGATGGGGTCAGGGGTCTCCAGCCCTGGTTACCACAGGTGACTGTGACCAGGACTGCCCACTCCATACCGAGACTCACCTCTGTCCCAGCTCCACCTAGCTTCCCAAGACACCCGGGCGCAGGAGCCAGGATTCCTCCACTTGTTAGTCCTCCAGTTCTCTCCACTCTTTTGTCATGATTCCCTGACCACCTTCCTCATCCCCACACATACATCTGAATTGCTGCCCAAGCCCCTTTGTCCCAAGGCTCCAGTCTGCAGCCCACACCCCTCCCTCCGTTGCTCAGGTGGGGACTTATAACTCCAGTGCCCTACAACCTGGAGTAGTCAGGTGAAGTACAAGATTCTCAATTATATTTGAGTTGCAGATAAGCAGCACATTAACTTTTCTCCTGTGTATTTTACAAGATATATTTATAGTAAAAAATGTTATTGTGATTATCTGCAAACCCACTGTTAGTGGATATGCGTAGTTCTATTTGCTCACTCTGGCAGCCTTACCTGAATCCCATGGGCTCCCACAGGGAACTGAGCCAGGTCCTCTGGCTGACATCTCTCTTACCTTTGTTCCTGCAGGAGACCGAGGGCCCCCTGGGGTTATAGGTATGTAATCCCCTGCTGCTGGTTTGGGGTTCCCGCTTCTGGGGGATCTAGGAATTGAGGTCCTCTTGTGTATTTGCAGGTAACCCTGGGCCCCTGGGCCACCCTGGCCCTGAAGGACCAAAGGGCCAAAAAGGAAGCCTGGGTAAGAAGCCTGTTTTTCCCATTCATTTCTTCCCTTGCTGACTTATTCAATAAGCATTGAATGCGTGCTACGTGCCAAGCCCTGTTTTAGGAGAACAAGACAGAAGCGGCAGGGTTCCACCCCACAGTTGTGGACCTCACATTTGGTGGGGTAGAGACAGTAAGCATGACAATTAAGTGACATACGTACAGGGTGGGGAGGGATGTGAGACAGGAAATTCAGCCAGGTGGGACATGGGGCGTCAGTGTTCGTAGGGGTTAAATAGGAAATCGGGGAGCAAGACTTGAACAGAGAGGGAGCCAGGCACAAGACCTGGGGAAACATTCCAGACAGAGAGAGCAGCCACAGCTAGGAGCCCAAAAGCAAGTTCAAGGAGGAAGGTGGAACCTGGAGAGGCTGAAGGGATGGCCAAGGGAAGGATGCCAATCGTGGGACCTCAGAGTCACCCTAAGGATGCCAACTCTTACTTGGAGTGAGATGAGAAGCTATTGTAGTTTGGGACAGAGGTGGGATGTGATATACTCACATCTCCAAAAGGTCACCTTGGCTTCTGGGCTGAGTTGAGACTGCAGGGCCGAGGAGGAGTAGGGAACTAAAGAGGAGACTCCAGGCCAGTGTTCTGCCTGCAGCAAGGGGAGTTCTTGACTCCTGCAAGAGACCTCATCTACAATTGGCTACACCTGTCTTTAGGAGATCCCGGCATGGAAGGACCCATGGGCCAGAGAGGGCGAGAAGGCCCTATAGGACCTCCAGGTGTACCAGGGCCTCCTGGATTTGGTGAGAAAGGAGACAAAGGTAAGAAGCAATTCTTCACCAAGAAGGTTAACTCACTCCTTTCTTCCCTCCTCCCTCCCTTCCTCCATTCCTCCCTCCCTCCCTTCCTTCCTACCTACCTTTCTTCCCCCTTTTCTTCCTTTCATCTGCTGACTCAATACATCAGTAACATTGTGTGCTTACCTTGAGCTGGGATCTGTCGAGGCCCTATGGAGACACAATTAACAATGCTGTATGGGTCCAGGCACAGGGTTGTGGAACAGGCTGCAAGCCTTGGGACCTTGAGAATCGGTTCTAGAGAAATAGTCTTTCCATAGTGGGACAAGGCCATGGTAGAGAGCAAAGGGCAGGGAGGGTGGTGGCGTGGCGTGGTGGCATGCGGGCTTTCCAGGACCCTCTCAAAATGGCCCTTCCTCCATTTCTCCTCAGGCGCTGCTGGCAACGTGGGTCCTCAGGGCCCTCCTGGTGTTCCCGGTTCTGTGGGCCCCAAAGGTATGTCAAGTGCCCAAGAGGAAATCCCAGGAATGGGTCACAGAGAACAGGCCTTGAGGTGGCAGACAATACTAGCCTACTGCTTGCGGCCAGGGCAAGACGTAATATCCCCCAGAGTGTCTCCCCCACAAAAGAATCCCTAAGATCTAAGACTGCAGCCATCATTTTGACCCAGGAGTGGGGTTAAAGCCACATTTCCATCTCTCTTCTGTGGCCACGTTGTGTGGTCCCCGTGGGGGGATGATCACACAGGAAATCATGGATGATTTCCTCCACTGACTGAGGCCCAGAGGCACTCATTGAAAGTCTCAAGTCAGCACAGCCCAGAGAGAATGGACCCCTCCTCACAGCGTGATGCCCATCTGGTCACCACCCCTCCTGACCCCAGTCCCAACCAGAACATCTTCCTCTGGTCAGAAAGGAGCAAGGGCCTCCTACCCCACCCAGCCACAGCCTGCCTATGGAGGACACTGCATTGGGACCACTGCTGGCCCTCTGGTGTGGGGTCTTGGCAAATACCCACATGGTGTGAGCAACACTTACCCACCCAGCCCTCATCTAGAAGTGAACTCCCTCCCCGCCCCCTACCTGCCCTTCACCCTGGGCTCAGATGTCCATGGCCTGCACCTAACCTCTGATGATCATCTTGTCTTTCTTCTCAGGTTCCAGTGGCCCTCCTGGCCTGCAGGGTCCTCCAGGTCAGTGTGCTGCTTCTTGTAAATAGGTACCATTTCCAGGGACCACAAAAAGAATGTTAAAAGGAGAACCAGACGTTTTTTAAAGCAAGAGAAGCCGTATTTATAAAGAAAGCTTCCTAGAGACACAAAATCAACCCCATGCTGAATCTCCTGAGGTTGGGCTTGGGTGGTCCTGTCCAGTGGGTGGGTTGTATGGGGCCTGAGACCCACCCTCCCAGCAACTTCAGCAATAGGAAGTTTTCATCTTGCTCTTACCTAGCAAGTGCCTGCTTCTGTCTCATTCCCTAGGGGCCAAAAAAATCTTGTCCTGCTACCCTCAAAATCTTGAGTTGCAGCTTATGTCTCTCCTGAGGTTCTATCATATACTTTAAAAGCCAGGGCCTGGTGAGGGACAGGAACAAGGAACCTGGATCAGGATCATGTAGCAGTGACATGGGAGACAGGGAAAGCAGCCCTTGACTTTTACTCCAGGGTGTGTGTGCATCTGTGTGTCTGTGTCTGCGTGGTGAATGTGTGCACACCAGTGTTCATGTGTGTCTCTCCCTTGGGAGATGGGATGTTGATCCACCCATATGTTTTCCTCTGCTTGGCAGGCTCTATGGGTCTCCAAGGGCTTCGAGGCGAAGTGGGGCTCCCTGGTATCAAAGGTGAGCTGAGGGAAAGGTCTGGTAGGAAGGGGATGTCACGCTGTGAGGTCTGGGGGAGGAGGCTGGGTGTGGGGAGGACATGATTAGCAGGTAGCTAATAAGTGTAATTGGGGGATGAGTTCAGATACAGAAGACTGCCTTCTTCCGAGGTAGCCATTGACCCTTCTTGATCATCCTCTGCAAGGCTCCTAACATCAAGATGTCTGCTTCCTTTTCAGGTGACAAAGGGCTTATGGGACCACCAGGACCCAAAGGTATGTTGTTCCACTGTTGCTCAGTCCCCAGCACAGGCACCTAGGTGCCACTCTTGATGCAGGGTCTGAGGTCATATGTGACTCTGGCTCTTGGGCCCTGAGATTAAGAGGGAGTTGAGAGCTCATCCTTCTCTAGTCTCTCAGGGAAACTGAGGCACAAAGAGGCAATAAAGTACCAACATCACACGATCATTGTCGAGGGGACTCAGAATGAACATCCTGGGGTGTCTGTCCTCTGTTCTGGTTCTCCTTGTGCCCAGTACTCCCCACATGTGCCCTGCCAGGGGCTAGGGACCTGTTTGTGGATGGGACCTGCCCCCCCTAGAGATGGAATATGCTCCTCTGACTTTATCAGTGTATTGTGACGCCCAGGCACCCCTGTTACTTGGGGAGTATTGTTGTCCTTGCTACCAAATAACAGTACCTTTCCTCTCCCACATCTGTTTTAGGTGACCAGGGTGAGAAAGGACCCCGAGGTCTCACAGGTCAGTCCCTTCCATTCATGGCTTTCTAAAAACGTACCCATCACTGGAAGTGGGGAAAGTATGGAAAGATAAGACAGAATCTCTGTTTCAAGACTTTCAAGGAAAGCTGGGGACTGGTGGCTCACACCTGTCATCTTAGCTATTCAGGAGGCTGAGATCTGAACATCACAGTTAGAAACCAGCCCAGGCAGAGAAGTCCAAGAGATTCTCATCTACAATTAACCAGCCCAAAGCTAGAACTGAAAGAGTGGCTCAAGTAGCACAGCACCAACCTTGAGAGAAAAAAGAAAGCTAAAAGCAATTGAGTTCAAGCCCCGATACTGACAGACAAAAATACATAAAAGAAAGACCTTCAAGAAATGTGCCTAGAAGCAGCATACAGAAGTGAAAGTAAAGCCGAGAATGGAGTGAAGGAAGCATCAGAACACAAAGTCTAAACAACAACCATATTAGGTTGTTGTTTAGGATCAGAAAGAGCAGTTTTTAGCTGTCTTATATTCTTTAGGGAAATCAAGTTGAGAAAATTAATCAACAATTCCCAAGTAACAGAAACCTCACACCACACACCACGGCACCCACTCAGCCACTTCCTGAAAACTGGCATGATTTAAAAGAAAACTAGGAGTAATAATACTTTGCTGGGTAGCTTTCTGTTTCCAAGGAAACCATCTTCATACACATTCATCACAGGTGGTTCCTGGGACAGTCTACACCTGCTGCCTGGGAACTGGGGGAATGGGGACTCAGGTGGCTTTGGCCTCCAAACAAATCAGCATAGATCTCTTCCTGCTTGCTCCTCGGGGTAGAATGGGGAATGGGTTAAGGTTAGGGAGCTGAGTGCATGCTACTGCAATCAGAGCCCACTCTGGTCCTATGTCTTTTGCAGGCGAGCCTGGAGTGAGAGGATTGCCTGGGGCTGTGGGAGAGCCTGGAGTCAAAGGAGCAGTGGGTAAGTGGCTCAAAGGAGCAAATGCAGTGGTTCTGCCCATTGAGGTGGTCACTGTGGCCCTGGAGAAACCTCTCTTGTAGAGCTACCTCCCCTGAACTCTCCCCTGCCGAGCCCTGGACGGGTCTCCCTACAGCCCAGGGCTCATGAGCTATGGTTCTCTGAGGGGTTCTCACTGCTCTGGGGCGGACTTGGCAGGGCACTGGCCAGCCTGCCTGGCTTCTCCCTGCCCGTTGAGAACAGAAAAGGGTTGAGGTCTTTTGAGACCTCTCCCTGTAAGCTGCCACCCTTTGGGGAAAACATCACCAAGATGCCTGTCAGCCAGGCCTGGGGTCTTTTAAGTCCCAATGGGGGCTTGAGCCCCTCTCATTCATCTAACCAACTCTTAGTAAGCACTGAGCGTATACAGGATGAGTAAGGTTCTTGGCAAGTAAGACATTTAGCCCCTCAAGGGGACGCAAGGCTTGTAAAAGGGGGCATGAAAGGTATGAGGACATGGTTGAGGGAGAAATTCCTTCCCAAGGGAGAAAAGTGGCATTTTGGTTTCTTTTTTTTTTTTCTTTTTGCCAGTCCTTGGGCTTGAGTTAGCCCTCTACCACTTGAGCCACAGCACCACTTCCAGCCTTTTCTGTTTATGTGGTACTGAGGGCTTCATGCATGTGAGGCAAGCATTCTACCACGAAGCCACATTCCCAGCCCAAAGGTGGCATTTGGGGGATTCTTAAAATCTTAGGACAACTTTCAGCAGACAACCAGCTTGGTTAAGTGTCCGTGCAGAGACAGCAATGTGAGTAAAACACAGAGGTAGGTGAGAAGGAGCCATGGTCTCGTAAGGACCCTCCTTCAGGTAGAGGTTAGGATGCTGCCTAGGTCACAGGAGACAGAACCTGCGGGGCCTTGACTTCTCAGTCCTCAAGTAAATAAGTCAAATCTCAGGGACATCCAAGCTCTCATGGTGATGCAGCGTCCTGGGCTGTTCTCTGCCATCAAATAGACCACTGCTGGCTTAGAGAGGGGGCAGGGAGAAGGCTAGATCCAGAGGTGTCACCATAAAAGGTTCTCTCCTGCAGTTGAGGGCCACAGGAAGGGCATCATGGGCTCCCTACCTGGAAGTCTCTGTGCTCCAAGTAGCGGGAGTCACCAAAATTTCCCCAGGAGTAACTCATGAACTTTGCATTCTGCTTTCCCAGGCCCCGCTGGCCCCAACGGACAGCAAGGCCCAAGAGGTTGGTCACTGCTCTGCTTCCTGTGCTCTCGTTACCTGCTCACGCCTCCTACTCCCTGTCCTGCCCATGTCCCTGCATCCATGTCCTACCCGAGCCCCTCCATCAAACGAGGGACAAATGAGGCCCCTTCTTCCACCTGCCTACCTGCCAGCGAGTCACAGGCTCAGAAGGGCCGGCAGGTTAGGTGTTCTCATCAGTCATGCGTTCTGCAGGTGAACAAGGTCTGAAAGGAATACCTGGGACCCGTGGTCCTCCAGGACCTTCTGGAGACCCAGGAAAGCCAGGTAACAGGGCAGGAAGAAAGAGGCACAGCCCTCTTGAGGGTGTGGTACTACGGGGATGGCCCTCAAGTCCTCAACTCTTGCTCCTTGTCTCATTTTTGGCAGGTCTCACAGGACCCCAGGGACCTCAGGGTAAGTCATCAGGTCACCCCTAGCTGCCACCTCCCACTTCTTCGAAGGACAGGCACTTAGCCACACTTCTTCTTTCACCTGACACTGTCCTGTCCCCACTGAACTTCCCAGCAAACACAGACTCACTGTGAGTCTTGGAAGCACCATAAGAAGGAATAACAAAGGACAATCTAGAATGCCATCACGTCAAGCTATATGCTGATTCTATCTCTCTGTGCTCTGTCCAGGGAAGAGCCCCAAGCCTATGGGGGCCACTGCTGGCCAGGAGTCCTGTTAAGCCAACAGAGACCCACTGGCAAGGAGGGAGTAAGCATTCTCATTCTCATCCTGGATGGGCCAGCCTCTGTGCTAAAGCCCACCTTGCAATACCCATTTGGGTCTGAGAAATCATTATACAACCCACTCGCTCATTTCCTAAAGGAAATTAGACAAAGAGTTAGAAAGAAGCCAAGCAGCAGCGCCTCAAAATCTGGATGCCCAGTGACATCCTTGTGACACGTGGGGTAGGCAAGCACTGCTGCTCTGGACAAGCTGGCCCCGCCCCTAGTCTGCAAGGACAGGGGACCAGGGGAAGCTTTGCAAATGCCTGAGCACTCACAGCCCAGAGGGACTGAGACCTCAGACTCTGCCTGCCTCAACCCGGGCTGTGTGCCCCATTTCCCCCCCATTTCCCGAGAGGGACAGGGCTTAGATAAAATCCCCATCCCCAGAGGAGCTGGAAGCCAGACTGTGGGTCTCAGGGCTTCAGTGGGCCAGCTGGTGTGGCTCTGCTGAGTGACAGAGCCCTGGTTACTGCCCAAGGGCATGTGGAATGGCTGGACCTTAATTATCCTGACTGACTTGTGTTTGATCACATCAGGACTTCCTGGCAGCCCTGGCAGACCAGGGGCTCGAGGTAAGTGATTTTCCAGATAAAATATTCTTTCCAGTGGCCATGTGTGAAAGAGGGAGGGAGGGGTAGGAGGGAGGGTTTTCTCTGACCACAGCCTGGACCAACAGTGGCATCTAGTGGCTCGAGCAGAAGGCTGAGATGGGAAGCCCAGGGATCTGCGCTGAGAAACCAGGCCCTGGATTCTCAGCCTCTCCCTTCCCAAACCTAAGCCTCCATTTCATGGCTATAGGCCATGTGGCAGAAAGATGAAGGGCGCAGTATCCCCAAAGCTTCTCATCAGCTGATTTGCCTCTACTTCTAATGACAAGTTGGGCCAAGGATTTTGAGTTTTTTTTCCCAGGATAAATAAATATAACCCTAAAATGATACAAATATGGTGTTCATACTTCCCAAGGCCTATAGGTCTGTTCAGGGATCGTGCCTTCCATGAGGTTGTGTAGGTTTGTAGGAATCCTGTCCTTCTGTGACTTCCTGTCCAAGGGAACTTCAGACACTTCCCTGGACAAGATGCACAAGAAGGGACATCACCGGTTATTGGATTGTGTTCCAACAAAACAAACTCAAGCGCTTTCTCCTATCTTGACCACCTGGATTTGGAGAGCAGAGCTCATCACAGTCCATCCTTCCACTGTGTGATTTCACGGCTCACACAACTTCAGAAATAGAAAGAGTCTCCTAAAGGACCTCCAGTTGAGAGGCTTGTGGGAAGTGGTGCAGGGGGTCAAACCTAGACCCTCCTGCATGCTAGGCAAGCGCCCTACCGCTGAGCTACACCCCCAGCCTGAGGAGCTTTTCTACATGCAGTCCCACTCCCTTGTTCTCCCCAAGCCATCCACGGACTATCAGTGAAAGACACACCCCACGGTGGATGTGTCTGCAGACATATGAATTCTATACTCTCTTCTAGAAAGTCCAGCACCAGAGACACGTGGCAAAGAAGAGCTGTGAACCTCTGTATAACTCACGACTTCTCAGCTTACTAACTGTAGAACCTCTTTCATGCTGCCCAGCCCTCATGCCATCCCTGGGAACTAGAGCCCTCAGCAGTACTCTGGGACTCCCTCCCTCTGCCTCCTGTGCTTATCGCCGCTGTCCTTTGACCTTTGGGCAATTCTCAGGAAGAGACGAGGGCACAGGATGATTCTCTAGTCAGCCTCATTCTCTCCTCCCTGCAGGGTGCACATTCCCACCGTCTCCCATGAAGCCATTCTGGGAGAGAAGACAGATGCTCAGGCCCAAGAGATTGCATAAAGTACATCTTGCAGGCCCCCTTCAGTTTATTAAAATGCCTTCAGCCTGGGCTGGGAAGGTGGCTCAGTGGTAGAGTGCTTGCCTCGTGTGCATGAGGCCCTGGGTTCGATTCCTCAGCACCACATAAGCAGAAAAAGCCAGAAGTGGCGCTGTGGCTCAAGTGGTAGAGTGCTAGCCCTGAGCTGAGGGACAGCGCCCAGGCCCAGAGTTCAGGCCTCATGCCAGGAGGGGGGAAAAAAAAGCCTTCAGCCTGAAAATGAGAGGCCCCCAAGTGCCTCCAATGTAGTCAGAGAAGCCTTGAAAGTGACTTACTGAGCCACTAACTGATCCATCTGACCAGCTCTCCTCCTCATCCTCCCCTAGGTGAACCCGGGGCTCCAGGCAGAGTCCTGACTTCAGGTAGGCAAGCTGGGAGAGATGGTCCCTGTGCTGTCTGTGTGTAGCCCATGACCCGCATCTGCCTTGACAGCCTCCGAGAAGCACTAGTTGGCAGGAAGATGACTGGCTGGGATGTGGCTTTGGCTGTTGAGTCTGGATCAGCAGCTAGGACTAGGGGGAGTTAGAGACGAGGAGAGGCAGTGATGTTGTCCTGGCCAGCCTGTAACCCACTGGGGTTTCCAGGACCTCCAAGCAGGAAGAGTGGAGCTCAATATTCCATGTGCTTTGTGTTTTCAGGGGAATTATCCACAGTCACTGTCCCAGGACCTCCAGGACCTCCTGGTGCCATGGGACCCCCTGGACCTCCGGGGACTCCAGGTCAGTCCATTTTCTTGCTTTTCCCCAATAAACAGTAGGCTGTAGTTGTGCTGGACTATATCCAGCCATGTTTTCTCTGGTCTTAGAACTGAGGACAGGAAACAGGAGTAAGGAAGTTCTGGGAAAGCTTAGCCTTGTGCTCCTGGGCAGGAAGAGTGGTCTGTCATCCTGCCCCATGGCACAAGAAGCCAGCACCTCCCTCAGCATGTGCAGATAGGAAAGCCAGCAAAACAGGCCAATGACTTCCCAAAGTCACACAGCCAACTCACAACAGGACTCAGCCCCATTGCTCTGCCTCTAGAGCTTGTGACAGTCAGAATAAAAGGCCTTTGGATCCTTTGTTTCTTCTTAGAAAATGATCATGTGCATTCCAGACAACATATTGGTTAGGGTAATAAGTATCTCCCAAATCATCTAGCAACCTACAATGGTTTTAAAAAATATGAAAACTTTTGAGGGGAGTTGTAAAACCCTATAGTCATTATTTAAAGACACAAGACATCGAATGGTATGTGCTCTGTGGTTGAAGCTATATTCTTATAAGAGGTTAAAAAAAGTTGGAAGGAAATGAAATGCACACAAGTTAAAGAATTATAAACAAATATTTTCCCCTTTGTCCAAAATGCCCACGATGTGGCTAAATATTTTTAATCATTGCAACTATTTATGCTCAAAGGAAGTACTCGAGGTCACATGGTCAATGCAAGTAGGTAGCCTTTGCAGAGCTCCACTGAGAGTGTGATTTTCCCTAGAAGTGTGATTTTCTTTTCCTCACCCTTGTTTCTAGGCCCCGCTGGCCCCGCTGGTCTTCCAGGACAGCAAGGTAGGCAATGCATGGGAAGAACGTGGGCAGTGCTCCCAGACAGGACTTTCAGGCAGGGGTTGGGACCCTGTGCTGTAGGCAAAGGGAGAGATGGATGTTTCGGAAAGGGTGGGGTAAAGCTCTTCACCCGGGCCCTCCAAGGCCTCCATTTCCTGTTTCCTTTCCTGTTTCTGAGAGTGTTAGTGTCCTCAGGACAGACTGAGGTTCTGTGACCCATGGTCAAGGTTCAGTTGGGCTATTTTCATAGCCTCTTGCCTCTTCTGACCAGACCCTGATAATCATGCCCTGTCCCATAGTTTATCCAAGTATCAAAAAGCAATCAGAACCAGGCACTGATGGCTCAAGCCTGTAATCCTAGCTACTCAGGTGGCTGAGATCTGAGAATTGCAGTTCAAAGCAGCCTGAGTAGGAAAGTCCATGAGACTCTTGCCTCCAATTAACCACTCAGAAACTGGAAGTGGAGCTCAAAGTGATAGAGCACTAACCTTGAGCAAAAAAAGCTCAGGGATAGTGCCCGGGGCCTGAGTTCTAGCCCCATGACAGACCAAAAAAAAAAAGCAATCAGAGCCAGGCACTGCTGACTCACACCTGTAACCCTAGATACTCAGGAAATTGAGATCTGAGTATCACTGTTGGAAGCCAGCTTTGGTAAAGAAGTCTGATACTCTTATCTCCAATTAGCTAGCAAAAAGCTAGAAGTGGAGCTGTGGCCCAAGTGGTAAAGCACTGGCTAGCCTTGAGCAAAGACAGCTAAGGGACAGTGCTTAGGATCTGATGTGCGTGCACGCACATGCACACACACACACACACACACACACACACACAAATCAGGCTTACAGAAAACTGGCAAAAATCTTCCTAGGAAGTCTTCTGCCACAGTGGGGTCTACTGTCCAGACCCTGGCAGTGCTCCCCTTCATTTGACCCACCCTCCCTCTTCCAGCACCCCCTTTTCCAGACCTGCCTCAGCTGGGTGGTAGAAGGCTCTCAGCTAGGCTCTACTCCTAGCCCTGGGCCCTCTCCAAAGAGGAAGCCGGAGCCCATTGCTGCTGGCAGTGCTCAGCCTAACTCCACATGCACCCCACAGGTCCACGAGGCGAGCCAGGACTTACTGGTGACTCCTTCCTGAACAGTGGCAGCTCCATCTCTGAGATCCTCTCCACCCGTGAGTGCCTCCCTTGTCCGGGGCAGGTGGGAGCTGGCAGTGTACTCGGGCCTGGGCAGCTGCAGCAGTGAGGCAGCACCTAGTGTGAGGGTCACCAGTTCCCGCACATGGCCGTGGAAGCCGGGGAGAGCAGCAGGGTTGATCTGGATGGGAAGCTCAGTGGCCAGGATGGGACAGCTGTCAGAGAGGCTCTGAGGTTCCAAGATGACCTGGGTCACCTTGGAACTGGGCCATTTCCCACTTACAGCAAGCACAACCAATAGCAAGAATCTCAACTACAGGCCCAGGTTGAGAAGGCTGGCTCCTGTACTGTACTTTCTAGAGCCCTGATGGATCACTAGCTGGACCTCTTACTTGAATACATGGAATGCCAAATGGCTAAAATGGCTGCCAGTCCAAGCCAGGCTCTATTGTGTGCTCGAATTGTTGGGGGTTCAGCATTGGGTGACATTGCACTGAGTCTTCCCGACACTTCAGTTCACTGACCCTGATTTACCAAGGAGGAAATGGAGGCCAAGACAGCCTGAGAAGTTGCCCTAAGTCACCAGCTAGCTGTGCAGAAGCAAGGATTTTAATGCAGGCTGTCTGATAGGGAAGCCCATGCTTCTACCCATCATTCCATACCCATGAGCTGCCAGCAAATTTACAGCCCCATCTGCCGGGGGTGAGCACCATAGAAGATGGCGTCCTGGAGGGTCATAGCCCACAGCCTGGTCCCTGGGTGTGACTGTGGCCCAGAGTCTGAGGCTGACGATCCTGAAAGGTAAGAAGCATGGCAAAGATCAGCCTCGTCAAAGTCTCTGTCATTTCCTGTTTTCTTCTCTCTACAGAAGGCCTTGATTTACGAGGTCCCCCAGGCCCACCTGGGCCACGAGGTCCCCCAGGTAAGCATGTCAGGGACTTTGGTAGGTAGAGAATCTCAAGGCCAGGGGGTTCAAGGCACTTCGTGGAGAAGCCCAGATCCTGTTCTCAGAGGGTGAGTTCATATTTCCTCTTCCTCACTTTCTCTTGCAGGGCCCTCCATCCCAGGCCCACCAGGACCCCGAGGCCCACCAGGTGAGAGCAGAGCTCCGTGCTGCGGAGGGAGAAAAGGATACAGGAGGTGGGAGGCGCTGGGACCCAGAGCCTGGAATGGCTCTAAGGAAAGAGGTTTTTGCCTCCTCCTGGGCAGAGAGCTCCTGGCCCATCTCTTGGCATTAATGAGTCTCGGGGTTTCTCCTCTTAGGGGAAGGTGTGCCCGGCCCACCAGGCCCACCAGGATCTTTCCTGGCTGACTCAGGTAATGTTCACCACTTGGACCTAGCTCTGGCACGGGTGTCTGTCTTCTTTCTGACTGGTCCGTCTGTATAACCTTCCTGCTACTTGTTACATGGTGGGGGTGGGGGTTGGGGGGGAGCAGAATAAACCATGCCAATCCAAACACTCTGGTGGCCTGGCCTGAGGGAAGGAGCCAGCTCTGCCCTCGAGGAGTTTCCAGGATGAGTAGGCAGTGCTTGTCTGATAAAGTACGCAGGACATATGCCCAGGAGATGGCATGAGTGCTAGCAGTTAAGATCTTTGCACTCATCTATCATCTTCCACGATAGATCCCTCTACCCACCCATCCCTCCGTTCATCTGTCCTTCCATTCATCTCTCCATCCTTCCATCTTTTCATTCATTTGAATATTCAACTGTCCAGCCATCCAAATATCCAAACATTTATCTATAACACCATCCTTATAGCCAGCCAGCATCTGAGAAAATGTTGATTGAGCATCTACGGTATGCTAGGTGCTACTTCCTCAGAAACATTACACTCCAACTATCTCTTTCTTCTGCAGATGGCATCTTCTCTGGCCCCCCAGGCCCACCTGGCCCCCCAGGCCCTAAAGGAGACCAAGGTGAGAACAGAGTCTTGGGGATCCCAACAGCTGATATGTGTCCCCTGCTTACCACTGGGGGACCAGGCAAGCCCATCCCTGTCTCCATGGTCCCCATCTAGCCAAAATGTCTGGTTATAAGTATCTCACAGCTCTCTGCCTCCTTAACTTCAGCCCCCACCCCCACCCCCCAGGTCTCCAGGGACACCAAGGTACAGTAATGCTGACATTAGTCACAACCTGAGATAGGGCCAGGGCAGAAGGAGCTGACTGTCAAGGGCTTAATGGAAATGCATTTGGTCTTCATGAGCAAAAGTAGATCAGAGTGTCTCTGTGAATGGCTTAGTATGTATGCTTATTGTGCAGGTGTGCGTGTAATACAAGTGCGCGTGCAGTCCAGTGTAAGAGTGTATGTAGTGTGGGTATGTATGCCATGTCAGTATGTGTCCAGAGTTGGTGTGTGTGTGTGTGTGTGTGTGTGTGTGCAGGGCAGGTGTGTATACAATGTAGGTGATGAGTATGTGGCAGGCATTCCCCAAAGGAGGATATAGACTCAACTATCCATGCCCTGAGGATCCTCAGAAGGGGAGGAGAGAAAAGAGGAGGGGGAAGGAGGAAAGTGAGACTGAAAGTCCTTCTCCCCATCCCTCAGGTGAACAAGGCCTCCCAGGGCTCTCAATCTCCGGTAAGTGTAGAACCCCTGCCCAGCCCTGCTCCAGCCAGAGCCTCTCCCAGCCCTGGCTAACTGCACTGTGTGTGCTATTGATTTCTAGATTCTGGTTCTCTTGGATTCAACATGCAGGGACCCCCAGGCCCACCTGGCCCACAGGGACCCAAAGGTGACAAAGGTCAGTGAAGGATCCACTAACAAGCTGGTGAGGAATGAGTCTAGCCTGACCCCCGAAGCCCAGCCCTGAATGGAGTGCCTTGAGTGCTTATTTGTAAGACTTGGGCAAAAAGAAGAGGCAAAAGAAAGAATAGACTGCAGGGAGACAGGGACAAGGACCTGGAAAAATAGTCTCTGCCCAAAAGAACCTCATGGTAGCATTGTGAAAAGAAGACTAGGAGACATGGGACAATCGCTGAAGCACACACGTGTGTTGGGCCTGACCAGGGAAGGCTGCCTGTAAGAGGTGCACACAGGGCTACTTGGTTTGCATTGCAGGTGACGCTGGTGTCCTGGGAACTGCTAGCTTTTCCCGTGGTCCCTCTCGAGGTAAGAACTGAAGTTCTCCCCTCCTTCGAATGAGGATATTGATCTGTTCATTCTCTTGTCCATGACTCTATCCTTCTCCAAGAACTGGGGCTCATGTGCAGGTTAGCAGGAGGTTACAAGCTAGGGGGAAGGGAGGAAGGGCTCATGCATTTCTAAAGAGAACTAGCTAGGCCAGGGGTCCATGATGAGCGCAGAATGGACCCTGGCAACTCTGCACCGCCAGACAGGAGTGAGACTCAGCAAGGTGCTGAGCAGGTTGCTGTGGGCAAAGGGAGGCTTGGCCTGGACCAGCTCTTTTCCTCAAACTGCAGGTACAATGCCTGAGTCTGGGCCTAGGGTGGGGTAACTAACATGGGATGCTCTCTCTTCCCTACAGAAGAGTCATCAAACACCATGTACATCCAGGGCCCACCTGGCCCGCCAGGGCCTCCAGGGCTTCCAGGCTCCCTTGGTGCCTCTGGCCAAGATATTCAGCAATACATCTTGGAATACATGCAGAGTGAGTGGCCTAATTCCTCCAGCCTTGGCTCTAGGGTGGGTCAAAGGGGAAGAAAGGAAGAAGGGGACACAGGGAGGTGAGATTATGTTTGTGGGCATAAAGTAGGGGAGCTATCCATCTACTGATGCTGAGATTCCCCACCCCCCCCACCATAGAACATGGCCTACACCCCTGACCGCACACATAACCTCATCCTCACCCCACCTGGGGGCCATGTGTATACATATACTCACATATGTGTACCTCACCCCTATCTTCGTGGGGGGAAGGGCGGGCAATGATTCATTAAATGTTTGGTTGACTGGATTCCATGCCCTTAGGAACCATCTGACCCAGCACAGACTTCTGCCTCCATTTCTCCATCAATAACAAGGGAGTCTAAACAGGATGGAGCAGGTTTTAATCACATGCTCTGGGTTACCTCTAGGAGGACCCTTGGGCTCATCATCCCCTTGGGGACAGGCTTAACAGCTTCATTGCTTTGTTGGCAGGTGACAGATTTAGGTCTTATCTATCTGGGGTTCAGGGTCCTGCAGGCCCCCCAGGGCCCCCAGGGCCTGTCACCACCATCACAGGCGAGACCTTCGACTATTCACAGCTGGCAAGCCACGTCTTGAGCTACTTGCAGAGTAAGCCCGCCCCACACCCTGTCCCTCTGCCTTTTCTTCCTTTTAAGGGGCCACTCTTGTTCCCAGAGCCTCAGCTCTCCATTCGCTGTTTGCTCTGCCCTTCTCCTGGATATAACTTTCAATTCCGCACTCACTATGGTTCGCTTGGATTGGTTCAGGCAGAGAAGGGAGGCCCTGCCTCCAGTTGACCAATGTGTCCTCCTCACCCCAATTACTGGTCCCTCTCTGTTTATGAAGAGATCCTTCTGCTTCGCAGAATCTGGTGGGAGTTAACTAAAGCATATTCTACAAAATAAATTGCATTTATAACCAAAATAACAACAACAGCTTTGGCCCTTTCCCTGTTTCTAACAAGCCTATAGTATCCCATTCATTCATTTCCCTCAAAAAGGAGCGACTCGCTAATGGGTCTTTCAGACTGGTTGCCAAGGATCTGCTCCAGCACCAGGGAGGTAACATGAGGTCTTCTAACCACAGGTTCGGGCTTCAGCCTGTCCTTGTCATCCATTTCCTCTGAAGACATCCTGGCTGTGCTGCAGCGTGAGTCACTTGTGGGCTGAGGCCGGGACTTCCTCACCTCGCTTGTCAGGACCACTGTGTCCTCAGCCACGCTTTTGGAGGGCTGTGAACCTGAATCAGTTCTTTGGGACAAGGAATCAGGATCTCCTTGCTCTGCCTTACTCCCTGACTCACAAATGAACAGGAAAGAGGACACTCTGCTGTCCCCGGGTTGCAAGCAAGCAGTGCTGCAAGCACCTTCTGGAAGTTTGGTGATTGCCACTGGCCAGAATGGGCCTGAGAACAGGAAAACCAGTTATTAGGGGGAGTCCGTCCGTGCAGGGGACCAGGCAGTGGCTGGGCAGTGTGGGGAGCTCTTGAGGCTGGATCTATACTGGTGCATCCTCTGTTTTCCAGGGGATGAGGTGCGGCAGTACCTGCGGCAGTTCCTGATGGGTCCTCGGGGTCCCCCAGGGCCACCAGGAGTCGGTGGCGATGGATCCCTCCAGCCGTTGGACTATGCAGAGCTGAGTAACCGTGTTCTCAGCTACATGTCAAGTGAGCAGCTGCCTTCCCTTCCTGCCCCAGGTGGTAGCGAGGTCCTAACGAAGCTGGGATGAGGCCCTTCATCTCCAAGTTAGCCACACTGCTCTTTTCCTGCCTAATTGCCCCCACCCTAGCAAAGGGAGGGCCCTAGAGCGGCTGAAACCTGGGGCCCCGGCGCAGATCCAAGAACACAGCTGGAGAAGTCAAGCTTCCCGGGCATGGTCTTGTGAGGGGTTTGTGCACGTGCACATGCGTGCGCACACACACACACACACACACACACACTCGAGAACACCTGCATTGACAGCAGTGTTGACCTGTGCTCCTCTCAGCCCCCTCCTCCCCCACGGCCATTGCCTGGGACTGCATGATCCCACTCTTCTTTGCCTCTTTTCCTGCCACCCCCTCTTTCCTGCCTCAGATTCCACTGCTGTCTAGACTACTAGGTCTGACTTCCTCTCGGACAGGGGTTTCACATCCTCTCTCCCCTGCCTAATGGGAGTGCATCACAACCTGGACCTTTGTTCCCCCAGGTACTGGCATCAGCCTTGGGGTTCCTGGCCCCCCAGGTCCTCCCGGCTTGCCAGGAACAAGCTATGAGGAGCTCCTCTCTTTGCTCCGAGGTAAGGCCAAGCAGGGGCATCTGTCCAGATGGTTTGGAACAAAGCAGAGCCCTCAGCTCAGGCAGCGGCTGACTCCTTGCTCTCCTTCGTGTCTCAGGGTCTGAATACAGAGGCATCATTGGACCCCCAGGCCCCCCTGGGCCACCTGGGATCCCAGGCAATGCGTGGTCTAGCATCAGCGTGGAGGACCTCTCATCTTACTTACACAGTGAGGCATTGTGGAGCCCGATGGGGAGGGTAGAGGACATAGCCATAGAGTACTAATCCATTTGCCAATCACCAAGAAGTCCTAGAACAAGTACAGGGCTACAAGTACAGGGCTAGGGCTGAGGCCCTGGAGAAGGACCTCAACCTTGCAAGTGAACAAGAGCCTCCCCCCTCCCCCAACACTGCAGTCCTTGGAGGACTCACTCAGGGCCAACCTCAGCATGCCAGTGCCCATTCTTGGTGAAGGGCTAAGAAGGGGCTGGATCTGGACGAGTTGGGATGGCTCAATTGGAACAGTCACTCCTAGAAGATGCCAGAAAGAGGGCTGTTCTAGGCCTGTTGTTACCATCCCCATATCCAGGAGGCCCAGCTATGTCCCCCTTCCCATGCCCCGTCCAGGAGTGGCCCAAGGCAGGTTCTGAGGCCTGGCTGAGAACTCAGCTTTCTCCACATAAGACCTGAACACATCTCTTTCCCTTCTCTCCCATTCAGCTGCGGGCTTGTCATTCATCCCAGGCCCCCCAGGCCCTCCTGGGCCCCCTGGTCCTCGAGGGCCCCAGGGTGTTTCAGGAGCTCTGACCAACTATGCAGCTGAAAACAGCGACAACTTCCGCAGTGAGCTGATCGGCTACCTCACAAGTAGGTGCCCCTGAGGTTGGGGTCCCCCACCCCTCTCCCAAGACCTTACTTGTCCCCATAAGTAGGGGAGCAGGTGCTTAAAAGAGTCTGGAAGCCAGGCGCGGGTGGCTCATGCCTATAATCCTAGCTAATCAGGAGGCTGAGATCTGAGGATAGCAGTTCAAAGCCAGCCTGGGCAGGAAAGTCTGTGAGACTCTTACTCCAATTAACTACCAGAAAACCAGAAGGAGGGCTGCGTCTCAAGTGGTAGAGTGCTCACCTTGAACTGAAGAGCTTAGGGACAGCGCCCAGACCCAGAGTCCAAGCCCCACAACCAACCCCCCCAGTCCCCACAAAAAAGGAGCCTGGAAGGCAATCGTATGAGAGCCCCCGGTCAGGGTAAGCCTAGTTTCCTTCCTTGCCAGCGTCCTCCTGGTCATGTCAGAGACCCTGAAGTTGATTTCTGGTCACTGAGGCCCTAGGAGAGATCCTCTAGCTCCTAAGTCTTTCTGTCCACCAACATCTGGGCTTCTGCTCAAGCAACTTCCCGCCCTGCAGGTCCTGATGTGCGCAGCTTCATCGTGGGTCCCCCAGGTCCACCCGGGCCCCAGGGGCCACCTGGAGACAGCCGCCTAGCATCACGGGAAGACGCCTATGGTTGGGGGAGCAGCTCCTCCGTCAGACGGGGTGGCTCCTACAGTTCATTGGGTGGAGCCAACGGAGGCTCCCTAGGTGAAGGTGGAGCCTTTGGTGCTGGAGATGGAGGTCCATATGGCACGGACATCAGTCCAGGAGGAGGCTATGGGGCCGGCTTCACTGGAGACCTGGACTACAATGAGCTGGCTGTTAGAGTGTCGGAGAGCTTGCAGCGTACGTACACACATAGGCCTTGATGAGGCTCTTGGCATAGAGGCCCATCCTAATTCCCAGGCATTTCCGTGCAATGGGCCTCACCCAGTATTGGAAGCTAAACTGCGGGGAACAGAGCACACTGGGGTCCTAGTTCTTATTTTCCCCAACACCTAACTTACTCTGGTTCTCAGAAGATCCCTCTGACCACCATGTCTTTCTAGTGGGGCTCAAGGCAAGTTAGCCAAGAGGTCCTTCCTCTCTGTAGGTATGAGCACAGTCATGCAGTCCAAGGGCCTTGGAAGAATGCCCACAGCTCATGGTGGCCTGTGCCAGATGCCCAGCGGAACAGAGAGGGAGTCTTCAGGACTTCCGCCTTTGTGGCAGCTTTGTCTAGTTTAACTTTGGGAGTATTCCTTCTGCCGATGACAGCACTGAGTAACCCCTGCCCCTGGGCCTCCACTCTGGTGTTTTGCAGGTCAGGGTCTGCTGCAAGGGCTGGCCTACACCGTCCAGGGCCCGCCCGGCCAGCCTGGGCCCCAGGGTCCCCCTGGCATCAGCAAGGTGTTCTCTGCCTACAGCAATGTGACGGAAGACCTCATGAATTTCTTCCGAAGTAAGCACATCCCCATTGCTTTCCAGGCACCCAGCCTGCTCCATAACCACTGACTCGTTAAAAGACTGTGTGTATTGGAGGTACAGAAAATCTCCATCAAGTCCGCTTTGTTCCCTCTTAAAAATCCATCACTATCTGGTAACTTTGAACCCATCACTCAGTCTCTCAAGCTTCAGGTGATCTCCAGTCTAAGGCCAGTTTTTTGGTTGTTTTCCCCTTCTTGCAGCCTATGGAGCTATTCCAGGACCACCAGGGCAGAAGGGAGAAGTGGGCACACCAGGACCTAGAGGTAAGCGGCAGCAGGGAAACAGCTACCAGGACTCTACGAAAGGACAACCTCTTGCTGAGAAGCAGCCCCTTGCTGGTGCCACATTGGGTACCTATGCCATGCCTTTGGGTTCCACATGCATACTTGTACATTCAGATCATCCCTCCCTCTATTCCTCTAGGTGAGAGGGGTCCTGCTGGACCACGAGGTCTTCCCGGGCCACCTGGGCACAAGGGAGAAAAAGGAGACAAAGGTAAGTGCTGGTGCCAGAGTCCTAGGAGGCTGATGCTCAACAGACAGAAAATGTCACACACACACACACCACCCTCACAATGCAAATGCCAAAGCAAAAGCTGCCAACAATGTAATTTGCCTAACAATCACATTGGCAGCTTGAAAAAAAAAAAAAAGATGTCAGTGCCCAGAGGAAAATGGGAACTAACCTGGTGATAAAATAGGGTTAACTTGCTTCAGTAAACTGATGATTTCACAAATGATTTTTTTTTTTTCCTGTGGGGCTTGAACTCTGGACTGGGACGCTGTCCGTGTGCTCTTCTGCTCAAGGCAAGCACTCTACAACTTGAGCCACAGTACCACTTCTGGTTTTCTAGTGGTTTCTTGGAGATAAGAGTCTCATGGATTTTCCTGCTTGAGCTGGTTTGAACCATGATCCTCATATCTCAGTGTCCTGAGTAGCTAGGATTATAGGCGTGAGCCACCGGTGCCTGGCTTACAAATTATTTAATTTTTGAAATCATCTTATCTGTAGTCACAGTGGTTGTAACTGCCCATTAAGATCCTACAGTCCTTAAAACTTTGTGGTTTTTTTGGTCATCAGTTGTGGGATTAGAATTCAGGGCCTGGGTGCTGTCCCTGAGCTCTCTTGCTCAAGGCTAGCACTCTACCACTTTGAGCCATAGTGCTACTTCCAGTTTTCTGGTGGTTAATTCGAGTATTACAGACTTTCCTGCCTGGGCTGGCTTTGAACCGCAATCCTCAAATCTCAGTCTCCTGACTAGCTAGAATTACAGGCATGAGCCACTAGCACCTGGCCACAAAACATTTTCTGATTTCTACTCATCTAACTTTCAGGTGACCAAGTCTACGTGGGACGGAGGAGGAGAAGTATCGCCAGCAAGCCATGAAGCTGGCTGTCCCCTGGACTCGTTTTTGCAGTACATATGGGCACCTATGTCAGATTCTCTCCACCATGAAAGTTGGAGTCTCTGTCCTGATGAGACAAATGGTCACATAGCAAGGTTCTGGTCTGAACAAACTATAGTGAGAATGCAGTCAGACACACCATCTCTAACAGCCTCACTGGGTGCAATTTCAGAGCAGCTTCAATGCCTTGGGATGAGGCTATCTAGACCCCGGCTCCTTGTTCTTTAGCATTCAGGGCAGGCCCAGGCCCGGCCCCAGGCTCAGAAAGCCAGTGACATCCAAGTTGGCTTGGCAGTCTTTGAGCCCAGAAAATGGCAGGTGGGGCTGGGGTGGCTTTTTGGAGGTAACAGCTTGATGGGGCTGTGCTCTGGTTTCTGCTGAAGGCTGTGCTGTCAGCTGCTTCTTCCCCTCACCCTGCATTCTCTAGTCACAGCAAGAGAGTTGACTAAGAAGTGACTCTTGCAACTGAAGAAATTAGGAAATTCGCTTCCCCTGTAGAAGTGAGAGGGTTCCTAATAGTTTTATTATACACGCAGATTATGATTCCCACTTATTAAAATGTTTGATTGTAGCTACGATCTGTACCAATAGCTCTGTGCTAGAGTTTGTAGATATGTTATACTGAACTACACTGCAGCAAATAGGGCAACCAGAAAGAGGGAGAGAAGGGAATGGAATGCCTGATGCTGGCTGGGAAAGATGACTTCTGCTACGCTATCAACCCTCTGTCCCACACTTAGGAAATGGCATGGGGGCTGGGTACAGCTGGATTAAGCATTATTCACTGTCAAAAACATTTGTGGTCTGTAAGATGAAACGTCATTTCAATTGTAAATTTTCCAATTAAAAGTTTTTTTCTTTTTTAATATGTTTAATGTGAACCATCTGAACAAAGAAGTTTGTGTTTAGTTTTTTTTAAGAAAATATTCTGGGCTAGTGGGGTCTGACTGTAACACTGTTTATTACAAATACAAGAAAACAAAACTGGTTGTATTTCAGGGTGCTACTTCTAGCACTTTAATTGGCAATATCTTTAAAGGCCGGTTTCATCTGCAACTATTAACTCAAATTTGGCCAGAAAGGATCTGGAAGGTTTTTTTTTTTTTTTTTTTTTTTGGTCCGGTTGTGGGGCCTGAACTCTGGGCCTGGGCGCTGTCCCTCAGCTCTTCAGCTCAAGGCTAGCACTCTACAACTTGAGCCACAGCGCTACTTCCGGTTTTTTCTTTTTGCTTATGTGGTGCTGAGGAATCAAACCCAGGGCCTCGAGCATGCAAGGCAAGCGCTCTACCACTGAGCCACCTTCCCAGCCTCTGGGAGTTTCTTGTAAATTATTTGAAATAAACACAAAGGGACAACATGAGCAACAAGATTATCTGAAACAGGATTGTTTACTCTAGTGATTTATCCAGGAGCAAAGAAATTACAATTACAGGCCAAAGAACAGATGGGACTATTAGAAGGGAGAATGTACAAATACTAGTGAAGTCACTCAAAATGAAATCCAAAGAAGCTGCATTTGTTAGCTTGTTACAATCTGTGGTTCTGATTGCCGGATCTTAAGTGCTGGATAAGAATTAAACATCTCTACTCTTCTAAGACTGAATTGTTTTCTATATGGTCCTTATTCAGTCTACTCCATCAAACAACTGCTGGCAGCAACAATCACTCAAGCACCAAACATGCCACCTGGTCTTCTGGCTCCACTTTTATATCTGGACAGTTGACCACTGTGAAGTGCTATGGGGATTTTTGAAAAGGAGTTCAGACAGTCTTCAAAATTCAAAGCAACTTGGTTTACTGACTTAACAAAAACCTAACTATTGTGTATAGGGAATAAATGTAAGGTGGCTTTTTAAGTTTTCCTAAAGAAGTCACAGTTTCAGGCTAGGCATGGTGATGCATGAATATGGTAACAACACTCGAAAGGCTGAGGCAGGAAGATCAAGAGTTTGAGGCCAGCTTAGGATGCACAGTGACACTGTCTCAAAAACACAAAAACAAATTAATCACATAAAAGCTGGCTTTACTTTTACTTTTTAAAAACTTTTACTTTGGGATTCAAGTATTCCTTTTTCTATAAATGGTTCTTTCTTGATTAATCAGACCTAGAATTTTTTCCCTTGTCATTAGATTTGCTTTACTAAGATACCTAAAAGTCTTGAAAGAGTTCTATATGCAGGTAAAATAGAGTAAAAGTTCAACCTTTCTATCTTCTCTACATAAAACCCAGGAATAAGATGGACAGACTTGGGCGACATCTTCAAGCTGAATAGCAATGGATCTGAGCCTCTTTTGTCTCTCTCTCTCTCTCTCTCACACACACACACACACACACACACACACACACACACACACACACACGAGTCAAGAATGAGCTCAATGATCCATTATGTGCCTAGATAAAAAAGTGACATCAATGCCTCTCCAATAAAGCTGGACATGTGCCAAATGCTGCTGCTGCCTGATGTCTACTGAATCTTGTATGAACGTATCACTGACAAATGACAACAAGAAGCTATGCTAGCAAAAGTGAGATCATACAATTTAAAAACACTTGGTACCAAAAAAAAAAAAAATCTTTCCCAAAGGGGAAAAATGAAATAAAAAACACATATATACCCATCACATAGATGAAAATGTTTAAGGAGGTATCTGCATGCTGAAAGACACCCACTAGCATGTCAGCAATTTAAAATAAGACAGGACAAAAGAATGAGTAACAAAAGGATATAAAACTAATAATGTGGAAGGTCAAAACACCGAGGGATGGTAAGTTTGAAAATATATCTCTAAAAAGCAAAAGAAGGGGTGACATCCAAAAAGAAATGTACTCATTACCTGATTTATGAAACTGTAACCCCTCTGCATAATACCTTTATAATAGCAATAAATAAAATATATAACGAGGACTGAGGGTTAAGGGGCACTAGAAAGTGTTCTCTCATTCAGAATAATTTAGTGTCAAAGACTGTCAATTTAAAAAAGGAAAACCGTGTCCCCAAAATAGATTAAGAAATAACTTTATTTTTCATTTGTGAACCCCACAACTGAAAAGACAGATTGATCCCAAATAGACAAGAGGCATCATCTGAAACAAATTTCTTTCTGAAATTTTAGCCTGTGAACTTATTACACTGTAAAGGATCACATTTTAAACTGCAGCCAACATTGAAAACTGATAAAACACGCTATTCCAAGCTTCACAGCAGAAATTTGAAAGGCTTATCAAAACCATGTCAGCCACAGAAGAGCAACAGTAGAAGCGTGAACTCTGGCGCCTTCAACGTAAGAATTAAAATATCACCCAATTTCCTACAAAAGATCATTTTCCAGAAGAGAATTGATTTACTTACTCAGAAGTCTACAAACTTTCTTCTTCTAACACAGTTCGAGACTGTTCCTTTAATCAATAATAATTCTAGATAATAATTTGACCAAATTTGGCTTCTCAAAAGAATCTTTGTCATGTAAGCACAGTGTGGAATGGGGGAAAATGTATAAAGTTACAAGGGAACTGGAAAAATACAAAAACAGTCACTTCTGAAACTTGCTGATGCTCAAGAAATCAGAGACCCTCTATCAAAGAGGGTATCATATGCCTGAGAACTTTGTGCTTGAGGAAACAATACTTAAGAGGTAGCTCTGGTTCAGTTTACATTGAATTATAATTTCTTGTATCCTGTCATAGGAAGGTTCCAAACTCTAGGGTTGGGAAGGTGGCTCAGTGATTGAGTGCTTGCCTTGCATGCATGAGGTCCTGGGTTTGATTCCTCAGCACTACATAAGCAGAAGAAGTCGGAAGTGGAGCTGTAGCTCAAGTGGTAGAGCGCTAGCCTTGAGCTGAAGAGCTGAGGGACAGTGCCCAGGCCCAGAGTTCAGGCCCCACGACCAACCCTCCCCCCCAAAAAAACCCCACAACTCTAAATTTCCTCCTTACCCACTCTATAGATTGACCATAGAAAAAGGTAAGAAAAAGCTTAAAGTAACTCCACTAGAATAGCAGCTAATTCAGCAATCCACAAACTAAGGATTGACAGGACCAAGAAGGCAGTCAACCGCCCAATCACATAGAGCAGGACCTTCAGAAATATAGAGGTCTGCTGTGCCCACAGTATGCAGGGAAAAGAGAGGAGGGAACTGTTATGGGTGCACATATGGAGAGTTCCTTTTATGCACTTCGTGACACATTCTGCCACTGCAACCAAACAACCTAATCCACATGGATTACAAAGAAGTCTCACTCCCTACCTACACTGCATGCAAAAAAGAGCACTATTATCTATTTAATGTAAGGCCTTACAAGAATCAGGAAGGTATGGGAACAAGCACTATACTGTATTATAAAACACATTTGAATTGATTTATACAACCTGAACTGTCAGATGAGTATTTCCCCTCTATTTATGTATCACTGCATAGTCCTGCACGCACATGAAAACAGTCATATTTGAAATAAAACTCATTCATGAACAGTGAATCCAAAAGGCAACTTTAAGGGAGATTTGAGAACTGCTCATAAACTTGTGTCAACAGCTCTACTCTGAGACTCTCTCCTGATTCAATATTCTAAATGTTAAGTTGATAGGACTAAGAAGAATAAAATATTCCAAAATTATTGAAATGATACTGAAAAAATATCCACTGACTAAAGTATCCATTTTTGAAAAGCCAATAAACTGAAGCTTTCAAAGGAGAAAATGGTATGACAACCTCCCTTTCTCCTTTTTCAAATAAATCATTAAATACACTGGGCAACATTATACCATCAATTTTACCATAACAATATAAACAATTTCCATAATCATCCTGAATACTACTTTATAAAGATATATACTTTAAAGGCTTTTGAAAGTTTTCAACCCAGTACTTGAGAATAAAGCATTAAAAGTTTTGTATACAGTAACACATTCTTGTGATAAGTGTATGAATTAACAACCATACATAATATATATGTATATTCATATATATATTTATATAAAAAACAAACTTGGCCAAAGTTAAGGCTACCTACAAAGTTGTCCGAGTAAATAGTGCTTGTCAAAATAATTACAAAATTAAAATTACACATGCATTTTTAAATCATCTAAGCCAATAATAAAATAAAGTTCAGCATCCAAAGTTTTCCAATTAACTGCTAGAAAGTACTACAGACATTTACATTTTCATAATATAAATCAATGTTCCCACAACACTGTATGTAAATTTTTCACCAGCCTCATGAGTAAAGCAACTAAAAACTGAAACGCATATAATTTGGTACCGAGCACTCTTGAGAGTGTGAGCTGCAAATGGCAGGCAGCTGAGTTTCATTTACAAATGTGCAATCTCACACACCACACTTCCATTTGTAATACTGTTTGACTTGACACAGGACCTTAAATGGAGTAAGAGTGAGCATTCATTAACAGTTCCACATATCAGCAACCACATGATAATGGTTTCTGTTCTTCCCACTCAAAGTATTAAACATGAAAAAAATAAACCCAAAATGTACTTAAGTAATGTCATTTCAAAACAATGTCATTTTTGATGTGTGCCTAACCATTTAAATTCTTTTTTTAAAAAAAAGGATGCTGAAGCCAGGTGCTGGTGGATCACACCTGGAATCCTAACTACTCAGGAGGCTGAGATTTGAGGTTCTGGCCTCAAAGCCAGCAAGGGCAGAAAAGCCCATGAGACACTTATCTCCAATCAATACCCAGAAAACCAGAAGTGGCACTGTGACTCAAAGTAGCAGAATGCTAGCCTTGAGCAAAAGAGCTCAGGGGTAACTCCCAGGCCCTGAGTTCAAGGCCCATGACCAAAGTATTCTGAACATACCCTTCTTTTTAAGATTACCTGAAAAAAAAACAACCCAAAATAAGAAACTCAGAGCCTATGTGTCTCTGAGGTTGACAAACAAGAGTATACTATGATAGAAATCATTTAAGCAGCTAAGTATTATCTCAGGAAATAAAATGGGACAGCTAAATCAATACTATTGTTTTTGTAGTGAGTTCTACATTTCCAATTCACACATTTAAAAGCTAATTTCATTTACCTTTCAAACTTTGTACAGGTTTTAGGATGAAAATTTCTACTAAGTAACAAATTTTTTTAAATCAGTACATTAATACTTAATGCTCTAAGGGTATTTATCAAAAAGAAAACCCTATTTTAGATGTGCTTGAAATTTAGTGTTTTAGGCACTATCATAATAAAACTAGCACCTCAATATTAGATCCTGCCTAAACAGGATGACCAATCACTGAAATAACTTTTTGTGTAAGAGTTTGTTTCTAGTGCATGATAAAATATATTTATTTACTGCATGAATAGCATACGTATACTCTTATGATTCACCAAAAGAAAAATTTCCAACTCTCTATGGCAGAGTTCCAAGTATAAAATTTAGGCATCATTGAGAAGTTAGGTCTGGTAAAAAGATATTTATTAATTCTTAATGATGTAACAGGTTGTTTTTAAAAATAACTTTAAATGTTATTCCTCTTAACAGTTTTTCGGTAACAGTGTCTAAAGAATACAATATTTAAGGTTAATATACAAAATCACCTTAGGGAATTACTGCAAGATGCTACTCTGCCAGCATGGCCTAGCATCTGTCTTCATTCATTTTCCCTTCATCTTTGCTGAAAACACCAAAACAGAAACAAAAATAAAAACAAAAACACACCTAGAAGGTGAAGCAGGTGATTGTCTTTGTGAGTGATATAACTGTGGCAGAAGATGAAGAGAATAGAATGACATACTTAAAAAAAAAAAAAAAAAGCCAAATCCAACCACAAAATGCTTCCCATTGTTATGATCCAGTGGAGTGCAAGCTAGGAATTGGATAGAATTTGGAAATCCGGCTCTGTGTGGATGGATTAAGGCATTCTGACTCTCCAGTCATTTTAAAGAACACTTCTTGTTCCTGCAGTTTCCTGGCAAACTCTTCCTCCAATGTCTTTAAAAAGAAGAGACAAAGAAATTGTTAAACATTGACATTATATTGTGCAGAATCTATTCTGATAGCCAAGATAAAACTACGGGCCGGAAACCCTTTCTCACATGCTATCAAAAGGAAGACGTGCCTCAGCAGTGAAGATCGTAAGATCTGCACAGCTTTCAGGTTCAAGACTGCTAGTCACACACATGGAAAACTTAGGTCAAGTAATGAAACTTTTAAGTCCTCTGCTGTAAAATAGAGGCAATAACCAGGTCCCTTGTCAATATACTGTGTGAAGATTAAATGTGATCATGATGTATTCCAGTAGAAGACACCTTTTACTGACCGTATCTCACCCATACGGCCCTTATCACTTCTTCATTTGTCTTAGTTATCAAGGTGCATATTTTTCTTCCATACTGGACTGTAGGCTGTGTGAAGGTAAGATCTAAACCACATGCATCTTTATCTACCCTTTAATACAAAGCAAAAATAATGTGTTTGATAAATATCTAAATATCCTGAATGTGATGGTATTGGTAGGTTAGGCCTTTGACAGAGAATTAAGTCATGAGGGTGGGGCACTCTGAATAGCATTAGTGCACTTTCTTTTTTTTTGGTCTGTCCTGGGGCTTGAACTCAGGGCCTGAGCACTGCTGTCCCTGAGCTTCTTTTGCTCAAGGCTAGCACTCTACCACTTGAGTCACAGCACCACTTTTGGCTTTTTCTGCTTATGTGGTGCTGAGGAATCGAACCCAGGGCCTCATGCCTGCAAGGCAAGCACTCTACCACTGAGCCACCTTCCCAGCCCACATTAGTGCCCTTGTAAGGAAGTCGAGAGTTCTTCCCCTCCTTTATGTGAGGACACAGCATGAAGCCAGCAGTCTGCACCCCAGAAGAAGGACCTGGGCAGAACCTGAGCATACTGGCTTTCTGATCTTGGCATTCCAGCTTTAGTTTACATTATTTTGTTACAGAGGCCTGCATGGACTAAGACAGTTATCAATAACTGTGATCAGGTTGTCAACTGTTACTTTGAAATCCAAATAAAACATAGGGAAAACATGGAAGAACACAGGAAAACTTCTCAAAAGAGAAGCTTGAGCTTTAGCCAGGAAGGAATGGTAATAATTTGATAGGCAGGATAGGAAAGGAAGGCCAATGGAGAAAGCTGGAAAAAATGGCACAAAGGCGTGTGAAGAGCACTGCCACAAAAGCCATCTGAGTAGAGAATTTTTTTAATGACACTTCTCTTTTTGGGGGGACAGGAGAGAGCAACTGGATTTGAACTCAAGACCTCATGCTTGCAAAGCACACACTCTTACCACTGGAACACACCTTCAAGCCTTCAAACACAATGCTTTAAGTAAAACTTTTAAAATTACCTTCTTAGTAATGCTATTGCTCAAAGTGGCAGAGCACTGGCCTTGAATGAAAAGCTTGGGGACAGTACCCAGGCCCTGAGTTCAAGCCCCAGAACCAACAAATAAATAAATAAATATATATATATATAATTACCTTCTTCCTAGGTCTCAATTTCTCTCTCCACTCCTTCAGTTCTTGGCTGTGTTCCTCATCTAACTCCTTGAGTTTCTGAGTCTCATGCTCAACCAACAGGTGGCACTTTTCATTCTGAAAATGAAGTTTGGCTTAAAAAATTTCATCTCAACTAGGCAATTTTTAACAGACATTTGTTTTTCAATCAAGCTATTATTGAAGTCCAAAGTGTACTTTAAGAGCCAAGCACCAAGAATTATAAAAGAAGTAATTTCTCATGACTGTATGTTTAAAAGCTAGATCTGTTAACAACAGGTCACATCAAAAAGAACTTAGAATTCTAAGGGCTTTTCTTTTCCTTCTTACCGGTTTGCACCAGGATGTAGAATTAAAACTACTCCTTCTATTCATGTATATGAAGTAAATGTATAGAGTATCTATACTGTCTTTACTACTCTGAACTTTTAATATTTTAGGGATATACAATGGTCCACACGTTCCAAGTGAGATCCAAAAACAACCCTCTCTAAAGTAACTTCTATATGTCTTAGGAGAAAAACTTCTGTGAACTTATCACTTTTTTCACAAATCTAGAAAAAAATCAACTCAGTTCTTTTGAATGGAAAACAAACTTTAGATCCAGAATCTGACAAGACTGCTCTCATCATTTTGAAAACTCTTCTCTTGCAAAATCTTTTTAAAAATCATACTCCATACTTTAAAAAAACTGTTTCTTAATTTATAATTTAGCTTCATGTTTGTAATTAATAATAGTTTTATGAAATATAAACAAGTGCCTATGACACTAAACTGATCCTATTTGTCCATACAGGAACCGTAACTTTTAAGTTCCAGTGTTTTCCTAAATAACATTCGTTGCACTTTGGTGAGCTTTTACTTTCACCACACCAGCCACAAGAGCTGCTTGACTACTAGAGTTCTGCTTGTGTGGCCCCTGGACTAACCTGCAGCTGATGCAGTTCTCGCACATTGGCCTCACACTGCAACTGAAGATCCCGCATTTGATTTTCATGTTTTTGATGCTGAGCTAATCTCTCATTTTTCTGCCTCTTCTCTTCTTGTGCAGCAAACTGTAAACAACAACAAAAGCAATTATGATTAATATCCTTGTTTTTATCTACATATTCTAAAGGACATTTAACAAAATTGAAAATGCAATATATTAAAGCCAAAACTAATAATATGGTATAACTCAAAGATGGAGTTTACACCAAGACTTGGACAAGAGGGAAAGCAGGAATAAGTCTGATTAAAAATCTTAATCCTCTTAAGGGCTTAATGATCTCAGTTAATTTTTTAATCTCTGACTGCTTTTTAAGTATCACAGTGAAGACATATTCGGACTGAAAATACTGTCCAAGTCCTCTCTTTCCAAGGGCCCAAGATCTGTTGTGGGGCAGGGAAGGGAGGTCTTCACTGACCACCACTCTGAGAAAATAACATGCCATGTTATCTAACCCCCAACCTAAGAATTAGAGCGAATAATCAGCAATCACAAAGTGGCACTAAATGTTTATGGCCAAAATTATGTGACATTTTTAAAGACCATTCAAACTTTACCTGCTTAATTTTGTCACGGTCCTGATCTGGTGTGGCCGTTGAGTTAATTCTCAAACTTTTCTTAAACATAGCCATTCGAGTCTTGGCCTCGCTGCGCTGGATCTTGGGCAGTCTTGCTCTTTCTTGAGTCTGTCTGTTTTTCAATTCCTCAATAAGTCTTTGATTATAACGCTGCATTTGTTCTGTTTCCTAAAAATTTTTCAACAGAATCCAGTAGTGTAGATATATTAAATACTCAAAACACACATATGTTGTTGAAGATGTCATTTGACATTATTTCTCACAGATAATATCTCTCCTGTTGCATAGTGACCAGAAAAACATTAGAGAAAAAAAATTTTTTAAGAAAAGCAAAGCCTTGGGCTGGGAAGGTGGCTCAGTGGTAGAGCGCTTGCCTTGTATGCATGAGGCCCTGGGTTCGATTCCTCAGCACCACATAAGCAAAAAGAAAAAAGCCGGAAGTGGCGCTGTGGCTCAAGTGGTAGAGCACTGGCCTTGAGCTGAAGAGCTGAGGGACAGCACCCAGGCCCAGAATTCAGGCCCCACAACTGGACCCCAAAAAAAAAAAAAAAGAAAGAAAGAAAAAAAAAAAGAAAAGAAAAGCCATTCCTGACATGGGTCTTACAATGAAAAGTCTTTTAGTAAGCATAGGAAATCCACATTTTTAGATATCTGAATCACAATGGAGCCAAAATCGCTACGTTTGAGATACAAAATGAAATGAAGATTTTAGAATATAAGGTCTACAACCTTATATGCTGGGAATGTGGCTTAGTGGTAGAGTGCTTGCCTAGCATGCATGAAGCCTAGAGTTCAATTCCTCAGTACCACATAAACAGAAAAAGCCAGAAGTGGCGCTGTGGCTCAAGGGGTAGAGTGCTAACCTTGAGCACAGAGAAGCTCAGGGACAGTGCCCAGGCCCTGCGTTCAAGGCCCAGGACTGGGAAAAAAAAAAAAAAAGACATAATTACTCCAAACTTCATCTAACAAATTTTCGATGAAAGTTAGGAAACCAAAATTCATATCTAAGAAAAACAAACTTCAAAAACACATACTTAAATGAACCAAAGTGTCGGGCACTGGTGGCCCACTCCTGTAATCCTAGCTACTCAGCAGGCTGAGATCTGAGGATTGCAGTTCAAAGCCAGCCCGGGCAGGAAAGTCTGTGAGACTCTTGACTCCAATAAACCACTCAGAAAACTGTAAGTGGTGCTGTGGCTCAAGTGGTAGAGCGCTAGCCTTGAGCTGAAGAGCTGAGGGACAGCACCCAGGCTCAGAGTTCAAATCCCACAACCAATCCCCCCCCTCCAAATAAAAAAGAAGACCAAAAGTGAAGATACTTTCCCTTCACTAACCTTCTCATGGCGCTTGAGTAGCTGATGTCTCTGCATGAAATACTGATCTTTAAGTTGCTGTTTAAGCAGCTGGTGTTTTTCTTGTAAGTGTCGTTCTTCAAGTTCCCAAATCGCAGCTTCTCGAGCTACAAAAAAGTAATTTTCAAAATGTCATTTGACCCTTTTAAATGCATATTGCTCCCAGGTTCAGTATTTGAAAAAAGTAAAATACTACACTAACTTATAAACTGACATTCTGAGCTATAAATAAAATATTACTAGTGTAAAATACGTTTTAAGGTCTACAAACTAAGAAATGTCCTACCAAGAACACCAAAATTCCATGTAGTCATCTTGAAAAGAAAAAAAAAAAACTAAGCAAATTTGTTAGGGGGATTAAGCACTTAAAATTCTATTCTATCATGCAGCCATTTAGTGTAATGTAGAGAGTAGACAAAATTATATAAATACATTTCTAACATTATCTAGATAGAAACAGTAGTTTTAATTCCTTTTTCATTCTGCTGCAGAGCAAAAAACCAAATCCAGGCCTTCATATATGTGAAGCACACATTCTACCACTAAAATATCCCTGTCTTATTTTAAGTACGTTTATAATTACTTTTCCCATTATAAAGGGAACATACATATATATATATATATATACATATGTGTATATATATCATATCTTCTAGTTAAAATTTTTTTTTCTCTTGCCAGGTGCCATGGTTCATGCCTAAATGTAGCTACTCAGGAGGCTAAGATCTGAGGATTGCAGTTCAAAGCCAGCCTAAGCAGGAAAGTCCATGAGACTCTAACTTCAATTAATCACAGAAAAAGCTGGAAGTGACACTGTGAGCAAAAAGAACTCAGGAACAGTGCCTAGGCTCAGAGTTCAAGCCCCCAGGACGACCCCCCCCCCAAAAAAATTCTCTTATATACCCCAAGTTTCTTTAACTTTCTCTTTTCCACTGTGCCAGAGGAAAGCATTCAAATACTTTCTATGGTGTATCACAGGTGCCAGTGGCTCACTCCTGTAATCCTAGCTACTCAGGAGGCTGAGATCTGAGGATCACGGTTCAAAGCCAGCCTGGGCAGGAAACTCCATGAGAATCTTATCTCCAATAAACCACTAGAAAACCAGAAGTGGCGCTGTGGCGGTAGAGCGGTCGCCTTGAGCTGAAGAGCTCATGGACAGCGCCCAAGCCCAGCGTTCAAGCCTCATGACTGACAAAAAAAAAACAAAAAAACATTGGCACCAAATCCTTTCTAAGGTGTATCTCAGCAATGTTCCTGAGGTACCACTTTATGTTCCACACCCACACTCGCTGTGGAATTTCATGTACCTCTCATGAGCTGTTGTTTGTTATTCAGGCATTCTCTTTCAATATTGGCCAATTCTGCCTTCTGTTGTTGGATGATCTTTTTCAGAGAGCCATCTAATTCTTGTTGCTGCTTCTGAACAAATTCTTGTTCCTAGAGACACAGTTAACCATCAATTAGTATTTACTGAGTTAAGTATCTATTTACTGAATTAAATATGCCTGTGTATTAGTAGTTTAACAAGATTCTCTCCTTCCCGCCAGGTGCTGGGATTTTACATGAGGCCAACCACACTGTCACTGAGCTACATCCTCTGTGGTTAACATTTCTAAATGAAGTTTATAAAGTTAGCTGGATTTGAAAATCACCAAATTTCCTGCCCATGTAATTGTAACCCCTCTGTACAGTATGTTCTCAAATAAAATAAAATAAAATTTAAAAAATAAATAAATAAATAAAAGCAAAAGATAAAAAAAAAAAAAAGAAAATCACCAAATTATATAGTATGGATATGGTGTAAATGTATTAGTCATTTAATTCAACTCTAGGTAAGTATTAGAATGTACAATATTCTAAATTTACTATTAAGAATAATATACACAAAAAAGTTAGTATCCCATTCAAAATTAAAATTCTGTAATAATACATTAGTAGTTTTGGGGCACAATTAAATTTACAGCTTTTTAAAACTGACTGTTCGCTATAGTGTGACTAGAACAAGAAGGCATGAGAGAAACCCTCTAGAAAGGTAATAAACAGCTAATAAGCAAAATCAATCATTAGAATTTTAAACTCTATTTTTCTAAGAAACCCAGAGTAAGGAAAGAAATATTATCACTGCACTAATAGAGAAAGACAGTGTTTATAGCAACAGCCTGAGCCTAAAAAGAATAACAGATTTAAAGTCTTAATGAAAAATAATGTAAACTAAAGAAATGTAAACTAAGCCGGGTGCTGGTGGCTCACGCCTGTAATCCTAGCTACTCAGGAGGCTGAGATCTGAGGATCGTGGTTCAAAGCCAGCCCAGGCAGGAGAGACCGTGAGACTCCTATCTCCAATAAAAACCACCAGAAAACCAGAAGTGGCACTGTAGCTCAAGTGGTAGAGCGCTCGCCTTGAGCTGAAGAGCTGAGGGACAGCGCCCAGGCCCAGAGTTCAAGCACCACGGCCGAACAAAAAAAAGAAAAAAGAAATGTAAACTAGACTAGGAAAGTGACTCATGTTATACATCTACAAATCAAGAAATTCTACTAACATGTCTAGAACCTACTAATTTAATCAACGAACATTTATTGAGATATATGACCTACCAAATTTGTACTTTTTAAAAATAGTACATTTAGATCTCCATTCCTTTCTTGGGAGGAAAGAAGTGGTGATTCGCTCTCAAGGGATATACAGATCAGTTCTACCTTGGACTTAGAATTCAGGACTGAAAAGGGTATTTCAGCTATAATCCTTTCTCTCGCACATCCAAGAGAACAAATCTATTTTAGAGCTATTCTTTCTTTGGCCTTGGGTGGGATCTGGTAAAGTCCCAATCACACCAGCCTGACCTTCCCGTGCACTCGGGGTCTAACAAGAGTTCCTCAAGATTCCTGCCTGTCAAGATTCCAGGCTGTCAGGGCCGTAACATGGAGTCAAGTGATGCTACTTCACTGGCATCACCATTTGTATTCTAGCATAAATACAATAGTAGATATACTATAGTAGAAAGAAAAAAAAGTAAATTATCTCTAAAAAAATACAATTACCCACTTTACCTATTAATTTAATCACAGTCATAGAATGTCGGTTAATATTTAAATTCAAAACTAGTAAGGGCTTTTGCATTTTACTAAATACTAATCTATATGATTATCTTTTAAGCACTTATAATAGTTCTTAAAGCATCTCTACTGCCTACAATAAATATTTGTAACAAAATTTGCTCCTCTTTTAATTCTAAAATTTCTATATGCAAACTTGTCGAGTAAACTTACAACCTGAAGATATAGTAAATGGATTTTTGTAAAACATTTTATCATTGATTTGCATAAAGGATTTTTTAATGTTTACATAGACAGAAACAATGGATCAAACTTAAATAGCATTTATCCAAATTTTATATTTAGACTCAGAAATCAAATGCAAAAATTTAGACTGAAATCAATAAATATGTGCAAATGAAAAACTGAAGTATAAGCCATGGTTCTAAAGTTAAATATATAATTATTCATTTGTGCAAGTTTTGTCATATTGCTATGTTTTTGTTTAGCTTATACAATTAAGTTCAAAGAAAACCTTCATTAGGCACTCAAATAACTATTGGGCTTTATACCAGGTCAGTTTATTAAAATAAAAGGCAGTTTCAATTCCAAGGAACTTCCATGCTTTTGGTAGCAAGTATTAATAATCTTGAGCTTTCAGCCCCTTTCCTTAGTATCGCACTTAAAAGGTCAAAAGTGAACCACAGAAAACTCAAAGCTGAAGAAACCATGCCTTACAATGACTTATAGTAATGTGCCCTGAAGACGGTAACACATAAAGGGTGAAGCATGGCTACGATGGATACACAGAGGTGATACTAGTGCTGTACTGATCCAGAAAGTGAAAACAGGATCAGCAGGCCAAAGTCAAGGTAGGAAGTTATAAACCCAACATATGGAAGTGGCCCCAAAGAACCTAGATGCCTCACAGCTGAATAGACGGGCTCTGAATACTACTGTAGTCAGGAATACTACCCAGAAGTTTCAATCTTAAATCTAAAAATTACCTGAAAAGGATCCTTACATAAACATTAATATATTTCATTATCTCAAAAGAAATGAAATTTTAATATTATTGAGTATTGATTAAATTTCTTAACTTCAAAAGCCACGTAGAATTCATTCACAGGAGAATATATAATTAGAAATTACCAGGGGAGAATAATGAATGACATTGATCAAGATGTACTATTCTCATAAACTGAGATTGAATTGAAACACCTTCATATAACTAAAGATTAAAAATTATTTTTAAAGAACTTACAGAAAATATGAGAAATCTTACATTCGAAAAAGATTAAACAAATGACATTTCACATAAAAAGATAGGAAATGAGTTTTACTACTAGCAGTAACAAATAAAGGAAACAGCAAAGGAATTGAAAATATTAAAGCCAAAGTAGTTTTAAAGAATAGAAACACCCAAACACAGGTGGCTCATGCCTATAATCCTATCAACTCAGATGCTGAGATCAGAGGATCAAGGTTCAAAGCCAGCCCAAACAGAAAAGTTGGCAAAACTTCAAAATAACCAGCAAAAAAGTCAGGTAGTATGGCACTATCTATAAGCAACCAAGCCAACCAACAGTGAGAGGCTCTAAAGTTCAAACCTCAATATGACAAAAAAAAAAACAGGCACATAAATTATACAATCAGTGCCCTTTAAAATTACAAATTCAAATTCTGATAAGGAATTTTAAATAACTAGAAGGCATTAAAACTACAACTTTGGAATCTAAAAAACCCTTAGAAATTTGATCATTTCAAATCAAAAGATTTAGTCAAAAATGGTAATAATCAGAAAAGCAATGATAATTAATTCTTTTCTCTTTCATACAAAGCTAGTGCTTTTACTTTTAGAAGACAGCAAAAAGTGTCAAATATTTGCCAATAATAATAATAATAAAATGTCTGAAGTCAAGCTGTAGTATACCTACTCCAATTGTATATATCACACATCACAAACAAAAATTACAATGTTAGATGAGCTACTCCTCTCTGTGAAACTGGGAAAAAGAATACAGCCTGGAATTCCAGACTTAGGACTACAAAACAAGAGTAGCAACTCTATTCATTATTGGCAATTTGAATAAATAGAGACTAGAGTTAAATCACTATTTCTGCCATGGCTTTTCTGACCATATCCAGAGTTTAGAACATCTATTAAATTTAAACTCAGATGCAATCAAAATGTCACTCCACACAAAGATAAGTATCTAATCACAGCATTCAAACTTCTCACATGTGCAAAGCTTACAAAGTACTACGAGGAAGATATTTTACTTTTAAGAAGATAAAAAATCTCCAATTAGAATTTGTGCTTGAGTAGATAGAAAAAAAGAACACTACATTCAAAGTGTTCTAGTTCCAGTTCTACCATTAATCTCTTAACTTTTAGATCCATCATTTAAGTCTTCTGTGACTAATTCTTCCTGAAAATATGTATGCCCATCCTTTTAAGAAGATGGTTGCAGTGAGAATGGCATGTGAACAATTTTTGAAGTACACTCTGCTATAAATCGTGTCAGACTGCTACCACTCTCATTGGTACTGAAATTATCTATCAAGCATCTGGATTTTAGCAAATGAAGTGAACAATGAAAAGGCACATGTGAGTCACACAAAGAGCAGGTAAAACAGGAAAAGGCACCTTCCCATAGGCATGCAGGACTTACGTCCTGCATTTGGGCGTTGAAGACTGCACAAGATGACAACTGAAAAGACTGAATCATGACCTGAGCAACACCCTGTGAATCAGAATACAATGCACCTCCCAGTAAGAACATATCTGAACGACTTTTTATAAATAGAAAGAATTACACAAATGTTATATTTCTTGAGCCATGAGTCAACTCAATGAACACAGAAGCCTCTTCTCATCTGTAGAATTAAAATTTGGACTAGCTTAGTGGCTTACAAATTCTAATGTATTGCTATTGTTTGGGGTAGGTTTTTGTTTTTGTTTGTTTTTTTTAATAACGAAAATTCCCACCAAGCTAAGCACTGATGGTTTATGCCTATAATCCTAGCTACTCAGGAGGCTGAGATCTAAGGATCAAGGTTCAAAGCCAGCCTGGACAGAAGTCCCGTGAAACTCTTATCTTCAATTAACTATTCAAAAACCGGAAGTAGAGCTGTGGGGCTCAAAGTGGCAGAGTGCTAGCTTTGAGCAAAAGAGCTCAGAGATAGTGCCTGGGCCCCTGAGATCAAGCCCCACAACCAACAACAAAATTCACCAAAAAAATCTGTTAATAAAACAGGCAAAAACCAGCGGCCTTTCATTAAAAGCAGGCCAAAGATCAGTCTGACTTGGAAGAGCACCTGAGAGAACAATCTGAAAATCCCTACATGGAGTATCAAGTGTGTTCTAGCTCCATGATTTGACTTATAAATTGTCAAAAATGTCTAAAGTAAAACCAGTGGCTCACATCTGTAGTCCTGGATACTCAGGAGGGTAAGATCTGAAGATCATGGTCTAAATCCAGCCTGGCAGGAAAGTCCATGAGACCCTTATCTCCAATTAACCACCAAAAATCTGGACATGGAGCTGTGACTCAAGTGGTAGAGAACCACACAAGCTAAAAAGCTAAGTAAGACACCATACTACAATCCTGAGTTCAAGATCCAGGAATGTTACACAAAAAAATGTAAGTATACTATAAAGTTATTAAGTCTTAATTTATCATAATATATCAGACTATATAGTTATTAAGTCTTAGTAAATTTATTACATGAATAAAATGTTTTTGAAATGTCAGATGCTAAACTCATTAAATTTACAGAAGGAATTTACTGTTACTTTCAGCCCTACATGGAAAGTGTAGGCCAGCCCACAAAACTATATGTAAAAACACCAACACAGACTTAATGAAGCACAGAATCACCTAATTTTCAATACTAAATTTCTATTTCAATTCTATAAAGTTTATATAGTACATCTTCTGCAACTAAGAAGTTCTACATTCTGTTATAAGGTAAAACTATTGTTCATTATCTAGTTTGAAATCCACGTTAACCAAAAGTAGATGTGTGAGCAGCAAGGACTTCCTCTTCACTCTGTTCACAAGAAATGACCAATAACCATGGAGTCAAGTGAATGAGAGTTTAGATGAAGCACAAAGTGGTTGCTGAAATACGAAAGGCTGTATGATGTGATATTCGGTGGTTCAGTTGATGAAACAAACAAGGAATAAACTTGTCTAGATGAAGATCTTGGCTTTACCACGACCAGATATGTGACCTTGGAGAGTCACTCAACCTTACTGTGCTTGGTCCCTCATATCTAAGATGGGGGTAATGTTTGTTCTGAAAGTAAGTACAACCAGGTCAAGCATTGACTATGTTTTAAAGAAGACAGTCATAAGTCAAAAACATAGTAGCACTGTGTTTGATACCATCACCTTAAACTAGTAATCATCACACCAGGATGAAATGTTTTACTGGCTCATAGAAAGAAAAAAAAAAGAAAGGCAAACTAGCCAGGCGCTACTGGTAGCTCATGCCTGTAATCCTAGCTACTCAGGAGGCTGAGATCTGAGAATCAGTTCAAAGCCAGCTGGGGCGGGAATAGTCCAGTAGCATTGTGGCTCAAAGTGGTAGAGTGCTAGCCTTGAGCAAAAGATTTCAGAGACAGTTCCCAGACTGTAAGTTCAAGCCTTACAACTGACAAAAACAAAAAAAGGCAAAAAGGCAGACTAATTTTATTCCGATAAGCTAGCTTTAAATTTTTAAATTCCAAGACGATGTTCTCCTTATTTTTTATAGTCTTAGAAATATTCCCCCCTCCTCTGAAACAGCAACAAGTAAATAGCAGTCTTAAAATACCATGACTTGACAAAAAGTAAGAAATAAAAAGTTTAATGGCAATCTAGGTGTTTTGTTGTGTCTATTTCTATTTATGGCTCTACAAAATCCAAAGTTTTGTAACTCTATTTTTTGTGTGGGTGTATGCCAGTAGTGAGGCTTGAACTCAGCGTTCTAAGCTTTACTTTGGCTTTGTGGCTCAAAGCTGCCACGCTATCACGTAAGCCATACCATTACTTGTAGGTTTTTGCTGGTTATGTGGAGGTAAGTCTTTCTATTTGTCCTGGGCTGGTTTTGAACTTTGATCCTCAGATCTCAGCCTAAGTAGCTGCTTTTGCAGGTGTGAGCCACCAGCTCCCAGCCTGGAACTACTTTTCAAAAGTCACATAAAATCATACCATAAGCCGGGCGCTGGTGGCTCACGCCTGTAATCCTAGCTACTCAGGAGGCTGAGATCTGAGGATCGCGGTTCAAAGCCAGCCTGGGCAGGAGAGACCGTCAGACTCCTATCTCCAATAAACCACCAAAAAACCGGAAGTGGCGCTGTAGCTCAAGTGGTAGAGCGTTCACCTTGAGCTGAAGAGCTGAGGGACAGCGCCCAGGCCCAGAGTTCAAGCCCCATGGCCGACCAAAAAAAAAAAAATCATACCATAAAAGTAATCCAAGCGTCAATAACATATAATTCACATCTCTTCCTTTTATTGACATATGTAACTAAAAATAAGACTTATTCTTCCATCTTTGCCTCCAGGCTGAATGTAAAGGTAATTTAAAATTTTACTTTTACTATAAAAATCCTTATAAAGGTTTATGAAATCGTGCTAGAAAATTATACTTGTCTAGTTTCATGAAGAATTTACCCATTTTATGTTAAAGCCTTACATAATTCACAATCAAGTTTCTTCATGTAATAGCATGTAGGTAAAAATACAGTCTATTCTCTGAACGGCTGGATTCTGAACCAAAAACAAAAACAAAAGCAGTGGCCTAGTGCAGATAATTCAAACCTATAATCCTAGCTACCAAGAAGATCTGAGGGTTGCAGTTCAAAGCCTGCCCAGGCAGACAAATCCAAGAGATTTTTTTTTTTTTGGTCGATTGTGGGGCTTGAACTCTGGGCCTGAGTGCTGTCCTTCAGCTCTTCAGCTCAAGGCTAGTGCTCTACCACTTGAGCCACAGCGCCACTTCTGGCTTTTTCTGCTTATGTGGTGCTGAGGAATCGAATCCAGTGCCTCATTCATACAAGGCAAGTACTCTACCGGTTAGCCACCGTCCTAGCCCCCAAGAGATTTTTATCTCCAATTAATGATCAAAAGTCAAGAAGTGGAGCTGTGGCTCAAGTGGTAGAGCCCCAATCGTGAGCAAAAAAAAAAAACAAAAATTCCTGAGCAACAGCAAGACAGAGGCCCTAAATTCAAGCCCCAGTCTGACAGAAAAGAGAGAAGGGAAGGGAGGGGAAATATAGAAACAATGACTTCCTCATACACATTCTTTTCCTAAGCATAACATTATACACTCACCCTCCAATATTCTGTGCCATCTGTTATCAAGCATTGGCACTGCCACTTAAAATACTAAGCTTCCTCATTAGATTAAATAGATTCTACATTAACAGTATTTTATTTCTTTCATCTAGAGTCAGTTTTCTAACCATTGCTTTCATATCTTCAACTTAATGCCACCAACAGTGTGAATTAGTATGATAATAAGAAGATCCTGGGAATCTACGGATAGAAGTTCAACGTCATATAATAATTAGTTAAAATCTGCTTTTTCACCCCTGGTTCACTGAGCTGTGAGAAAATGCTGCTTTCTGTTTTTAGTAGCATTAAGCTGCTCTGTTACCTGAGCATGCTGGCTTTGTGCAAGCTCCTCTTTCTTGCGTTTCATGAGCTCTTTTTTCAGCTCTTTGGGTGCTTTTTCCACTTCATTTGCAACCTACAGTATACAAGCATGCAGGAGGTGGGGAAATAATACTTTCTCCACAGCAAGCATTTACGTGAGCAGACAAGCTTTAAGTGAAATATTAAAGGTAAAAAGGTCCCTCTGACATGCATCAGCCAAAGTGTTAGTTTGATGAAAAAGAAGAGGCAGACAGAGCATGCTTAATCTCAGCACAGAAAGGATTGTTATAGCATATAAAGGTTGACAGGTTGCTCAGTTATACTTATAAGTCATTTTTCTCTCAAAAGTCCAAATATAATCAGTGCAGAATTACCTGCAGCACTAACACCAAACTAAAGGTTTTGATAAACTCAGCTGACTTTTTCAAAAGATCATAAAACTAAAAACAAATCTACTGACATTGGTTGAAATGCTGAACATAAAGACAAGCTAATGCCATTCAAAAAAATGTTAACTTTTTTAACTGACAAAGAAATACTCTAAATGGAATCTACTTAGTGAGACCAGGTATTTTAAAACGGGAGTGAGGGGGGTAATAAGTCTTAGAATATACAAAGGAGAGGAAGTGGCACTGTGGCTCACCTTGAGCTCCCAGGCCCAGAGTTCAAGATTTTGGTCTGTTGTGAAACAGGCCAAAAAAAAATTTTTCCCATAAAACACACCATTTTATAGAGTGTGACAAAAAAGACACTGGGGTCACTTTTTGTTGAATCAGAATAACATTCTCCTTTGTTGACAACTTTTAAATCAGTAAAAGAACTAATCAAAGTTTATTAAACTATGATTTATTGCACCAATGTATATTATAAAAGTATATAAAGTTCCTTCTATTAATTATTTCAAAACCCTAAATGAATTCCAAACCTACCAATAAATCCAGCTATGAAAAACAATCACGTTTACAAGGAGAAGCACCAAAAGAAACCAAATCACCACATGCCAGTGATAGTCCAAGAGAGAGACTGATTATGGTTTAACATTGTATTCAAATTTTTCCATCAGTAATTCCTCAGGAAACCAAATCACCAATAAAAGGAAGAGACTCCCCAAATGCAAGAAGTTTAGCAATAAGAAAAAAAATACATAACAAAATTATTTAAAATATGCATATCATAATCTCAAACATGTTCACTAGTTAAAACTTTCCTACGTCTAACTACAGACTTACTTGTTTAGTACTAAGTCATATACTTACCTGTAACATTCTTTTAATTTAATCTAATACAAAAAATAATACAAATTACTCACAGTTGTAAGAAAATTAACAAATATACTCATCATGGTATATGAAGCAATCTATGTAAAACATAGTAAGAAACCTACTGGGGTGTTTAATTTGGGGGGGGAGTATGAGAAGGGGTGAAATTGGATATAATAATGAAATACAACTTCCAGAATAACTAATATAGGTCAATAAAAAATTTAAAAATAAAAACAACGCTGGGCGCCAGTGGCTCCCACCTATAATCCTAACTACTCAGGAGGCTGAGATCTTAGGATCACAGTTCAAAAGCCAGTCTGGGCAAGAAAGTCCATGAGAGTCTTATCTCCAATAAACCACCAGAAAACCAGAAGTGGTGCTGTGGCTCAAGTGGTAGAGCCCTAGCCTTGAGCTGAAGAGCGGAGGGACAGTGCCCAGGCCCAGAGTTCAAGTCCCACAACCGACAAAAAAAAATTTTTTGAGAAATCAAATAAATTTGTACACCTTTATACTTATCTTTGCCTAAAGAAATCACTGAATACATAACATTGACATTCTTCTCTAATCTATTTAAGATTTAAGTATGTTGTTCAATTTTTTCATAATTTAAATGAAGGAAATAAATCTGGATCTTTAAAATGAGTGGCAAAGTGAAAATGTAGATGCTGGTTGAGTTTAGACTTCTTTTAATCCTAACAGAGTTGATTATAATTATTTTCCCTGGGGTCTTTTATATCATGAAAAGATAAACCTTCTTCCCATACTGAAGATACAGGGAGGAAAAAAAAACTTATCTCTGAAAATTGGTAAAGTGCTCATAGTTTTAATTTGGGGACAAATGATGCACTAAAATATGAAAATCTTCCTTATGAATCAACAACAATCTTTTACAGTAAATAATAGTAAAAATAAATTCTGTAACAATATGGAACCATTTCCCAAAAGATGAAAAAATTCAATCCAATTAATTAACTTTACAGATATTTTTCACTTCTGATTTTTCAATGTACCTTACAATTTGATGAGCTTATAGTTATTAGTTTGTATTTCAAGTTCTTCAGTTTTTTGTCACAATGTCTAAGAAATCAACAGAGCTAATTTTAAAAATTTGCGAGAAGTATGAATTAAGAATAATAAGGCTGTAACCCTCTGTATAGTATCTTTACAATAAAAAAAAAAAAAAAGAATAATAAGGCTGGGCGCTGATGGCTCACGCCTATAATCCTAGCTACTCAGGAGGTTGAGATCTGAAGACCCCAGTTCAAAGGCAGCTCAGGCAGGAAAGGCCATGAGACTCTTATCACTAATTAACCTCCAGAAAACCAGAAGTGGCACTGTGGCTCAAAGTGGTAGAATGTTAGCCTTGAGCAAAAAGAGCCAGTACCAAGGCCCTGAGTTCAAGCCCCACAATGAAGGAAGGAAGAAAGGGAGGGAAGGAGGGAGAGAAAAAAGAGAGAAAGAAAGAGAAAGAGAGAGAGAGAGAAAGAGAGAAAGAATAGCAATAAAGTGAATTATTTATTGCTGTCACTATTAAACACCAATGAAGTAAGTTTTCTCAAAAAAAAAAAAAAAAAGAACCAGGAGCTGGTAGCTCACGCCTGTAATCCTAGCTACTCAGGAGGCTGAGATCTGAGGATCGCGGTTCAAAGCCACCCCAGGCAGAAAAGTCCGTGAAACTTTTTTTTTTTTTTGATCCAGTCGTGGGGCCTGAACTCAGGGCCTGGGTGCTGTCCCTCAGCTCTCCAGTTCAAAGTTAGCACTCTACCACTTGAGCCACAGCGCCACTTCCGGCTTTTTTCTTTTTGCTTATGTGGTACTGAGGAATCGAACCCAGGGACTCATGCATGCAAGGCAAGCACTCTACCACTGAGCCACCTTCCCAGCCCCTCCATGAAACTCTTTTTTTTTTTTTTTGTCGGTCGTGGGGCTTGAACTCTGGGCCTGGGTGCTGTCCCTCAGCTCTTCAGCTCAAGGCGAGCGCTCTACCACTTGAGCTACAGCGCCACTTCCGGTTTTCTGGTGGTTTATTGGAGATAAGAGTCTCACGGTCTCTCCTGCCCGGGCTGGCTTTGAACCGCTATCCTCAGATCTCAGCCTCCTGAGTAGCTAGGATTACAGGCGTGAGCCACCAGCGCCCGGCTCCATGAAACTCTTATCTCCAATAAACCACCAGAAAACCAAAGTGGCGCTGTAGCTCAAGTGGTAGAGTGCTCGCCTTGAGCTGAAGAGCTGAGGGACAGCGCTCAGGCCCAGAGTTCAAGCCCCACGACCGACAAAAAAACAGGGGGGGGGCTAAGAATGTGGCTTAGAGGTAGAATACCTGCCTAGTATGCACGAAGCCCTGAGTTCAATTCCTCAGTACCACATAAACAGAAAAAGCTGGAAATGGTGCTGTGGCTCAAGAGGTAGAGTGCTAGCCTTGAACACAGAGAAACTGAGGGGCAGTGCCCAGGCCCTGCATTCAAGCCCCAAGACTGGCAAAAAAAAAAAAAAATTCCTACATAAAGACTTAAATTTTGCATTAAGAAAAGAAGAATGGTAGTTTAGAACATAGTAAGACTTAAAGACTTGGTTCAAGGTTTAGCTAGCCATGTAGTGTAGTTTATAAACTTGATCTGACCGCTGAAACTTTTTATGCAGTTTCCTTGGCAGTAAAATAGGGATAATACTTGTCCTTACTAGGGCCAGCCCATCAGTTGGGAAGACAGAACTGAAGAATGAATGAGTGCTATTCAACTGTCAGATATGATTCCTAATTTCTTAGCAAGCCTTAACTTTACATTTAAAAAAAAAAAAACCTTTACAATAAAATTAAATAAATATAAATTTAAAAATACTCATAGGAGGAGAGGGATGATATTGTCCACAAAGAAACATACTCTTTACCTGACTCACGTAACTGTAACCCCTGTGTACATCACCTTTACATACGTAACAATAAAAACGTAACTATATAATTTTTGTATATATATAACGTAACAATTTAAAACAACTTTAAAAAATTCCATAGTAGCTAAAAGCTGTCATACTCACTCACCTCCTTCTTTCGATTCTTTAGCATATTTTGAAATTTGGACAGCTCTTTCTCTTGTTCTCCTTTAATGCGTTTGGCCTCGTCTCGCAAGCGATTTGTGTGTTCTTGTTCCAGTCGTTCAATAGTTTGTTTCTGCTGCTTTTCTAGATTCTCAATTTCCTGGTCATACTGTCGTTTTTTACTCTGTAAAACAATGTGGCTTGTCACTCATACTAATTCATTATAGTGGAAAGGTTTAATAAGACCATATAACTAGCATTTAAATTTAAAGGTGAAATACAACCTTTGCAATACTAAACAAATTAAATACACTAAAATGAAAGATACTTCAAAAAGAATAGCATTTATTTTCTAGCATGGAAAATACTTTACTATAGGACCAATAGAATGCTCAAAATTTTTAGACACACCCAATGAATACCTAGTTTCTATGAATTATTAAAATGAATTAGAGGGGGTGAGAAGTGGGCTCAGTGATAGAGTGCTTGCCTTGCATACACTTGCATGCCTTGCATGAGGCCCTGGGTTCGATTCCTCAGCACTACATATGCAGAAAAAGCTGGAAGTGGCACTGTGGCTCAAGTGGTAGAGTGCTAGCTTTGAGCTGAAGAGCTGAGGGACAGTGCCCAGGCCCAGAGTTCAGGCCCACAACCAACCAACATACATACATACATAAAATGAATTAGAAATTCTCAGTATTCATTACAGAAAATTTTTGATAAATCAAGGGCTCATCTGAAGTCATTTAATTACTTGTCATTCTCAGATTTACCTTACTCACTGAGATCTTAAACCAAATCAAAAAGCAAAACATTTCAGAAAAAAAATTGGTTAGAAGAGTATTCTCATAAGGTTCTGGAAAACAGAATGTGAATAATATTAATGAAAACAGTTTTCATTATTTTCTTAGCAATAGAACCTAAGTCATATAAATCAACTAGTGCTACACTTAATACAAAACAATACTCACAACTTAAAATTTACAGACAGCAGGACTGTACTTAAAACTTGAAATACTAATTTCAATTATCTTTTTCAACATGTTATTAATTTTTATGTCACATTACCAAGTCCCTTTCCAACTCTGGACACAAGTAAAAACTGAAAGATGTCCAACAATTACCCTCACTAGTTAGCACTGTATTCTAGGGTAACAATGAAAAGAGAAATGTAGGCTTAACTACTAGGAACAAGAGAAGGTAGATTCTAGAAAAAAGAAGAAGATAGGAGATAAAGAAAGAAGAAAGGAGGAGGAAGAAGAAGACAACTGCTAGCTTTAAATTTTTATGATTCTAAATTCAAAAGATTAAACTGGAACATTGTAAAGTTATCCAGCTTAGGTACATTTAAGAACTTTGAAAAGCCTCTACTGGTTTATGATTCCAAGTTTTCAGGTCAGGTTGCACTTGAGAAAATACAAAGGCCCTGTCAAACTTTAAATAAGTAATTTAAAAAAAAAATTTTTTTTTTTTCCTGGTCAGTCGTGGGGCCTGAACTATGGGCCTGGACACTGTCCCTCAGTTCTTCAGCTCAAGGCTAGCACTCTATCACTTGAGTCACAGTGCCATTTCTGGCTTTTTCTACATATGTGGTGCTGAGGAATCGAACCCAGGTCCTCATGCATGCAAGGCAAGCCACCTTCCCAGGCCCTAAATAAGTAATATTAGACTTGGAAGATCGCTGGGTACCAGAAGCTTGGGAGGCCAAGATCTGAGGATCACATTTTCAAGCTAGCCTGGGCAAGAAAGTCTCTGAGACGCTTAATTCCAATAAACTATTCAGAAAAAGCCAGAAGTAGCACTATGGCTCAAGTGGTAGAGTACTAGTCTTGAGCACAAAGAGCCTTAAGCCCCAGGTCTGGCAAAAAAAAAAAAAAAAAAAGAATTGGAAGATCATTTCAAGACAAAGGGATTTTTTTTCTTTTTACTTTTTTGGTAATACTGGGGCTTAAACTGCGGGCCTTGTACTTGCTAGGCAGGGACTCTACCACTTACGCCACTTCACCACCCTATGAAAAAGAAATTTAAAAAAGAAGAAAGTATCTATGTCAAAGAAATAAAAGCTAGAAATATATCATAAAATCAGGAGAATCTGATTATCAAATATTAAATTCTAAAGCCCACTACTTTTTTTTTCAGCACTATCATTGTTAGCGAAACAGTACAAAGATCTAAGAATACCATCATTTCTTGCTCAAAGCGTCGGAAAATTTGTTCTCGTTGTTGCTGTAGTTTGCTATTGAGTTGTTGTTGGGCCCTTTGCTCTTCTTTCTGAAGAAATCTTAATTCTCGAAGTTCCTGACGTCTGACAAAACGTAACAGTAAAGACAGAAAAAATTACACCTCTGAAGTAAATAATCCAAATAATCTAAATTTAAATAATCTAAATCTAAATAATCTAAATCTAAGTAATCCAAAATTTACCAGGACTTTACTTTTGATTATTCCTCAAACTTTGAAGAAACAGAAAACAAAGCACAAATCCCTTTTCATTATGTTGCCTCTACTCACCTGAGAAACCTCAACTCCTCAGTCTTGGAGTCACTGTCTGTAACTATTTTTGACGTTGTTACACTCACTTCCACACCATCCACAATAAATTTGCGTGTTTTCTTCAATGTTTTCTTTTGTCTTCTTGTTTCCTAAGTAAAATTTCATTTTAGTTAGGCTTTGTGTAAGGAATATTAGCATTAGAAACAATTTTCTTTTTTAAAAAATCAAAATACTTGAACAGCCATAAAGACTACACATCTGTGGAACAGGTTAGATCACAGTATGCCTATCTGACTTACACTTTACAGATAAAACCAAATTCTTTAAAGTGAAACTTAGATGTGCAAACCTAAGTTGTATGGCATCACATAATTAGACAGGGATTATAAGCATTTCACTGAATGGCTAATTCATGGAACTTTTAGAGGTAAACAACTTTATCTTGGTCTTTTGTTATTTTTGTTAGTTCTCAAGATTCCTCTGCTTTCTCACTGACAAAACACTTTAAAATGAATTCCTAGTATTTATCTTTTATAAGTGAAGGCAGTGGAAAATCTGTTTGCTGAAAAGTTTTTTAGGGGGCCCCAAAACCAGCACTCAGTAGCTGACGCTTCAGCTCACTGGCTAGCACTCTACCAACTGAGCTACGCCTCCAACCCCTCACGTAAGTTTTGAACATTGCCAGGACAGGGACTCAAAATCCATTTATTCAGTAGAAATATTATTAATAACATTCTTCTATCTAGGGCCAGAGCCTAATATGTGATATCTGAGTTATTAGAAAGGCAGCACTTCTATTGTACCCCAAAGTACTAGCTATAATCTAACGTTTCCTACCAAGATCAACATATTCCTCAATAGGAGCCCAAAGGCTTTTAAATGTTAGTAGAGGGGCTGGGAAGGTGTCTCGGTGATAGAGCGCTTGCCTTGCATGCATGAGGCCCTGGGTTCAGTTCCTCAGCACCACATAAGCAAAAAGGAAAAAAAAGCCGGAAGTGGAGTTGTGGCTCAAGTGGTAGAGCGCTGGCCTTGAGCTGAAGAGCTGAGGGACAGCGCCCAGGCCCAGAGTTCAGGCCCCACAACCAGACCCAAAAAAATAAAATTAAATAAATAAATGTTAGTAGAAATAACAGAAATAAAACACTCCTAAACCTACATTTTGGTAAGCAGATTAAGTGTATAGAACAGATGATTGCTTGGTTTCAATATGGGGAAAGAAATTTAGAAAGTACAGAAAGCCCAGCACTAAGGTGCAAATGAAAGAGGATCTCAAGTTTGAGGCCAAACTGGATTACATAGTTAGATCCTGACAAAGGAAGGAGAAGGGAGGGGAGGGGAGTAAATGTAGATGAAAACAGTAAGCTCACAATGCTCTGGAATTTTAAAGTTGGCCTCTGACACCTTCTAGTCACCTTTCCACAAGCTTCTTTCTGTTTCATCCTCAGGTCCCAAGATCTTCACGATCCTCATCCTAAGCCCTGAAGGCTCTTGACTCCCTCCACACTGGCATGCTATAAAAGGTAGGCCGAAACCAGGCACCAATGGCTCATGCCTGTAATTCTACTACTCAGTAGGCTAAGATCTGAGGATCATGGTTCGAAGCCAACATAAGCAGGAAAGTCCACAAGATTCTTATCTCCAATAAACTACTCAGAAAAAGCTGGAAGTGGCACTGTGGCTTAAGTGATAAAGCACTGGCCTTCAGCACAAAGAGGCATACAGACAACACACAGGCCAAGTTCAAGCTTCTGGACAAGAAAAAAAAAAAAAAAGATAGCCCTAAATGTTCCTAAACCTCCAAATTTCACATCTTCAGTTCTTACTAGGTATCCCAATTAGTAACCCTTAATACTCACAGAAATATTTGTGTCTATAAAAGAAGCTATTAGATCAGTGAATTCATTCTGGATTAATGGAATTTCTACCAGGAAAACTAAACAAAAGAGAGAAAGAGGAAGGAGGAGGAGGAGGAGAAAGGAGGAGGAGGAAGAGGAGGAGGAAGAGAAGGAGGAAGAGAAGGAGGAAGAGAAGGAGGAACAGGAGGAGGAGGAGGAGGAACAGGAGGAGGAGGAGGAGGAACAGGAGGAGGAGGAGGAGGAGGAGGAGGAGGAGGAGGCGGAGGCGAAGGCGGCAGCAATGGAAGCAGCAGCATGATCCAGGTAATACATGAAATACTTTAGATATAGTCAGGCTGAATAGGGTCCTGGAGTTCTGTCCCTAAGGTTATTTCTGCTTTTCAACCTTCTCTTCTATTACTTATCAACCGAAAGTCTCTCAAGAAGTATCTTCTAAAGGGTAGTCCATGGCTCACCTATATAGGAGTTCCAAAGGATCTTTTATTACAAATACCACTTCTCAAGTTCTCCCCCTGGTAATACTTTTTTTTCTTTTTCTTGCCACTACTGATATTTGAATTCAGTGCCTTCTGCTCTCACTCAGCCTTTGGCTCTTCAGTGACACTTTACCATTTGGGCCACAACTCCAGTCCAACATTTTGTTGGTTAATTGAAAATGGAATGTCAAAGATTTTTCTGCCTGAGCTGACTTCAAAACCTCCAGGCCTCAGTCTCCTGAGAAGCCAGGATTACAGGTATGAGCCACTAGTTCCCAGTTTAGTCTCTGGTAATGCTTAAGCACACTGAGATTTGAGAGTTATGATCTAATAGCTCCAACTATGATGGTTTGAGTGTTTTGGTTCTGTATTCCCATGAATCTCAAGGTAGTAGCAAAGGTTTAAATAACTAAGAAAGCAAGGTTGGTCATCTAGGAGCCAGTGATATGTCACAGAGTATTAATGTTCTAAGCATTCTTAAAAAGAGATCATTCTCTCAATTTCTCAGTTCTTTCATATATTACTGATCCTGATCAAAAACTGAATCTAGATGTGTATAATTTTTTTTAAAAAAAAGCTAAATCAAACAAAGCAACTATATTGTACTATTTATACCAGATTTGCAAAAGCAAGTAAGTTTTTAGCAAGTAAGTTTTTTTTGCTGGTCCAGGGGCTTGAACTCAGGGCCTGGGCTCTGTCCCTGATCCTCTTTGTACTCAAGGCTAGTAGTGCTCTACCACCTGAGCCATATTGCCACTTCAGGCATTTTTTTTTTTTTTTTGAGTAGTTTATTAGAGATAAGAGTCTCATGGACTTTCCTGCCCAGGCTGGTTTTCTACCATGATCCTCTGATCTCAGCTTCCTAAGTACTAAGATTACAGGTATGAGCCACCAGTGTCCAGCTTACCAAAAAATTTAAAGAATCTCTCCTTGGTTTTTGTTTTGTTTTGTTTTTAACTATTTTAATAGCTCAAAAGAATTAATAGGGTCAATACTGCATTGATTTAATAGTCTTACTTTCCAGATATTAATAAACATTGAATTGCCAAAATGACAAAGAAACACCCAAACAGGAATCCAAATACACTTACTTGCAAAGATATTGAGCCACTGTCTTTAGTTTTACTTAGGAAGCTAGAGATGGATAAATTCAAGTCAATGCTGCTATTATCAGCGGTAGAACCAGTGCCTGAATCAGCATCATTTTCTTTTTGATTCTCAGATTCTGGTAGTGGTATGGTTTCAGTTTTTGCTAAAGCACTTATTTCTCCTTTATTTTCTATATTTTCAGAGTTAATATTAATACTGGGTATTGGAACAGGCTGAGAGTCAACAGGCTGTAAAACTGCAGGATCTTCATGTTCTGTTTTACTTGGCACTTCATGCGGAATTTCTTTTTTCTCTGTATCTATTTGAGTAGTGGCTTCATGAGCATCCACAGTTTCACTTCTTAGAGCCTTTTTGTCATTATCAATCACTACACTTCTGACTTCTGTTTCTTCAGTGCTACTTGATTCTGTAACTACTTCAACTTCATTTGTTCTTTGTTCCTCATTAGTCTCCAGTATGTTCTCTGAACTGTTGACTAATTGTTCCTCACATCTCCCTTCTACAGATTGTTGATCTAACTCTTTAGGCTCTTTAACAGGAAGAACATCCTCAGTACCACCAGCCTCAAAACTCTCCATGGGCTTACCTACTAATTTCTGGCCTATTTCAACCACTTCTTTCCCATCGTTACTCTGAGCATCCTCAGTAACTTTTTCAACTGCCTTATGTGCAACATCTATTGCCTCATTTGTTTCTACCACATTGTTGGCATTGCTGATCATATCTTTGTGGGCTTTATCATCACTTCCCAATTTCTCTTCGGTATCTTCTTTTGTAAGCTCAACTTCATTGTCAATTGCCTGAGTATCTGCCTCTGTTTCTCCAGTCTCCTGAGAAACTAAATCCACTGTTTGAATAGTAGTATTTTTAATTTCTTCAGTTTTTGTAAGTTTATTTTCAAGTATTTGTTCCTTCTCTTGATCTCTTCTTTCCTCAGGTTTCAGATTATGTTTATTATTTGTTTCTACTGTTATTGTTATATTAGTTTCCCTTCCTTCATTGGCTAAATTAACATCTAAAACTGCTTGATCTTCTGTGTCAGGCAGATTTTCAAGCTTGAGTCTCTTCTTCTCTCTCCCATTCTCCTGGATTCCTGTTGGTCTATCATGGAGTTCAGCCATAACTTCTAAATTAGCATTATTTACATATTCATTAATACCCTCCACAGACTTTTCATGCTCATCAGTGGTGGATTTTTCGTTAAGAACTTTACTGCTAAACTTATCTACAGAAGTAGTGCCTTCTGTTTTTTCTGAGACAGATTCCAAAATACAAGTATTTTGTGAAAGTTTATCTTCTTCAGAGCTGGCAATACTGAGGTCAGAGGAGGCACGCTTACTTGCAGGTATTGGCTAAAAAAGATTTTATACATTTTTGTGTTAAAACATGAACTCAAATCAATAGTCAAAACAGTATGTGTATAAGTATACACACACACATATATATATACATATACACACCTATTTTTAAAACTGATTTAATGCCTATATTCACTAAAACTGGTAATTCTTCAATAATACAAGTGATGAAAATGGGTAACAAGTGGCATCTGTGCTATTAACTTCACCTATATATCAGCCCTTGGATATACTTGTAACCATACCTAGAAACTCAACTGTCAGTATTCACTAAAATAAAATTTCTTTTCTAGATACTAACCAGAGAATTTTCTGTTTCATCATCATCATCATCCTCTTTGCCATCTTCAACTTCTTCTGTTACTTCAGCCTTTGCTTCTGCAATCAGCTCTCGAATGGGTTTGTTGGAATCAACAGTAACAAAGGGATGCTATGGATCATAAAAAAAGAGTATACCTCAATAAAAAGGGCAACACCTGCATATAGTTAGATTCAAAAACAGAACATGTATCCTGATTTGAAAAAATATGTATGGGGCTGGGAAGGTGGCTCAGTGGTAGAGTGCGTGCCTTGCATGCCTGAGACCCTGGGTTCGATTCCTCAGCACCACATAAGCAAAAAGAAAAAAGCCAGAAGTGGCGCTGTGGCTCAAGTGGTAGAGCGCTAGCCTTGAGCTGAAGAGCTGAGGGACAGCTCCCAGGCCCAGAGTTCAGGTCCCATGACCAGACCCCCCAAAAAAAAAAAAAAAGAAAAGAAAAGAAAAAAAAATACGTATGAACTACAGGTAAGAAAAAACACAATTTCATGAAATAAAACATCTGGAAAAGAGAAGAGCCTATAATTAAGTCTGAAGATTTTTTGTTATTTTTTGTTCCTTGAGAATTTAAGGAGCATTTGTCAAAAATGCTAGACTTTTTATCTTAAGAGTTGTAACTATAGGCAGTTTTCTATTTTTTGGTCTGACATGGGGCTTGAACTCTGCACCTGGGCTCTGTCCCTCAGCTCTTTAGCTCAAGGCTAGTCCTCTACCACTTGAGCCACAGGACCACTTCCGGTTTTCTGGTGGTTTATTGGAGATAAGAGTCTCACAGACATTCCTGCAAGGGCTGGCTTTGAGCCGTGTTCCTCAGATCGCGGCCTCCTGAGTAGCTAGGATAACAGGTGTGAGCCACCAGTAACTGGTGATAATCAATTTTTTTAATTAAAACATAGAGCAAGTTTCAAGTAAGTATATTATTAGCTCTTGAAATATGATGACTATATAAATTCTACCAAAAACTCAATAAAACTACAAAGTTTGACATTTCTATTAAAATTACTAAAAATATGTTTGTTTTTAAGATAGTTTTAATATTCTTGAAGTAATGAGACATTTTATTCACCTCTGTATTCCTAACACTGAACAGTGTCTGTCATACATTAAGGCCTTCAGATTCTAGAGCATTAAAACATTAACTCTTATCCAGGCACCAGTGGTGCTAGGTAATCCTCGCTACTCAGGAGGCTGAGATCAGATGATCACACATCTGGGTAGGAAAGTCTGTAAAACTCTTAATTACAGAAATGGAGCTGCGGTTCAAGAGACAGAGCCACTAGCCTTAAGCAAAAAAGTTGAGGAACTAATAAGCCTAGGCACAGAATTTAGGATTCCAATAGCAGAAAAAAGTTAAAGAAAGAAACAGTGGGGGCTGGGAAGGTGGCTCAGTGGTAGAGCGCTTGCCTTGCATGCCTGAGGCCCTGGGTTCGATTCCTCAACACCACATAAGCAAAAAGAAAAAAAAGCCGGAAGTGGCGCTGTGGCTCAAGTGGTAGAGTGCTAGCCTTGAGCTGAAGAGCTGAAGGACAGCACCCAGGCCCAGAGTTAAGGCCCCATGACTGGACCCAAAAATAAAACAACAATATTCTAAAAAAAAGAAAGAAGGAAAGAAACAGTGCTCTAGGGACATCTTGCTGCATAAAGCAACCAAATCTGCTTACAAATAAAGAAGCCAGTCTAAAAACACTACAACAAAGCAGTTACATACCTCATTCATAATTGCCCCAGGGTTTCTTATTCTGTATGTCTACCTGAAATATATTACCTTTTTTTTTTTTTTGGTCAGTCTTGAGGCCTGAACTCTGGGCCTGGGTGCTGTCCCTCAGCTCTTCAGCTTAAAGCTAGCACTCTACCACTTGAGCCACAGCACCATTTCCAGCTTTTTCTGCTTATGTGGTGCTGAGGAATTGAACCCAGGGCCTCATGCATGCAAGGCAAGCACTCCCACTGAGCCACCTTCCCAGCCCTTAATGCTTTATTTAAATATGACAAACAATCTTTTAAAAACATTTAAACTTATCCAAGTACTTTAACATTCCTTTGTGTATATGTGTGCCAGTAATGGGTCTAAGCTTTTTTACTCAAGGCTGCAGTTCCACCACTTGTACTACAGCTCCACTTCCAACTTTTTGGTGGTTGACTGGGAGACAATCTCACAGACTTTTCTGCCCAGGCTGGCTTTGTTTAAAGATATGTCAAAAACATATGACTTTCTGGTATTGTTAGCCTTATTTTTACCTGCAGTAGTTGAGATGTGGTCCACCTGGCATCCACATTCTTTTCCAAGCATTTCTTTAGAAAGTCCTTAAAATTTGATGACCTGCAAAATAAAATTTTAACAATGACAGATTAACTTTACTTTCTTGTTATTAAAGCCAAATGAAATTCCTTGCTACATTATGCTTGTTTCATTATGTCTATAATAAGATACAGTATTTATTCTATATAAGAAATAAGATTTTATAAAGTATATTCTCCTGTAAATACATGTTAGATGTATATGCAAGTATCTAAATGACTGGCATATTGTCATATAGTCATAAATACATTAAAAATTATAAAAATCCTATTATACTAATTCTACAAATACACATCTACCACACATATGTCTGTCCCATAAGTATAGAAAATTACTGTTTTCATGCAGAACTCAACTTACTCATATTTTCAAATACATGGGGAAAATTAGTTATAATTGTTTGTACAGTCACTACATCTTGAAAATATACCCCAAATTAGTTTTCTTTTACTACATATCCAAACTTAAATACCCTTGGAAAATTAGAAAAAATGAAACACCAAGATTTACTTCTTACAAAGCATTGTTTAGAATAGTTTACCATCTTGATGGCTGGGCTAATGTTGGGGGCTCAGATTTTGCTATTTTTAACAGGACTCTCATTGGATTTAACTCATGATGAGGTGGTTCTATCTCTGCCATTTCTATTAAAGTGATACCCAGGGACCAAACATCAGCTTTGTAGTCATAGGGTCTGTCCTTTGATGTCTCACACATGACTACTTCAGGAGCCATCCTGTAAGACATAAAATTCAAAGTTAAGATGTTTAACTAAGAACAATTACTATAAATCAGTCACTATAATAATTTATGTGAACAATATTAGTAATAATAACTCCTGACATGACTAATACTCTAAATTCTCTCACATACACACACACATACACACACACACATACAAAATACCTACCAATATGGTGTGCCAATAAAGGAATCCCTTCTTTGAATTGTCCTGGTGTTTTTAGCTGATACTCCAAAATCCGCTTGAAACAAATAATTATACAACAGCATTAATGAGAGCTTTTAAGCACAGATTATATTTAGCGGGGTAAGGAGTCTTTCATCAAGACTGCCTTTATTAAAGAGTAAGCAAAACAAACATAATTTCTCTATAATTCCAATCTTAACCATCCTCTTTCTACCAGAAAACTGCCAAATACATACATTTAATACCACCATCTGTATTTATCCTTAAATGATAAATTCTCCAGAACTGAACCAAAAAATAGTAACTTGAAAACAGAGCAATTATTCAATGCAAAACAAAACACCCACTAATGCTACATGTTACAATTAAATCAGTATTTTTCCTGTTTGAAAAATATTAATTATACCAAAGCAGCATTTCTAACAGCATTAGGTATTGCCAACTATCTCATAAAGTTACATTACAACAAGGATAAGAGTGGTCGCGCGCATCTGTAATCCCAGCACTCACAAGGTAAGACAGCAGGATCTGGAGTTCAAAACCAGATTGTGCTATACAGCAAGACTCTGTCTCAAAAAGCCAACATCCAGGTTCCACTGGTTCAGGACTGTAATCTCAGCTACTGAGGAGTCTGAGATCTAAAGATTATGGTTTGAAGCCAGCCCAGGAAAGTCTGTAAGCCTCTATCTCCAATTAACCACCAAAAAGTCAGAACTGAGTTGTGACTCAAGTAATAGAATACCAGTCTTGAGCAAAAAAGCTAAAGGACAGTGCCCAGGCTTTGAATTCAAGCCCCAGGACTGGCACACAAAAAAAAAAATTACTTCCCATTTAAATGTCAAGAAAAAAATAAAGCAAAATGGCTACTGTCACTTGGTATCAACATAGCTTTTAAATATATTCTAAATACCCTCTAATATTCTTCTAAAAGTATACAAATTTAGATTTTATCATTAGATTTTTTTGGGGGGTGTGTATGCTCTGGTCCTGGGGCTTGAATGCAGGGCCTGGACGCTGTCCCTGAGCTTCTTTAGCTTAAGGCTAGCACTCTACGACTCAAGCCACAGCCCTACTTACAGCTCTTTTGTAGTTTATTAGAAATAAGAATCACATGAGCTGGGTGCCAGTGGCTCACAACTGTAATCCTAACTACTCAGGAAGCTGAGATCTGAGGATGGAAGTTCAAAGCCAGCCCGGGAAGGAATGTCTGGGAGACTCTTATCTCCAATAAGCCACCAGAAAACCTGAAGTGGTGCTGTGGCTCAAGGATAGAGCACTAGTCTTAAGCTGAAGAGCTAAGGGACAGAGCCCAGGCTCAGAGTTCAAGCCCACAACAGACCAAAAAAAAAAAAAAAGTAAAGAAATCACAAGAACTTTCCTGCCTGGCTGGCTTTAAGATTACAATCATCAGATCTCGGCCTCCTGAATAGCTAGGATAACAGTCATAAGCCACCAGCACCCAACCTAGATCTTTTCTTTTCTTTTTTTGGCCAGTGCGTGCTGGGGCTTGAACTCAGGGCCTGAGCTCTGTCCCTGATCTTCTTTTGCTCAAAAAGCAATCTACCACCTGAGCCACAGTGCCGCTTCTGACTTTTTGTTTATGTGGTAGTGAGGAATTGAACCCAGGGCTACATGCATGCTAGGCAGAACTCTACCACTTAGCCACATTCTCAGCCTTCCAGATTTTTAATATTTTCTGGATATATTTAAAGAAGGATGTATATATAAAATTAACTAGTCCCAAACTATAACTATGTATTTAATTCATCTTGTGAAGTTGATCATTTATTCTTTCAGTACACAAAGACAAAATTATAATGTTAGTCTTTATACTTTCTTTAAGTATGATTCTCAAATCTAAATTTTACTTTGTGGGTTTGACCAAAGTACCATAGCAGAAAACAAGAGTGTAAAACTAAGCATGGAGGACTGGGAAGGTGGCTCAGTGGTAGAGCGCTTGCCTTGCATGCATGAAGCCCTGAGTTCGACTCCTCAGCACCACATAAGCAGAAAAAAAAAAAAAAAAAGCCGGAAGTGGTGCTGTGGCTCAAGTGGTAGAGTGCTATCCTTGAGCTGAAGAGCTGAGGGACAGCACCCAGGCCCACGACCGGACCCCAAAAATAAATAAATAAACATGGAGAAATCTACTACACATAAATTTTACAAAAAAAATTAAACTGAGCTAATACTACTATACTATATTATACTCCAAATATAAAATATTTATAACACCTACACCAAAAAAGGGAGAAAATTTACCTAACCTCTAAGTATTTTTAATTAGGTATGCACACACAGGAATTCTGGTAATTCAGGTATTATTTACTCAAGAAAGCATTCAAAAAATTGCTAGGGAGGGCTGTGAAAGTGGCTCAGTGATAAAGTGCTTGCCTTGCATGCATGAGGCTCTGGGTTCGATTCCTCAACACCACATAAGCAGAAAAAGTCAGAAGTGGTGCTATGGCTCAAGTGGTAGATCGCTAGCCTTGAGCTAAAGTGCTGAGGGGCAGTGTCGAGGCCCAGAGTTCAAGCCCTGTGACTGACAAAAAAGAAAAGAAAAAAATTGCTAGGGAGTAATTTGCATAGTAACAAAACAATATCAAATTATATACATACAGGAGTAATCTCAGAGCAAAAATTCAAATATTTTATTCAAGTTAATGACTTACCCAATTTAATATCTCCATCTAAGGTAAAAAGAATGTTGCCAGCTTTAAGATCTCTGTGGATGATTTTATTATCATGTAAGTAATTCAAAGCCTCTAAAGTCTGCTTGCAAACTACTTGTATTTGGGACTCAGTTAATGGTCTCTCAAGTTCTAAGAAGAAAAAGTAAAAGAAAGATCTGCATTTTTATACAATGAAAACATAATAATAAGCTCTATATGTATTTATATATATATTCAGTATATACATCTTGTCAAAGATCATATAAATTTATTTTAGAACTATATATCTAAAATGATAAACTTCCTGACATAATTATTTCATTTCAGAATTGTAATTATCAAATATAAAAATATAATCAAACTGATTTCTTAATTTACTGAACTATACTATATACATATACATATATATATATGTATGTGTATATATGTGATATATATCATATATATTATATATGTGTATATATAGATATATATGTGTGTATATAGATATACATATATGTATGTATATATAAGTGTGTATATATGTATATATGTATGTATATGTATATATACACATATATAAATAGTTGAAATCCTTGTATTTTTAAATATAATTGAAGATATGAACATAAAGAACAAAAGGTATACCAGGAGCTAGTAGCTCCATCAGGTGCCGGTGGTTACAGCCTGCAATCCTGGCTACTCAGGAGGCTGAGATTTGAGGCTCCCAGTTTAAAGTCAGCCCAGGCAGAAAGTCACCATGACACTCTTATCTCCAATTAACCACTTAAAAACTGGAAGTGGAGCTGTAGCTCAAAGTGGTAGAGCACTAGCCTTGAATAAAAGAGCTCAGGGACAGTACCCAGGCCCTGAGTTCAAGCCCCACAACCAACAACAACAACAAAAAAAAGAGTAATAGGTACTTACCAAGCATCACAGCATCTACTGCTCCACCTGCACAAAATTCAATGAGGATCTGCATGCAAATAAAAAGGCATGTGTCTAAAACTATATCAAGTCTCAGAAATGTTATTCAAGTTAGCAATAAAAAAAAAGGTAAAGGAATAGCTATCAAATAATCTCAGTTGTGGAAATATTATGTTAAATATGACTTTGTCAAGAGTTACAAGTCTTAAAGAATACACATTTAAAATAGCACACTGTATTTTTTTTTTTGGTCCTGGGGCTTGAACTCTGGGCTTGGGCACTGTCCCTCAGCTCTTCAGCTCAAGGTGAGAGCTCTACCACTTGGGCCACAGCACCACTTTCAGTTTTCTGGTGGTTAACTGGAGATAAGAGTCTCACAGATTTTCTTGCCCAGGCTGGCTCTGAACCGAGATCCTTGGATCTCAGCCTCCTGAGTAGCTGGGATTGCAGGCATGAGCCACCACTGGCGCCCAGCAGCACAATTTTTTTGATACAGGTTTTTGATATGTAACAGAGTCCCATCTTGCTTCAATCTCATAATCATCTTGGGTCCATCTCCCAAGTGTTATTATAGGTATGCACTCTGAAACTCAGCCATGCTCATTTTTGTTAATGACCATTTTTTGTGTCCTTGTTTCTCTAAAATTACCAAGTACAGATTTTTTTACTTAAGTACATTATTTTGTCATCCCTGAAAGATTGTATTACTTTCATCTATAAGATAACTATTGTGATATAAGTAATCAAATATTTTGTCTACCTTTATCAATAAATAAGTACTAAAAAATAGAGAGATTTATTTTAGTTACATACACACACAGAGGGCTTCAAACTTACTAACAGGTGTTTTTCCTTGACTTCCTGGTAAGATATAACACTATGTACTTACTCTTCCTTGTTAACCCATATCACTGTTTTAACTTTGTATTTACTGTGATTCTTTTATTAATTTATGTCTTCCATTAAACTGTCCATCAGAGCAATTCAAATGTTTATTTTATAATAGTCCTCAGTAAAGATCTATGTCTTAAATTGTCTAGGAGTTCAATTGTGGGGAGAGGAGGGGAAGATGAGTGAGAGACAGAGACAGAGAGAAAGTAGGATAGCATAGAACGAGTGACTATCTACTTACTGTAATGAATGATGACATTTTATTCCAGTATATATTTATGTCTATTTTCTTAAAAAATGTCTTTTTTCTTAGTCGTTGTGTCATACACTAGAGTTGAGCCTGATAATAAGTAACATTTCTAGTAAAAATTTTAGTTTCTTACCTGATTAATAAAAACCTTTATAGGAAAAGACACCTTTAGTTAGGTGCTGGTGGCTCATGTCTATAATCCTAGCTACTCAGAAGGCTGTGATCTGAGAATCACAATTCAAAGCCAACCTTGGGCAGAAAAGTTCATGAGATTCTTATCTCCAATAAACTCAGAAAAAGTTGGAAGTGGCTCTGTGGCTCAAGTGGAACTAGACTTAAGCAAAAGCAGCTCAGGAACAGCGCCCACCTGAGTTCAAGCGCCAGGACCAGAAAAAAAAAAAAATAGAAAGAAATCTTTTTTTTTTTTTTTTTTTTGGGTCCGGTAGTGGGGCCTGAACTCTGGGCCTGGGCGCTGTCCCTCAGCTCTTCAGCTCAAGGCTAGCGCTCTACCACTTGAGCCACAGCGCCACTTCCGGCTTTTTTCTTTTTGCTTATGTGGTGCTGAGGAATCGAACCCAGGGCCTCATGCATGCAAGGCAAGCGCTCTACCACTGAGCCACCTTCCCAACCCAGAAAGAAAGAAATCTTTAGGGCTGGGAATGTGGCTTAATAGTAGAGTGCTTGCCTAGTATGCATGAAACTCTGGGTTCAATTTCTTAGTACCACATAAACAGAAAAAACCAGAAGTGGTACTGTGGCTCAAGTGGTAAAGTGCTAGCCTTGAGCAAAAGCTGAGGAGTAGTACCTAGGCACTAAATTCGGGTACCAGGACCAGAAAAAAAAAATCTTTAAAGAAATTTTTAATTCCCAAATTCAAATTATTAACAAGGATATCTAATTTCACATTTGGGAAAATCTCATATTCTTGACCATGCTTTTCTACCTGGATCCAGTGTTAAACTATCATGATAAAAATGGTATAATCTAAGGTTGGGAAGGTTGCTCAGTGGTAGAGCGCTTGCCTTACATGCATGAGGCCCTGGGTTCGATTCCTCAGCACCACATAAGCAAAAAGAAAAATGCTGGAAATGGTACTGTGGTTCAAGTGGTAGAGCGCTAGCCTTGAGCTGAAGAACTGAGGGACAGCGCCCAGGCCCAGAGTTCAGGCCCCACGATAAGCTTCAGGTATAATCTGAAGCTTAAATGTGAGCATGTGTTGAATCTAAGTTATGCGGTTAATGACTCTCTCTGGAAGATCAACTCTCACTCAAGTAACATTACTGAAGAAGTAAAATATAAAATAAGCTTTCACAACATCTTTAACATCACCAATTCATTTTGGCTACTCCAGATAAATAGAAAATACTTACCCAAAGATTGTTCTCATAATAGAAGGCATCCAGAAGCTTGACTATGTTTGGGTGATCACAAGATGCTAATATATCAATTTCAACCATATAATCTTCAAGTTCTTCTTCAGATTTGGTGTCAATCACCTTTGCAGCAGCTAAAACATTAGTCTCTTTATTCTGGGCCTAAAAATCCAAGAGACAAAAGTGTCACAATGCATACTTTTAAGTTTTAAATTTTTTCAACTTAAGTTTTAGGTTCACAGCAAAAGTGAGCAGAAAGTAGAGTTCCTTTAAACCTCCTCCCCCTCCACACCCTGCTCTCATACATGCAAATCCTTCCCCATTATCCTCACCATTGTGGTATATTTGTGACAAATGATGAGGCTATATTAACACAGCATTGGCTTTTATTTAATAGTATGTGTTTAAAGTTCCTCTAGGTCATTTTGTGGCTTAATTAAGCTCATTTCCTTTAGGGCTGAGAAATCCTCCACTAACTAGATATACCACAGTTTATTTATTCATTCACCTAATAAAGGATATGTTGTTCACAAGCATGGGTAGTTGTAAACAAAGTTACTATAAACATGCATGTGCAGGATTCAGTATGAACCTAAGCTTTCAATTCATTTGGGTAAATACCAAATGGTATAAATACTGGATCCAACCAGGTTTGGATTGTAAGAACTTGCAAACGACCCTCCAAAGTGACTGTACTGCTGTGTGTTCCTCCTAGCAATGAATAAAAACTGTTATCGCTCTTAAGTCCTCATAAGCCTTTGGCGTTATAAGTGTATGTTTTCATCATTCTAATAGGTGTGTTGGCTGGTATCTTGTTTTAAATTTCCCTGATACATGATGGAAAGCATCTTTTCCTATAGTAGTATAAAGTTCAAATCTTTTGCCCATTTTTTTAATTGGGTTGTACATTTTCTAACTGTTGAGTTTTAATAGTTCTTTGTATTTGGTTAGTACTCCTTCATCTGTTATGTTTTATAAATATTTTCACACACCCTGTGGCTTGTCTTCTCATTCTTGTGATGTGTTTTTTTCTTATCTATTTATTATTTTTACATACTTGTACAAAGTGACATGGTTATTTTTAAAAGGTAACTTAAACCAGATACTAGAGGATCACACCTACAATCCTAGATATTCAGGAGGCTGAGATTCCGAGGATCATGCTTCAAAGCCAGTGCAGGCAGAAAATTCCACAAGATTCTATACAAAATAACCAGCAATAAGCCAGAACAGAGGCATGACTCAAGGGTAGAGCACCAACCAAACATTGAATTCAAACTCCGGCACCTATTTTTTTAAAAAAGAAATTTAAATAAAAATATTAACTACTACTTGCTATTACAGTACTTAGCTTTTTATATGCATAGAGGGTAGTGTTTCAAATTACTGGCTCTAACGAGCCTCAACTCAGGGTTCAAAATCCCTGTAGTGTAATCTTCAGTGAAACTGAGCTACTCCCTCACAAATTTGACAGAATGAAGGTAATATATATTTACCAAGTGAAAAAACACATGTAAACATTTAATAGAATTTCCAGCACATATAGTAAGGACAGAAAGCATTAGCTAAGATTATTACTGTTGTTATTTAATCCTCATAGTATCCCCATGATGTTTTATCATCCCCACTTCCAAGGAGAATATAAATAAACTTGAAGGTAAAAGGGCTTCCACAGGTCATGGGACTTAGATATCCAAATCTGTTTCCAAACTCCTTTTATTGCCTTAATCATTTTTGTTTTGTTGTTTTTCTAAATATAATTTTATTGTTGTTATTAAGGTATTGTACAGTGGAGTTACCATTTCACAATTCAGGTAATGCACACTGTTATTGTTTTTTAAATGGCAAAGCAAAGAAATTAATAGAAAACATACCATTATGGGAAACAAGGCTCCTAGACAGCTCAAAAGCCATCTAGAGAGGAACATTTTCTGTTTCCCACCCAGCAAGGGAGAATTAAAAATGCCAGCATTAAGTATTGAAGAATACCCTAAATATGCCACTTTGACATAAAGGTTACTTTGAAAAATGAAATGCCTGGAAAGACAGAAATAAGAAGGGCATGATCATTTTCTCCCTTCTCAAAACAGAAAATTTACAAAATCCCATATGAAAGATGCCTTCTTTGTATCAAGAAGGGAATAAAAATCTTAGATGGAAGTCAGCCCAGGGGAATTGTACAAATAAGACTTACTAAAATAATTACCTTTCTTTATCCCGCATACTTTGCCTACTTTTCCACAAAACAGCTCTCTTTGTTCAACCTAAAACCAAGGCATGTAGGTTTTGCTATTTCTTCATTCCCTTAGGAGAGAACTTCTGTGCCACATAAAAGTTAATTAAATTTAGTTGGGCACACCCCCCTCCTGTGGTTCATGCCTATAATTCTAAACTATTCAGAAGCTGAGATGTGAGCAACAAGATTCGAAGCCAGTTCAGGCAGCAAAGTCCAAGAGACTCTATTTCCAACTAATCAGCAAAAAATGCCAGGTTGGAGGTATGGCTCAAGTGGTAGAACACCAACTATGAGGAAAGAAGGTGAAGAGGGAAGGGGAAGAGAGGAAGAGGAAGAAGGAAAGAGAGGAGAACAAAAGAGGAGAGAGGGAAAGAGAGAGAAAGCCAGGCACTAGTGGCTCATGCCTGTAATCGTAGCTACTCTGGAGGCTGAGATCTGAGGATCTCTGTTCATCAAAATAAGCCTGGACAGGTAAGTCCAAGAGACTTACATGCAATTAGCCACCAAAACATGGGAAGTGTGGCTTAAATGATAACATGCTAGCCTTGAGGAAAAAAAAAAAAAAGCTCAGGGAGAGCACCTGAGTTCAAGCCCCAGAACTCTCCTCTCTATCTCATACACACACACACACACACACACACACAATCACACACACAAAAAAAGAAGAATCATTTTGATTACTACCGTGAAAAACAAGATAAAGGTCAAGAAATATCTTCAAGATAGAATAGGACTTCATGTTTGATTGCGTTTGGTGTGAAGGAAGGAGGTATTAAAAATGACCCTTAGAGGGCTGGGAAGTTGGCTCAGTGATAGAGCACTTGCCTTGCATGCATGAGGCCCTGGGTTCGATTCCTTAGCACCACATAAGCAAAAAGAAAAAAGCCGGAAGTGGTGCTGTGGCTCAAGTGGTAGAGCACTAGCCTTGAGCTGAAGAGCTGAGGGACAGAGCCCAGGCCCAGAGTTCAGGCCCCATGACCGGACCCAAAAAATTTTTTTTAAAAATAAAAATGACCCCTAGATATCTGGCCTATGTAACTGGTAGTTAAAGATAACTAAATGTAGCCATGCACTGGTGGCTCACATTTGTAATCCTAGCAACTCAGGAGACTGAGATCTGAGGACCACAGTTCAAAGCCAGGACAGGCAGGAAAGTCCATGAGACTCTTATCTCCAATTAACCACCAGAAAATCAGAAGTGGATCTGTGGCTCATGTGGTAGAGTGCCTGCCTTGAGCTGAAGAGCTCAGGGACAACTCCCAGGTTGTTTAAGCCCCACAACCAACCAAAAAAACAAAACAAAAAAACAAAACATGGAACTGAAGAGCATTAGTCTTCAATCTGAAAGGACTTAGCAAATAGCCCAAAAAAAGGAAAGGAGGCAGGGAAGACTTGTGTCAAATCATATCATAATTAGGTGACAAAAAGAATATCTTAAAATCTATCAAGAGACAAAGATCACAAAGAATCAGAAAACAAAATGGCATCAGACTTCAACAGTAACACCTAAAGCCAAAAGACAAAGAATTTCCCAAAGTTTTAAATATTCTAAGAAAAAAAACACAACAACAAACATTTTTATGGAAGGATTGTGTAAGTCAAGCATGACATTATAATAAAGAGATATTCAGACAGCAAAATCTTTAAAACCGAACTTTCAATGGCCCTTTTCTCATAAGGTTACTAAAAGTTCTACACAAAAATCCAGGAGGACATTCCAATAGGAAAAATAGATGCCCTTGAAGTTGTTTGTTTTCCCACAGCTTTCAGGGGAAAAAATTATGACCATTACATTAAAAGACTTAAATAAAGATAAAGCATAAGCATATATATGCTAAGTGCCAGTGGCTGGCACCTGTAATCCTAGCTATTCAGAAGGCTGAGAGGAGGGGTTCAAAGCCAGCTGGGGCAGGAAAGTCCATGAGATTCTTTTTTTTTTGGTCAGTCGTGGGGCTTGAACTCTGGGCTTGGGCGCTATCCCTCAGCTCTTCAGCTCAAGCACTCTACCGCTTGAGCCACAGCACCACTTCCAGTTTTCTAGTGGTTCACTGGAGATAAGAGTCTCACAGACTTTCCTGCCCAGGCTGGCTTTGAACTGTAATCTTCAGATCTCAGCCTCCTGAGTAGCTAGGATTACAGGCTTGAGCCACCTGAGCCTGGCTCCACAAGATTCTTATCTCCCGATTAATCACCAAAAAATGGAGAAGCTGGCTGTGGCTCAAGTGGTAAGCATCAACCTTGAACAAAAAGGATCAGGGACAGCATCCAGGCCCTGAGTTCAAGCCCCAAGACTGGCACAAATAAAAACGAAATAAGATAAAAGTATACACAGATGAGAATATTCAATAATAGATGTTAATTTTCCCAAAGTTAATTTTTAATTTCAATTTTTAAAAATCCAGGTTTTTTACACCTGTAATCCTAGCTACTCAGGAGGCTGAGATTTGAGGATTACGGTTCAAAGCAAGCTGGGGCAGGAAAGTCCATGAGACTCTTATCTCCAATAAGCCACAAGAAAACCAGAAGTGGAACTGCTGCTCAATTGGTAGAGTGCTTGCCTTGAGCTGAAAAGCTGAGGGACAGTACCCAGGCCGAGTTCAAGCCCCAAGACCAACAACAACAACAACAAAAAAAGAAAGGTTTTGCAGAACTTAACCAAGATAATTCTAAAATATACAAGTGCTAAAGGCCATGAAGAAACTTGACCCTGCTGGAAAAATCAAGAGGGAATATTACTCTATCAGCAACTTAATTGTAATACTCTCACAATTAAGAAAGTGGAATGCTTATACAAGAACAGACAAATATTGGTAAAGACTGAAGAAAGAGATACATGTTATATATAGATAGGATACTACAGAATAGTAAGATACTACCTCTACACAACAGAATGGTTCTGAGAAAACTAGGTATGCATATGGTGCAA